CCTTGAGCAGAAGCTGCCTGCAGGGCATTACCATAACGCCCGCCTTGCGCATTGATATCGGCGCCTTTCCCTAGCAACAGTTTCACCGTACTTTGGAAATTCGCTAGCGTTGCGTAATATAATAGAGTCGCCAGTTCCCAATCTCGCCGCCACGTTTCAATCTCAGGTTCATCCGCGTCAAATAGCTTCCCCCACACTCTGTAAGCTTGCTCTCGCTCAAGGAAAAATTTTAGAATACTTCGCTAAACCTCGTTCTCAGTCTCAGCAGGTCTTGCATGGTCCATCCAATACCGTGCAGCGTACTGCGCCAACGGAAACTTCACCTGAATATCCTCAGCTGTACTCTGCTTGTCTATATAACATAGATAAGACAGGCAGACCAGTGACATTTCTCTATACGACGTTGACATCTTCAACCGCCCCTGCCACTTGCCTTCTCTTTGAGAATGGATGAGGAACTCCCTCGCTGTCTGGTAGATGAACAATAATTTCGAGTCGTAAACATTGATAAAGAGGCCGCATAGATTCTTCACAGTGCTCTCAAAGGTCTCTTCATCCCATAGACGGGACTCCAAGACAGAATAGGAATCAAATTCTTTCTTCTCCAAAGCTAATGTTAGAGCTATATTCGCTTCAGCAAGTGTCAGGGGCCGGGCTGCAGCTAAAACAATTTGCAGTAGTGTCTCTGTGTATATCAGGTTTCGGCTCCGCTCCAGGATCTTTTCGTATGCTTCCGTTACCTTGGACGGCAGGTCAGAGAGGAGCGCTTCCATATCAGACGGCCTGCTGTATTCGCTTGGACTCTCCTGAATAATCTTAAATGTGAGATGTAGCCACAGGTATGTGCAGTGCTCCATGCTTTTAAGTTTGAATGAAATCCTTTCACGATCGGCCTCCTTGAAATTATCTGCAATTTCACCCAATCTGGCGTCGATGACTAGATTGATCTCGCTGCTGATCAAGGCAGACTTTTCATCGCCGTCAAAGTGCAGATATGTGGCTGTGTTAATAAATGTTCTAAAAGATAATTCTAGGTCGTCGTATGGGCGACTGGTGATCAGAAACTTGAGTGTTGAGGGCGGCTTAGATTGGTTCGAAGGCTGGCAATAGAAGTCTCTCAGCTTATCAATTAATTGACGACTGCCATCTGCATTGCATTCATCGAGGGCATCAATGACACAGACAATTTCTCCAGCATCGAGCGAGTTAGCGCAGTCCATAAGGATTCGCCACAGTTCGGAAAAGCTTTGAACTAGTTTTTTGCCATACTCCTTATGACTAGGAAGTGCATGTCGTATTAGACCACTACCAGGATTATGTATAATAAGCTGGTGAAGTATTGTGCACAGGGCATTGCTTGCGTGCATGCGGCGTTCATCTCCGTCTTTGAAAAAGAAATAGCAGATAGTCGACGTTGTGACCTTTGTAGTAAGTCATCGCTCATCGATCAAAGCCCGTGACAAGACTGACTTACCACAACCAGGGCCGGCAGAGATCCAAAGAAGCCTGGAAGTGCTGCTGTCCCGCCAGTCACAAAATCTGTCATCCCCGAAGAACCATTCGCATGTACCTGGAACCCTGGCTGGGTTGAAGTCTTTGTAATCTTTATAGTCAGATGCAAGATCCTGAAAAAGTTCTCTCTCTCTTTAGTCTTTATAGTTCATCTGGATCTGCTCCCGGCCCACTTCCAAGATTCTCGAAATTTTATCAAGAATCGCCTGCGACTTCTGCATCTCTTACAGTTGATTATCTCTATCCTTCCGAATTTCCTCTGCCTCAAGCGGTCGGATGCAGCGGATGCAGTGTTTATTTATTTCATTAATCTCTGTCAATTTTCCATCCCAATTATTCCAACCGGCTATGTTTTGCCATGCGCGAGAGAGTTGAGCTGTAGAAAGATGACATATAATGCGCGCCTGGTATTCAATAATGTGCGAATAAAGCTTCGATAAAGGTTCCATAAGGTCTTGGTACCCTTCTCGATGTGCGGGCCGGAGATATGTCCTTTCACAAATTTCCCAGTAGAGTTGAATATCGCTGATTAAATCAAAGCCTTTCAGCATAGTCTCGATGTTTGTCGTACCGCTCGTGAGTAACTGGTAATGTCAGCATTATCTTGGCAGTCGCGGATCTAATCAATTACCGGGAGAAGCAACGAAACACCACACCATGCCAGTGCTGCATATGGCTGAGCGCTGAGAGCATTCTTAACTATTGGGTCGGTCCAGAGGAGGAACTTTGCCAACTTCTCAGCTTGCTCCCTTATCTTGATCTTCTTTCCTATAAGCGACAATTGCCACTACTTCTTCTCTCGATTCTCCAATAGCTGCTTCACGATTGATTCAACCGCTCGCGAAGTTGAGAGGTCTGCATCTGTTGCACCGTCATGTAGTGATGCCAAGTGCTTCTTATAGTCATCCATCAGCTCGGGCTCTCGGCTCTGTAACATCGTATAAGCTCGAGTCCATGGTTCGAAATTGTCTCTCAGAGAAAGAGTAACCGCGGCGGAAGCCGTTGCTTGAGTAGGAGCGACTAGTGAGACAGGAGCAGCACTCAACGACACGAGCTGCTCGGGAGGCTGTACGGTGGTTATGACTGGCAAAGCTCTAGCAGGTCCCCGCGCTGGTGTGCCTGCGGTCGGAGAGAAGACCACGCTAGTTTCCTCTGGCACCTCAGTCTTTCTCTTCTTCACCAGTCTCTTCTTCAGCTTGCAACAAAAGCCCATTATTGATTTGTTTGTTTAATTTTCGGAGAAGTCAATCGCACGGGAATTACCGCTGGTTGTCCACAGAATCTATGATTAGATGAGGTCAAAGGTTTCCGTGTTTTGGGAGGAGTCATGCGGCTGAGCAATATGCGTAGGTACCCAATATAAATGACTAATGAGAAAGAGCTCGCGGATGGTAACTAATCAGTGCGCTAGTAAGAGAGCACAACGGAATCCAGCCTTGCTATACTATTAGTGGGTAGAGTTCTCCAAAGGGTGAAAACCTCTAACATATCTACTATCCAGATAGTGGATAATATAATACCTCATCGCGGCCCGTTCCGCGCCGACGCCCTGAAGCTATTAAAAAGGGACAAATAAATGATTGTTCCATCCATTTCCATGTATGTGCTTAGCTGGTTATACGGGAGAGCGTTGGATAGTTCTTCAATTAGGTGGCTGTGTGGCTCCTTATCTAAGGTGTCTATTATGATTATAGTACTGTGTACGAGACGGGTTTTGCGTCTGGTAAGAGTCGTGTACTGGATAGACTGTATCTTATACAGCGCCATAAATTTAATGCGGGCCGCTCAATAAGAAAATGACGCTAGAGACTTGGCAGTAAGATTCGGAAACAGTAGTGATGTGTTTGTTGGTCAAGCCGAATTCATATGAGATCGCCTGTATGAGGGTTGACTTCAGGCCCAAGATAGGGGGGTACTGTAATGCGAATGCTACTCTACAAGCCACTTGCAATACAAGGTATCTTGGTACAACGGGCGACTTCCAGTTCTACGAGTAGTCTATTCTGAATCCTCTGTATGCCCAACAACATCGATCTCCATACTACTAATTGCCATTACATAAATGCTAATAAATGCTAGGTTTACATCCACTCGTCTTCACACGGCGACCGCATTTTAATCATGGCTGGTTTTGCCCTGAACTTGTCGGAAAGCTCGTTGAAAAGCTTCAAAGCCGGGCGTGCATACGTCTTCCCTCTATAGCAGCCAAACACCACAGCGAAGACAGTCATCCCGTCTGTATCAACGACCCATGCCCCGCCGTCTTCCGGGTTCCCCACCAGCGACAGAGCATACAGCCGACCAACCGGCGGCACGGAGACTACCTTGAGCTTGCACCTCTGAACCGTCAGCCGGCGATGATGGAGTGCCACCCGCAGCCGACCCCCCGGGAAACAGGTTCTCGAGACAGAATGCAGGCGGATCGCATCCTCATCGGAAAACGGTCCCTGATTCTCCAGGCGGACTAGCACCCAATTACCGCTGCGATGCCAGTACCTCGAATCCACAGCGTACAAGCCTGTCAGCTCGGGGATGGCGCCGATCAGCTCTTCGGTCTGGTAGTCGTAGACGTCGGTTGCGAACAACACGCACGTTTTCGAACCAATGAGGCGCGCATGGGCCGCGTCGGCCTCGATTAAGCTTGAGATGGGCGCGAATAGACCTTGGGTGCTGGATTCGTCTGTCACAGGGCTTCTCTGCTCAGTGAAGAGATCGGCCTGGTCGGGGTTCAGGAGAAATGGGCGCAGGACTGTCAGCCCATAGAATATACCGTGGACCTCGACGATCCCGCCGATGGTGCCTTCGCGTCGCGGATCGCCCCTCTCGCCGACGTAGAAGCGGGTTCCGGAGATGCTGGATGCCATCTTGAGACCGGCTGCCGGTGTTAGTGCTGAGATGGAATTGATATAGTATCTGGGGCGGAACGTGGGAGGTCCCTTCTATTTAACTTCATTCGGTTGAGCTGGGTTCTTTACTTTGTGTTCGGCGTTTCTTTATACTGGAGATGCATGGGAGGGTCCTGCTTAGACGTCAAGGCAACTAGTACCTCATTGTGACTATGGAGGTACTCCGTGTTACGCTTTGAGGACATATTCATTGTTTGCTTGTACTGCATTATGGCTGTGTGAACCTAACAACACGTCTACTCTTTCATAGCTGTGACTTCCTAAAGACCAGGACATTTGTTTTCGGGGTCAAAGGTGACTGGCTGCTCGTAAAAAAGGCCGGTGCACATGTCTGATATGGGTTTGAGAAGACATGCATGGGCTTGAAGATGCCATGAAAAAAAAAATAAAATAAAAAGAAAAACAAAAGGGAAAGAGAAAGAGGTTAGGTTCTAACCAGAACCAATCGATCGATCGCGGTGGGAGAGCAAAAAGCAATGACCAGACTGGGGCTCGATCCCAGGACCTTATCGGTGTTAACGATACGTGATAACCAACTACACCATCCGGCCAATTGATGAAAGCGAAACACTTTATTGTACAGGTAGACCGAATTGATTTGCAGTCTTGAAACAGCTCTGCATCGGCTGCGTCCAAAGCAGGCCTTTGTTTATGGGGCTATGATGTCGAAATACGTTAGGGTTTACAATGTCAATCATAATGGCTATGCCTGCGACATGCAGGGTGTGATGCTATCAGCCAAGGATCATCCTGTCTTACATGATGAGAGATAGTTCCAGGCTCTAGTCCCCAGCTTGAGCTCGTCTCCTCACTGGACGCTGCTGTTGTCATCAACGTGACGACTCCTGGCGTTGTTACCGAAGATGGAAGCAGAAGTAGAGAATTTTGGTGCAGTACGCCTGCTCAATAGTCATGGTCTCGAACGCATGTTTCACCTGTAGCAGGTCATCGTTGTATGTGCAGGGGCTGAACTGTGAATTGGTGCGCGATGGTACCAGCAGCCGGCAGGAACTCGGAGCATTTCGGGAACTTCGCATTCAGTCGATAACTACCCCATTAGGTCTCCTTGACTCTATAAGTAGCCTCACCCTATACCACATTTCATGTGGCATCGTTGGTCAAACGGTTACGATTCTTGTCTTCCAAACAAGCGGCCCGGGTTCGACTCCCGGACGATGCAAGAGCTTTGCCTTTTTGTCACCGGTACTACCAATCACGGTGGTGAACCTGTCCGGAATCAATGCCACCTCAATAAGGCTGACATGATTACCCATGTAAGGTCTATGATTGTAATGCTTGTGATGGGAGAGCGCGCAGCGCCCTCTCAATCGTACTAGCTTTGTAGGTCTATCCCTTATGTGTGAAATTCCAGTACGTTAGCACCGGTTGAGTCTTTGGGATGGAGACAAGGGGCAAGGGCATGCTCAAAGAGTGATACTTACAAGTATCCCGGAAACATACACTTTCATATTTGTGTGTGATTACTGAGTCAAAATCCCTCAATTCATCGACTGCGACAGGCGGATGCGCAAAGCAATCCTCCAGGGCGAGGTTGCCCTTGATATGATAAAGCTGAGGGTGCGATCTGGGTGCCGGTCAGCCAGCATCAGGGCCGTGAGCCCGCCCATCGAGTGACCGATCAGGTGCAAGCAGTCGATGTCATAGTGGTGCAGAACCAACTCCGCGGCGGCGACCATGAATGCGATCGTGGCTTGAGTCGGATTGGCGGTCGCGGTATCGTGCGGAGAGGGCCGAGATCTTCTAGAATACGAGGCTGGAACCCAGAAACCACCAACATGAGTGACGGCGCAGTCAGCATGAAGATTTAGTTGGGCAATGATGCAGCAGACCAAGAGGTCAAACTGATTCCAGCCCGTTTCTTCAGGCGGTGGCGGATCACATGGCTCTTTACAGAATCACGTGCGCTGCTATGATATCATTGCTGGGTTGCTGGGCAGACCTTCTTTTTCCCCATCGAGTTTCTTTTTTCTCCCCCATCCACGGTCGCGATCCCCCAGAAAGCCCAGAAAGCCAGGCTAGAGACCATTGCACTTCTCGGAGACTTACCGAACGAAGCCAAGGATAAAGAGACCCTGATGGACTGGAGCACGAAGGCCCAAAGGAAAGGGACTCAGTAGTGACTGACCCACCGGTTCCTTGTTCACCAGTCAATCACCCGCTCCCGATCTCCGGGAGATGATGTTCCATGAAGCAATGGGCCCTGATGGCGTCACTGCTGCATACTTTGTCCTGTACGGTCTGGTCTCGCGACCTGCACACTTTTTCCTTCTTTCGCTCTCGTATTCTATATTCCCTTTTCTTTGCTTTCCCATCTCTTGAGCAGTCACATTGCCCTCACACTCTTAGTCACTATTAACCCAATTCCGATACCTCGTCGCCCGCTTATGGTCTGTGCCATCTGTTAGCATCCATGCCGTCGGACAATGGCCCAACCGCTGACGACTGGCCCGATGAGCGGCACCTCCACGATGAGCCCTCCACCAGCGGCCACCATCGGAACAACCGGCGCGCCCATTATCATGAGAAGGGTCTAAACACCGGGGTCCGGATTATGGGTGCGTGTCCCGCCATACCCGTTCTGCGTTTCAATTGCTGACAGTCGCTTCACTCTGTTCAGACGATGGCCGTCTCGATATCAAATTCCGCGACCGCAAACCCTGGGTCGCCAAGATCCTAGAACACCTCCAGTCCCAACCACCTGAACTCGAAAAAGGCCAGAACGACTTTTGTATGTACGAAGGCGGGCCGGAGGGGGTGGAACACAAAAGCCCTCTCAAGCTCAATATCGTCGTCCAAGTTGTCGGCTCTCGCGGGGATGTGCAGCCTTTCATCGCACTTGGCAAAGTGCTCAAGTCCCACGGTCATCGCGTCCGCCTTGCGACACACCTTGCCTTTCACGAAGTCATCGAGGATGAAGGCTTGGAGTTCTTCAACATCGGGGGGGATCCCGCAGAGCTGATGGCATTCATGGTCAAGAACCCAGGGCTGATGCCGCATATGAGTACGATACGAAGCGGTGCAATCCGGCGGCGGCGACGGGACATGAAAGCTATATTTTCGGGATGCTGGCGGTCATGCTGGGAAACGGGCGACGGCACAGGGTTGCACCATATCCCGGATGATCCGTGGAGTGAGACGGAGGACTACCGGACCAAGCCATTTGTTGCAGACGCAATTATCGCCAACCCGCCCAGTTTTGCACACCTGAGTTGCGCGGAGAAATTAGGGATCCCGTTGAATATGATGTTCACGTAGGTGATTGAGCCACACTTTCGGTATTATGGCTGACAATGAACTTAGAATGCCGTGGTCGGCCACGCAGGCGTTCCCCCATCCGCTGGCAACAGTGCGGTCACAGAACACCAAACCGTCTGCGGCAAATTTTGCTTCCTATGCGATCGTGGAGATCATGATGTGGGAGGGTCTCGGAGACCTGATCAACAAATTCCGCAAACGAGAGCTGGGTCTGGACCCGTTGGATGCGATTCGGGCGCCAAGCATTGCGCATCAATTACAGGTCCCATACACTTATCTATGGTAGGCTGGTGTACCCTTTCTTCAGACCGTTCACTGACAATTCTAGGTCACCGGCTCTTCTTCCCAAGCCCTCGGACTGGGGCGAAAACATCGATGTCGTGGGCTTCTCGTTCCTCTCCTCGGGGTCCGACTACAAACCGCCGGATGACCTAGCGTCCTTCCTTAAAGCGGGCCCCCCTCCGATCTACATTGGGTTTGGATCCATCGTTGTCGACAATCAACGCTCATTGACCAAGATCGTCTTCGAAGCTATTAAGGCAAGTGGCCAACGGGCCATTGTGAACAAAGGCTGGGGGAACATTGGAGCCGACGAGAAGGACATTCCAGACAATATCTTGATGATCAGTAAGGCTCCGCATGACTGGCTATTCCAGCACGTTTCCTGCGTCGTGCATCATGGTGGAGCCGGCACCACCGCCGCTGGGCTTGTGTTAGGATGCCCCACAGTGATCATACCCTTCTTCGGAGATCAGCCCTTTTGGGGTTCCATTGTCGCCCGTGCTGGTGCAGGTCCAAAGCCGATTCCGTACAAAGAATTGACCACGGAAAAGCTCACCGAGGCAATCAAAACCGCTCTGGAGCCTGCCACCAAGGAAAAGGCAACGGAACTTGGTGAGCGGATGCGCACGGAGCAAGGCGTGCGTAATGCGGCGGTAAGCTTTTATCGGCACCTTGATTTGAAGAGCCTACAATGCTCAATATGTCCACACCTGCCGGCAGTGTGGTGGGTGAGGCATTCACACGTCAAACTCAGCACGTTTGCGGCGGCAGTATTGGTAGAAACCGGGGTGATCGACCCCCGGAACGTAGTTTTGTGAGTCAATGTGCAATCTATGGCATTTTTCGTGCTAACGAGAACTCAGATATCGGTCGATTGAATACGACACGAACCGCGACCCTCGAGGCCCTCTGACTGCTGGCGCCGAGGTCCTCTATGGCATTGTCTCTGGGTTTGTCAGCGGCATTGCCGACGTGCCCTGTGGCGTTGCAACGATGTTTTCTACAAACCAGGAGCGACGGCGCCGTCGCAGGAAGGAATGGGAGGACGCACGGCATCTCTCGCATTTCGATGGTGCCTCCTCGCTTCATCGTCGTACGAAGTCCTCTCTCGATTCGGGCGTGGGGGAGGACAACCGCCTGAGTCACCGAGATCTTCAGAAAGTGCGTTATGAGGCCAACAGGCCTGCCACGTCATGGAATCGCTCTCGTCGACCATCAGTTGAGTCAGACGAAGCCTATGTCTCTGCCGAAGAAGGTCGCCTTAGCGACAGTGACGGCGAGTCGACCGACCCAGACCAAGGCCAAGAAAGCAGTCCCAGGTCTAGTTCTAGTAGCTCCCAGACCACGCTAGACCCGGACACAGACCCTGCTGTCGGCGAGGAATTGGATCTTGAGCGCACAATCACCCGACTCCGTACCCGCGAGGAGTCTGGCGCGAAGGAGTTCTTTGGGGAAGCCACCTACCACGCCGGGAAGATGGGCAAACACATCCTCGACTGGGCGATCACGATTCCCACCGATGTGACCCTAAGCCTTTCCAAGGGTTTTCACAACGCGCCGAAGCTATACCATGATTCCACCGTGGAGAAAACTCCCAAGGTGCTGGGTGTGAGGAGTGGCTTTCGCGCTGCTGGAACTGTGAGTATCTCCCAGCGAAAACCTGTGGGTCTGTGGCTAACAGCTTCACAGGAATTCACCCACGGCTTCTACCATGGTGTGACCGGCTTGCTCACCCAACCAATGCTCGGCATGGAGAAATCCGGCGGGAAGGGCTTTATCAAGGGTGTCGGTAAGGGTGTGGGCGGGGTTCTTTTCAAGCCTGCTGCTGGTGAGTTGTTTTGCTAGTTGGCATGGTGTCATATGCTAACCCTGGACGCTAGGCATCTGGGGCCTCGCGGGATACCCGCTCGATGGGATCCATAAGAGTCTGCGGAACTCCTTAGCGAAGAGCAAGACAAAGGAGATCCTCACCTCGCGGATCAAGCAGGGCATCGAAGAGATGAGTGCAGCCACGACACAGCAGCGGGCGGATGTGATTCGACGGTGGAATGAGCTGGTTAAGGACGAAGGTACTGGGGAGAGTAGTAGTAGGGGGGATACAGGGGATGAGTGAGGGGACTGGACGCATATACTGTATACCCTTTTTTTTTTTCTATGATTTTGAAACTCTATAGTATAAGGTGGTGACGATTTGGTGTGTTGGGTGGATGGATATATATTCCGACAGGGGTAGCCAAAGACTTTGTAGATACACAGAGTACTACTTAATATGCCATTCAATTTCTTGAGCTGTGTCATGGAAAACGGGAATAGAGAAATGAGGCCACGCACACCACGGGATAGCATCAGCAAGATAGGAGGAGCCGGATTGTTTGCTGGGTCCAAAACCAGAACCGTGAGCAGGGCGCTGCGAGACGATCTATCTTAGGTTGTAGGTCATGGTGTCAAATTTACGCACGTTCTCCATCAACAGGCAAGGTGGCCGAGCGGTCTAAGGCGTCAGGTTAAGGTTACACCTTAACAGTCAGCATCACAGCTTCCTGATCATCGTCAGATGGCGTGGGTTCGAATCCCACCCTTGTCATTACCTTTTTGTTTTTTTGTTCCCTTCCGTAACACGGTGGTGGTAGCTTGCTGTACTGCCCCTTCCCGCGTACTATCCCGCCGCACTGCCGCCTTCTCTTCCATTCATTCATCCGTTCGAATCTCCGTCACCACCCCCTCTATCGCGTTTTCATATTCGACTGTCAAACATGGAGATTAAGACCAGGATAAAATCGGAGCCTTTACATCGACCTGCACCCTACAGTATATCCCGCTTTCACTTTCCGAATTCCACAACACTTCCTACCTACAATCAAACTCTGAGATCATCTACACAACTCTACGCACATGTATGTGCCTTGTCAACCAGAACTTGGATTCTCTATTACTACTAAGATATTCCACACCGGATCGAACACCACAACCCGAGCACTCACATCCACCCCCACAGCGAGGTAACTAACCAACGACACTAGCCCCAGCTAGTAACCCATCACCGTTTCCTATTGTCTGAATGAACCCGTCCAGAGAAGGGGATCTAAGCAGACTCCACGCACTGGTAGTAGTAGGGGTTCCACTGCTTGCAGGTCCAGCCCTCGACACAGGTGGTGGCGCCGGTCCAGTTCAGGCCACCGCAGCGCTGGTACTTGCCGGCGATGCCAGAGGAAGAAGAGGAGGAGGAGGCAGCGGGAGCGACAGCGGCGGTGGTCTCCACAGCAGCAGCAGTAGACGCGGCGGAGGACTTAGCGGAGGACTTGCTGCGGCAGGTAGTGGCCTTGGACTTCTTGGTCGAGGCGACGGCGGTGGTGGTGGTGGAGGCGGGGGCGGCCACGGCGGCCTTGGTGGTCACAGCCTCGAGGGAGACGGAAGAGGAAGTGGAGGCCACAGCAGCGGCGGTGGAGGACGAGCCGGAGGAGGATGAGCCGGAGCCGGAGCCATCCCAGACGGAGGGACCGGGGATGGGATAGCTGTCGAAGGAGGTGTACAAGTTGAAGAGGATCCCGGGGTCGGTGGCGGAGTAGGCACCCGGCAGGCTGACGCCCTCGGGGAGGGTGTTGGCCCCGTCGGAGGTGACCTTGAACTGGACGCACTCCATGTAGAACTGGGCGCCTCCCTGGTTCTCGCCCTCGTGGAGGGCGATGATCGCCGGGCGGAAGAGGTAGTCGCCGGCGGGGACGTCGGGGACGGTGATGCTGTGCTTGCCGCGGTTGGCGATCAGGGTATCAACCGCCCAGGTGCCGTCCGGGTAGCCATACTCGGCGATCTTGACCCAGTTCTTGCCGCTGCTGCCCGCGTCAGTCGGCGCCATGTACACCATGACGGGGCCCTTGTGCGTGGAGTCGATGATGTCGTCCGACGAGTCGCGGCTGCTGTGGTGCCACTCAAAGGTCACCTTGTCGCCTCCCTTGACGGACAGCGTCTTGGCCGTCGCCTGGTCGCCGTTGACGTTGCAGGTGATGTCGGTCGAGGTCACGTCCTTGACGGGGCTGTTGCTGGGGGGAGACTGGATGTATCCGCTGGCGCTGTTGCCCAGTCCCTAGTCTTCGCCGTTGATCCAGACGGCGAAGAGGGTGGCGTGGGCATCGACCATCTTTGCTGCTGCTGCCAGAGCGAGCATACCGAAAGTAGAGGACTTCATTTTTGTGGAAAAAAGAGAGGAGTGGTAGAAAGGAAGGACGGGAAAAAAATGAAGGTAAGAGAGGGATTGAATGAATAAATGAATGAATTGACCTGCAGGAAGAAAACGAATGAACTGCTATCCAAGCTGGAGAACGAAATGAATTACGACAACAGCAGCTACAGCAAGGCAATGAAGCTGTTATATATCCAAATCGCCGGGATTCAGGGCCCTTCCGGTACGGCGGCAAGGGTCTATCTCATCGCCCGCAGACCCGAGCGGAGTCCGCCAAGGCGCGACGTTTCATCTTAGATGCAGCCCTCCTCCACCAGATAGCGTGGGGCTCTCTGTCTCCCGCCGAGGCAAGTTCCTTGCCAAGCTCAGCCGTGGCAGCAGCGGCTTGGCCTCATCCGAGACAGGGAGGCCAGCAGGCAAGACAGGACCCAGCTCCATCTCCTGGGTCTTACTCTCTAACTTGAGACCGCCGTGGGCAATCTCCGCAAGGGCACCCTGGGTGGTTCGAGGGCTCTTGGCTGCCGAACTGGTTTACCTCAAGCAAGTGGGGGTGGGGGGAGACGGCGGTAGAATTAGCCGTGGACTTGGTTTCTTGAGTGAGTGGAAGTCCGCTCTGTGACAGTGTCCCGTGGCGCTGCTCGAGTCAGTCCATGTCTTGCCCTAATCTGCCATCTGTGTCTCGTCCAAGGCGTGCCCGCCACCGATAAGCCTTGGCAGGCCCGCCCATTGCCCATGTGAAAAACATGCCACCAACCAACCGACCAACCTCTTCTTTCGAGGTGCAAAGAAAGCTTCACCAGATTACACAGAAGAAGAGGCCTCGCGATGGTCTTTCACATCCCCCGTAGGTCCGCATAAGACAAGTCCAAGCCCGGGCGAATACGTCCTCGAAACTCTGGACTATTCACACCTTGTTCCTGTGGCCCCAAACCTGCCGAGATATTCCAGAATTGATTGAGGATCATCAAGATCGTCTACGAAAGGAACATACCTCATTGGTCAAGTGTAGGTTACGAGGCGCGCGCGCAATGACCGTGCATGAACTAGTTCTTCTACACCTAAGCCCTGGATGGAGGTAAAGGGAGGGTTCCGGAAATAGGCACTATTTTCGGCACTCTCGGGCTTTTCACTATCTTGTCTACTGACTATTTCTGTCAGAAGTACATTGCAGAAGTACAGTACTCCCCTGGACTGGTGTTCAGCAAAGCGGAGGGAGGCTATGCGAGAGCCAAGACCTTGCTATGGAAATTACCGAAGGAACCGAGTGCGCAAATGAATATTGGAAATTAGAGAAGTCTCAAGCGGTGCTGATGAGAAAAGTAACTTACACAGTATGTAGGCGTACCGGAACCGCGGAAGCGTGCAGAATACACTACACAAAGTCATAGTACCATGTGATATGAAGTGAGGTTGTATCTGTCTGCATGGGTCTCAATTCCACTCCACGCTCGTGAAGAGGCCAAAGTCACGCTTTCAGAGCTTCGGCTCTCCTCCTCAAATAGACAGGAAATGAACATGCACTCATGTAGATTATGCTTTGATTGTTAGATTGCCGCCGTTGACCCTTTCCACCACTATGCTTGGCTACAGGCTACGGAACATGTGAGAGTGGGTCAATGCCATGTCCGGTGTCCCTGCTTCTAGCCCCAGTCCTGCCCGCAATACACATTGCTGGGCGAATAGCGACTGGGAAACACGATAGCATATCGTCTTGTCTTATGATGGGTGGAGTTTCAGGACACGTGTATGTTTGTTTTTTTTCCCGCGGGAAGAGAACGACGACTCTAAGCTCTGATTCACTTGGATATCACGGTCACAGATCGCAATAACATGAAAGCTGCTCGCAAGCCAGTATCTTACCCACGACGCTTCCACGCATTGGACCCTCAGGGGCACACTTCCAATCATTTAGTAGGCAGCATAGATGAAAGCCAACTGGTCCATCTCATCGCCACCCTGTCCCATGTACCCGACGATGGCGTACCCCTCATCCGCGGTGAAAGTGGTACAGTTGTCCGTCGGGGTGCCCGCCTCAACGAAATTACCCGCGCTCGTCGTGGCCTTGATGTAGAAGTTGCGCGTGTGGCTGTTGTACTGGCCGGTGCACAGCTCCGCCTGGGTCCAGTACTCCCCGGTTGCCAGCGTCAGAGACACCTCGGTACCGCCGTTGCCGCCATGGCTGAAAGTAGTGCCGTCCGTCAGCTCCAGAGCGACCGCATCAAGACGGTCCGCACCGCGAAAGGTCAGCACAGAGGCCACGGGCGAGGAAGGTAGGTTGGGCAGGTCGTTGAACCAGTTGCCGTGCGGCCCACCGGAGAACTCGCTTTGGCGGAGCGATGAGGACAGCGCCCAGCTGAAGTTCACCAACACCGGATTGTGGTCGGAGAGCACGTCGCCGAAGTACTCAGAATCGGTGTGGAGGAACTGCTCGCCGTCGTAGAGGAAGCTGTCCGCCGTCAGGGTGATGATGCTGGACCCCCGGTAGAGCACCTTATCGACTGTCTCGCATGTCTCGACCGGGGACGGGTTGTCACACATCAGCGAGTCCGCGCCCGCCGTCGGATACACTCCGCCCATCTCCAGCTCGACCCAGACATCGGTGAGGCTGCTCTGCGACTTGAAGACGCGAATGCCGGTGTCGGCGCTCCGGGTGTAGCGGCTGTTGGTGTCGCCCATCACGACCACGGCATTGCCGGTGGACCAAGTATCGATATAATCGGCGACTTGTTGGAGGTTAGAGTTGCGGGCGGTCTCATCCCCGTCTTCGGTGCTAAACGAACGTCAATTATCCATCATGACATTGTGCTGTAGTGATGGGTGGGGAGGTAGTATGTATCTTACCCAGCATCGGCGTGGAGGTTGTAAAAGTCGATATACACTCCCTCGGACGGATTCCAGCGCATGAAGGTAAAACCCTTCGGTGTCAGGCAGTCCGACTCGGAGGCATCAGAGCACTCATTCCACTTGACACGCGTGAAGTCAACCCAGTCGTAGTTGGAAATGGTGTTTAGGCCACTGCCAATGGCCGCCCCACCGGAGGTAGCCGTGCGGTAAGGATGATCGTCGTACTCGTAAATGTACGCATGGTAGTTGAAGTCCTTGATGCCGATCAGCCACTCACGCACCCCTCTACAACATAAAAAGAGACAAACCTCCTGCATCTGTATGATGTCATAGGCATACTCAGCAAAGTACTTGCCCAGCTCCTCCGCGTTCTCGGTTTTCGAGCCGTTCACGTCATTGCTGTTAAGAATTTCAGGCAGACCAGCAACGTTGAAACTTAGGGCCGTGAATTTGCCGCTCGTAGTAGTCGCAGCGACCGATGCGGCCGCGAGGGCGCTCAGCGCGAAAAGTTTGGCACTGCGCATGTTCAGAACTGTCGAGCCTGGATGAGATTACCTCCAATCCGCCGACCTGCTGGTTCAGGGGCGCTCTTAAATAGATGGAATCCAAGAGGGAAAGTCAGGGCGGCCACGAGTAGTTGGCCCTGACCGAGCTGCACCGTCTCCATGCTAAGCTCTCGGCAGCAGGGGCAATTCTGGTGATTCTGAGAAGGATGGATCGTTAGCGCTCCAGTCGTTCGTGATCATTGGTGGAGATACTGTGATGGCTGTACGTGTAGTATTCTTGGCATGCACTGGGCAGGATTGTCCGATGTCAATCCTCCTCTGTTCCTGCTTCCAGCTGAACTAGCATAAGAGCGACTAACCATAGAAATAGTTCGTGTGTACAGGGATAGTACAGAAAGCAGGAGATTGAAATACCTGCAGAATGGCTGCTGATAGACAGACCAAGCGTTGCACGTGGCAGCCGAGAATCCATTCAGTTGGTTGTGCCAAGTTGATTGCAGTGCGACCGTTGTCTTGGCCTGAGCTTTGGCACTTTCGCTTGCAGAATAGGTTTTGGGACACAGCAGCTACCATTGAAAACGCCACGTGCGACTTGGTTCTGCATGTTCGAGAGATGGTGAATTCCGCGGTCCGTGATATTATTCACTAGGTAGGCCTATGGCCTGATATGCCGAGGATCAACAAGGCGAGTGATTGTCGGGAATTTCGAGACAGCAAGGACGTTGCAGCTAGCTATTTTCACCTCGAGCAATCCGCCCTCTGCCAATCTACCTCTAGAGTATCATGTATGGTCCTTCCCTGCCAAAGTCTTGCCGCCACGAAGCAGGCTCAATTCTCATCAAACACTTTGCCGGGATTCATGAGCCAGCTGCAAATCAGCGTTAGTACATAGTACGATGACGTTCGGGGGCATCCTTACTGAGGATCCACGCTTCGCTTCAATGTCCTCATGAAATCCACCGTGGACTCCCCTAGTTCCTCTGTGAGATAGTCCTGCTGGGTTTAGCCGAGGATTTCGCAGATAGTCAGGAACGAGTAAAGTTACCTTTTTGCCAATTCCAATGCCATGTTCACCCTAAGCCAGTCAGTTCTTTTCCTCCATATGCCAACCCAACGGCCCAAGGAACATACAGAGACCGTGCCTTCCATCTCGAGCGCCCGTCGCATCATCCTTGAAACGCATGCTTTGACAGCCCGATACTGCTCAGTGCTCTTGGGATTGTACATGACCGCCTGGTGAAAATTTCCATCCCCAACGTGTCCCAATACCGTGGAGAAAAGGCCAAGACTGCTGGATTCCTCCTTGGACATCTCTGTTTCTGTTAGTGAACAAACTAATCCTCGCTGGAAGCATAGTGAGACTCACCCACAATCTCGGCCAGACGTGAGATTGGGACGGCCACATCGGTGGACCAGATCTCTGTGCCTTGTGGCCTCGCCGCTAAGATCGCCCAGAGGGCCTGCTTTCTTGCGGACCAGAGATTGTCACCTTCTTCTGGAGTCGATGCAAAAACCAACTCGTCCCCTTTGTTCTTGGTAAGAATCCGTCGAGTGCGATCGATACTCTCACTGATTTCAGACGTAGTACCGGTTAACCTTAGAATTGTCAGCATTTATGACAAAGACCTGCTGAGCGCAGTCAAGGGTCGTGGCGCCAATTCACTTTAAGAACAAGGTCGGCGCTTCAGCCCAGTACCTCCCGCCAGCACCGCCATTCTGATTGATGATCTTCATCTGGACATCGTCCATGAACTCCAGCGCTGCCAAGGGAATCGCGGCCCGAATCAGCTTAGATGCCGCCGCCGTCGCATCGCCCACGGTCGGGAATGTCGCGATCCCCACACTGGTCTCCTGCGGAACCACGGCCAGCTTGAGCGTGGCTTCGGTGATGATGCCGAGGGTGCCCTCGGATCCCGTGAAGAGGGCATTCAGATTGTACCCTGCGGACGACTTGCGCGGACGTCGTTTGGTCTTGATCACCGACCCATCCGCAAGCACGACTGTAAGGTTAATCACCCAGTCCTTCATGGTGCCGTATCGCATCGCGTTGGTTCCACTGCAGTTGGTCGCAATCATGCCCCCAACGTAGGCTGTAGGGCTGGGATCCATGGGCAGGAACAAACCCGTGGGTTTCAGTTGCTCGTTCAGGTCCACCCATCGGACCCCGGCCTGAACCGTGACGTTCATGTCCTGCTCGTACACCGCAACCACCTGACTCATGCGGGACAAGTCGATGCAAATGCCCGAGTACGGGGCGGAGAAATTCCCCTCGACACTGGATCCTGCGCCGAACGGGATCATAGGGACTCTGTACTTCGTGCAGACGCGAGCGATGTGCGAGACTTCGTCGGTCGTGGCGGGAATCACGACTGCGACCGGGCGTTCCGAGGTGTTGGAGGTCGACCAATCCGAGTAGCCATGATTCTCGATATCTTCAGCGTCCACACTAATATTCTCCTCCCCAAGCAGGGGCTTCAGCTCCTCGACTGCCTACAAGGGGGGTCAGAAGGGGTCAAGAATGAGGTGTGGGTGTCGGTCTGCAGCCTGTACTGGATGTACCTTTAGCATTGTCGGGCGGTCGGCGTATCTTGCCCCCGGCTGCGTCTTGGCAGCTTCCACCGGCGAGGGCGCTTCATCCCAGGCTCTAGATGCTAGCAGGGTGATGGCAGCAGAAGCTACGGCGGTAGCCACCAGAGGCAAGCTGCCAGATCTGTCCGAGGAGCGTTGTCTTGAGCTCGATGAGCTGGATCGGGCCAAGAATGGCTTTTGCGACCGTAGCAATGCCGGCGGTCGTGGCCAGCGAGGCCGAAGGACACTGCAACGTAGCTGCCACGCCTTCATTGCAGTTGCTGAGATCCAAAAGATCTGGTAGAACTGTAGGAGTCTCAGCTCGGATAAGGCTGAAGATATAGTGAAATCACCTTTAACAAGCAGGCTTAGAAAGTGCCGCCGTGTCTGTCTTGCACTGTTTGCCTGAGGATTGTGGGTAATGTGTGCGGGGACGAAGCGTGGGAATCAGCCTTGAGTTGGCGCAATTGTGATCAGGCTGCCGGGAGAGTCGCCTCGATACTAGATTGTAGTACACTTTTCTCTTGAGGTACAGTATAGTGTTGTGGACGGGATGGAAAGAGGGGTTTCGAAGACAAGAAGCCAAAGTGGATCCAAATACCGGGGAAGAAGGGTCCGGTCGGCATTTTAGACCCGTCGGATTCGTGTCGAAAAAGGGTATGAGACGGTATGCGAATTCAGTACTCCGTAGAATTTCCAGCTCAGATACTGCTATATGATGAAACATAATGCTCCCAGCTGAATGCAGCATAGTGATATGGAGACCCGTTCAGTAGAAAGTCCCAAGATGACCAAACCTAGAAGACCTGAAAACGAGCGCACGAGAAGCTATTCCGCCCATGAATACCTCCCAAAAATTCAGAAGGATTTTAAATCATCTCTTCGAACGATGCGTCGTCGATCTTGCAGAAATTATCCTCGAAAGGACAATGGCGAAGATCAACGTACTGTATACTGTGGTGGGCAGTACGGGATGGGAACTCCACGCCTGTCTGATCCTGCTCTGCAGCCCTCCGAAACCGCCCCTACTACACCCTTCCACGCCCACGCATCGTCGCCCACCCCCTCTCCCCTTCCCACTCCGACACCATCTATGTATGCAGTAGATGATTACCCTGACAGACTTACGTCGAGAAATGCGTACATTAGTGAAGGAAGCGGTACTGATATAGAATTCGATCAAGCAGTTCAAAACATGAAAAGAGACTGCTCCTACTTGGTATCATCTCATCCAGAACTTCATATCTCAAGGTTTTCGAGCTGTCAGTTCAACGATGAGGAAAGTTGCAGTCAGACTGCTAAGTATAACAGGATACTCTATACTACTATGGGACAAGCAAGGGAATAGGTACAGGGACAGTCCGGGTAGTATGCAGGTGCAGCTACCTTCGGCGCGGGTGAGATCACGCGAGTGAGCGTGGCTTGCGGTAGGGCTGGGGATGCAAGGGGGGCATTTGGCTGTTGCTGCTGCCCCGAGCATCTCGGTAGCGGCGACCGCGGCGGTAGAGGAGGAGGGCGAGGGGTTAGGCTTCCCGCCGTACTCGGCCATGGAGGGCTTGGAGCTAGTGAATGTGGAGTTCCTGAAGTAGCTCGGGGTCTCTCGGCGGGAATGTCGTCGGTTGTGGCGCAGATTAACTCATTCGATGATTGGGTGGGTGTTAGGCTGAGTGAGATTCTTCTCCTACTAGCTGGGAGAGGAGGTTCGTTTAACAAGTTGTAGACTAGAGGCGTATGCATTAGTGTTCTAGACTAAGTATTGTTGAGACAGGCAAGGTATGCGCAAAACGGCGTGAAGACATGTATATTTGATCTCTCTGAACACAGCTGGAATTTTGAGTTCATGGTGCAACGCGACCAGAAAATACGATCCACCCCAAAATCACCCACCGAGATCTGAAATATATCTGTTGATTACTGATGTAATACTGATGGATTTACTTGCTCAAAGGGGAAAGCTTGATGCCTTGAGAATCATTGAATTGTTAAGGGAAGAAGGAGAACTCCACAAAATCGTGGTGTTTACATACTCCCAGTGCTATTTGAAATCATGTGATCTCGCTGAAGCGAGGCGTTACGCGCACACGCCGACAATATCAACCTTCACGCAGAGGGAGATAGCCCCATTCTGACATCCCTTCTCCTCTCAATTCCCCCAACATCTACAAGACCTGGACAACGTCATCGGACAGTCCCGCCGTCGCGATCAGCGGAGGCGGGCGCTCGATCTTCTGGCGGAAGATGTATCGCTTGACGAACCACGGCAACCATACCGTCAACTCGTAGTGGAGGTATTTCTTTGTCGGCACGGAGAAGACCTCTGCCATAGCCGCACCCGCAACCGTTAGCGAGGGCCCATGTATACAAGAAGAAACGGGTTCACTAGGAATGTGGACTTACGGTCAATCTCCTCCAGCGTGAGCTGCTTCGTCTCCCGCACGAAACAAAAGATCATGAACCATGCGACCAGGTTCAGACCCGCATAAAATCCAACTAGAGTTCAAATTCAGCATTCCGTCACGAACGTAGAGGATCTAGACTTCCGAACTTACAGGCACCGGTGGGAGTCATGACGGTGCGCATCCGAGGGAAAGTCACACTCAAGATACCAGCTGTGGTTGTTAGATGCCAGTCTGCATGACGTCGAGCAAGATCGGAAAGCCACTTACCAAAGGTATTGTTGATGCACACAGCCCATGCCATGCCTTGCTCGCGCTGGATAGTCGGGAACACCTCGGCCGAGTACTGGAAGGCAACCGGCCCTTCGCCTAGCGAGTAGCAAATGGTGAACAGGTAAACGAATCTTTTCATAGTCAGTCAAAGTCTGAATCACACGTTGAGAAATAGAGCAACACACAGAGCAACGGGTCCAATCTGCGAGCCCTTGCTGCCGGTGGTTTTCAACAGGGAGAGACCAGCCGCCAGGAGGAAGATGCACATCAGGGGAAATGTCTACACAGGTACTAGTTAGTGATGCCGTACACTAGGCACTAGAATCTCCGCAACTCACAATAAGGCAAAGAGTGCGACGTCCTTTGGTATCAATCAGAAACACCGTCGGGATGGTGAACACCACCTGGATGGCGCCGTAGCCCAGCGAAGCGTACAAGGCCTGGGTGGCGCTATATCCGGCTTGTTCGAAAATGGTGGAGCTGTAAAATGAGATGACTGCAGAACATGAGCTTCCAAGTCTATCCCATCATTTAGCATAACCCGGACAGCGAATACGTACTGTTGATGCCGCACATTTGCTGGGCGAGCATGACAGTCGAGGCCCCGTAGTTGGCCCGGCGGATCCGAGGCACGGCAAAGCAATCCCACATTCGGGAGAAGTAGCCCGCGCCCCGCGCCTCGCGTAGTTCCTCCTCGTAGATCACATACGAATAGTAGTAGTCTCGCGCGGCGATGATGGGATGGGCGCGTAAGCGCATCATCGATTGGAACCCTTGCGCGTACCGGCCGTGCTTCATCAGCCAACGGGGGGATTCCGGGCAGAAGAAGATTCCCACTCCGAGGATGAAGGAGGGAATGAAAGCCGATCCGAGTTGCAGGCGCCACGCGATGCGACCGGTATCTTTAACGATGACATTGGCGGCAAATCCTAAGAAGATACCTTGAGGAAGAGGTCAGTATCGTCAAGTAGCGGAGCTTCGGTGGTCGAAAAAGATGGCACACCTGCGACAACCCACAGTTGCCAGAACATGACCAAAGCACCTCGAATCCGCGCAGGCGCCATTTCCGCCGAGTAAATCGGCACGGTCGCGTTCTTCGCTCCGATGCCAATGCCCATGACAAACCGAGCAGCGAACAACCCTTGCCATGACTTGGCAAATGCAGAGCCGATGGGTGTGGCGGTCAGACAGCAGGCAGTGACGAAGATTTCGCCCCGTCGGCCCAAGTAGTGGTTAAGCGGATCAACAATAAACGCGCCACTAAGTCCTCCATCAGTACTAGGACAAAGCATTGGAAGTGGCACTTTTGATTCTCACATCAGACCAGCGGTTAAGAAGATAATCGCATTGACCAGTCCTACAATCCATTCGTCTCTCCCCTCACCATTAATCCCGAATTCTTCCGGAAAAGACAGATTGGCTCCATTAGACCCGGTCTGATCCCATCCTTGCGTCGCGGCGCCAATAGCACATAGGGCGATTGAGTACCAGAGCATGACTGGACCATGCCATTTGTGATCTCTTTCGTAGATGAGCGCCGCTCGTTCCGAGTCCTCCAGTTCGCCGATCGACTCGAATCGCTGGGGGTCCCGCGCGACCAGTGCACCCCGAGCAAATATGTCGGCGTGCTCTGACATCTGGTGTGCCTCAGCCCATGCGCGTGCGTCAATGACTACCTGCTCCGGAGATTTGCGCTGAAGAAGTGAGAGCAGTCAGAATCCCGACGTATCTAAAAGTCAGAAAGTGCAAGGCTTACTGTCAATGGATTCTCGATCAAATTGAGGGCGGGGCCTCGAGCCGCGTGAGGCAGCTCGGGCTTGGTGACGGGGACGACATTCTCACTATGAGAGATCACGCCCGTCGTCGTTTTTTCGTTCATGATGGTATAGGATCGATCTGCGGCGGGATGGAAGAGGTACTGATCTATGGAAAACTTCGCCTGAAGAAAGCCCCCTGGAAAAACAAGAGAGAAAGAGGGGAAGAAATAGAAAGGGTGGCTACTTCACTGCATATAGACGAAAATCCACCTCCCCTCCCCTCTTTCTCCCCCGTGGGGTACAAACACTATGGTGACAAAGTCATCCAGCCTTGTCAGCACTAGCAAAGAGACAGATCATACGAGTCCGTTGCTCAAGAGCTGCAGGATTGGGCGGCCTGTGACTTTTGCCGCAACCCCACTTTCGACGCTTCAAAGCGCCTGGGCCTTTCCCTCTCGCGACTCCATGAGGCGTGAGTCCATCGTCCGTACCCTCAAGTCTCCGTTCTCTCCGCAACCCCACAGCCCACACCGCGTGAATTCTCCCGAATCGGATATACCCCGGATCCCCAGATTCACTGCGATCACTGGAACGTGCTCGACCACGATAGTACCACGACGCCTCTCAAAATCACCAGAGGAGAGCTGGCGAGTCTAATTGGCGGGTCAAAGACAGGGTTTCCGATCTTTGTAACAAAAGGTCGGACATGGATAGCGTAATCTCACCTCGACCGACTGAACGTGACTCCTTTCAACCCAACCTGGACCGAAAATCAGGCGGAATGATGTATGTGGCTTCTGGGCAAAGGATCTTCTGGTTTGTGCCGTCTCCGGGAAGCTTTTTTGCTGGCGGTTTTCGCCGTTTCGGTCTTGCCGATTCCCCCACACTGACTGGCTAATAAGTGGAAGGTGACATGTACAAGTTACATCCGGGATCCCAACTACCTTACCAAGTTGTTAGTTAGAATCCTGGGGAGGAGTTCGCCAACGAATCAAACTCATCAAGTGTGGTCTACTCAGCCTCTGACACTTGGTTTTCGCCTCAACCATCCCGGTCGTCGATGGCAAACATCGATGCTGACGGCCGGGATTGCAATCGTGCCGCATCACTTGAGAGGTTCAGAGATGCCTCTCAACATTTTGAGTTGAGGATGCGATGCTCGTTGCATTTGTTTCCCAATTTGAATACCTGGTAGATTGAGCCCTCCTATCATTGAACCAACAAGCTCGAAACCTCCGCAGACATTCTCATTCTCTCCTCTTCCAGTAGGTTCTTTTGTCCAAGCCAAATGCCTAACCGAGAATGGTAGCAGACGCGGGGAGAGGGCCATTCGCCGCCGATCTTAGCGTCTCAGCACATGGGCGCTGGGTCCGGCGATTGACTAGTCAACTCCAATTCCTGAATCCGCGCGTAGTTCAACTTAGAGGCAACCTTGTGGCGGTGAAGAGAAGAAGAAGAAAAAGCCTGGGCGACGAGTCTCGACTTGACGCACTCAAGAGCCTGCAGTTTGGCTCGACCCGCACGGTCGGCTGACTAAGAGAGGATTACGGAGAGAACAGTAACTATATAACTAGTTATTTGCCGGTAGCTGCCTGATAGCTTGATTGCATAAGAATATATAAACAAATGATTCACCTTCTATCATCAAATGGCCGGATGGTGTAGTTGGTTATCACGTATCGTTAACACCGATAAGGTCCTGGGATCGAGCCCCAGTCTGGTCATCTTTTTTTCTCCCGGCCTTCTTAGGCGGTAGTTTATATGTACTTGAGAGGCATGTAGCTCGTTGTTGTATCTAAGCACCAACTGGACTGGTTTTTGGTCGCGTGATCAGCTTTCGCTCTCTCCGTCATATCTTAGCGACTTTCGACGACAATCCTTTGCCAATCGACAACTCATTCTTGCAACCCTGCCCAACACCCCGCAATCGAAGATAGTTTCACTACTAGATTTGTGATTGACAGGAGGTCCGGGCATATGATGAAGATAGACCGACGTGTATTGATTACTCGATCGAGTGGAAAGTAGTTAACCCAAGCCGAAGAATTTATGACTCGGCCAACAATGCCACGCAGGGCTAGTATTGAATCGGACGACATGTCGGCGTGGGTGGCCTTCACTTGACACTCTCAGTGAGAGCTTCACTTGAATCTAACAGTTTTTAGATAATCGACGATAAGAGTTTCTGATATTACTACGTACTTGGTTCTGTTGATCCTTAGTCTAAATATATGTATATAGATCAACCCGGATTGATATAATCGATTGTACTGATCATCAGTAATCAGTAAATTAATAGCCAGCAGCCCCTACTTAAACTGGATCAGCCTTTGTTTTATTTAGGCAAGGCTTCTGGGATAGACTCTGATCCTGAGGGTGATAATAGACCCCCAATGTCCAAGTTCTTAGCAAGAACAGGCGCCCAGTCCTTCGCAGTATGAGTTGATCTCAGGACCTCCACCAAGAATTGATTAGTCTCCGTCGGATACGCCACCCCGGTCCGGTTCTCGCCGTCCTTGGCTATTCGCTGCAGGAGGTCCGCCTTGAGCGCCTCAGTCGCGAGCGCGGCCCAGACCTCCGAGTTGACCAGCCCCTCACTGTGGGGCCAGGAACGCATGGCGTCGAGGGCCTGAACCCGCAATGCGAAGTCCGGACACAGGGTGGCCACGATATGCAGACCACCGATGACCAGCGGTTCTATGATCAAGGTCGTCGTGCTGCGGGCGATGACGCTCATAATCGTGAGGCTGCTCGATAGCAAGGTAGTGAAATCGGATATAAGACTAGCATCACTGCTGTCATGGAGCGTGAGTTTCAATGAGACCGTCTGAACCACCTCAAGATGCTGGAGCACTGCAATAGCACGGTGTTCTTTGCCCGTCAGCGTATGTGCGTGGGCCTGATAGAACAGATTGAGGGCCTGAGTAAACTGCTGGTACCGCGAGAGAATTCGCTGCCGAGTGAGCCAGAAGGTGTCATACTCGTCGAGGATCTTGGATTTGGGCGACTGCCAGGCGTAGCCGATGAAGCGGATGGAATGATTGCTGATCTTCATGAACGCTACTCGGGCATCGGCCGGGCTCTGGATAATAATAGGATCATCTTTGGTCACCCAGTCCGGCTCTTCGCGTTCGATATTTTCCTGCTGTACAATTTGGCGATATAGGTCGGCCTCCATGTCCAGATGATGAAGATAATCGACAAGAGCGGGATCGATCCTCTGCCCACGAGACTGTGCTTCTCGTAGGATTTGCATCCCGTGTTTAACGTGTATAATGGCCATATCAAAGTTGCCCCGCATATGCTCTCCAATCACAAACAACAGGCAGCAGGTTAAAATTGTGTGGATCAGCTGCGGATCGTTGGATCCCTGCCGGCGGCGCAACAGGGCTGATGCCCGGACCGACTGCTCCAACGCGAACATCAAATGGCTATTCTCAGACTGTACCCCGCTAAGTCGCATCCGATTAGCCTCTGCCGCTTGCTGGATCGCACTCAGCATGTTAACCGCATGGCAAACAGCAGGTTCCGTACAGCTCAATCGCAGAATATGTCTTTCCCAGAGGGGAGAGTCAAACAGATCCGCAATACTGGCAACCGTGCGGTGCTGAAAGTACGAAAAACAGCGCTGTTCATCCGACGTCAGAATCCACCCATGTCTCTCGACCCCAAAGATAAGGGGGAGGGTTGATTTCCGCTTCCCGGGGAGTCGGTGGAGATCATAGTCGCATTTTCGACCGGTGGAGGTGCAGTTTTTGCACGCCCCTGGCAATTCGTCACATCGGATCCGTCGCGCACTGGGAAATCAGGTTCGTGAAATGGGGGAGGTATGCTTCCGCCGAGCACTTACCGGCAGGTGCGACAGCCTGTTTTGGATCGCGTGTATGCAGGACGAAATTGGGGGGGTATACTCTCAGTCCCAGGCATGATAGCTATTTAAGCATCCTTGCAACCATTCGAAGACGAAGCGGTACCTAGTAAGGGTCGCGAACAGGGGTCTTAGCTCGGATTTGAAGAATGTCAGTGGTCAGATCTAGTTAGCTTGGGATGGGCGAAGCGTAATGTACCATTCCTTCCTTCAGGTGTGGGTTTTATGTGTTAGTGTTGCCCCTTAATCCGTGTGCCGTGTGTGTATCGTCGGCTGGCACTAACAAACTTTGGCTGCGGGTCCAATATATCCTACTATAGGAGAAGCCGATGCCGTTGTCCAGCACAGAGTAACTTCTGGCTTCAGCGTCGTTATATCTCAAAGAAGGATACTGTAGAGGTATGTAAGTTTCAGATGAAATCGTGCTTGGATGTGCTTGGGTTTGAGGCGTACAGTATGACTACATCCGTAGTTTGGGACTGCAGAAACATTAGAGTGAAGAGTGGGTGGCGGGGATAACTTCCTCTTCGGAGTCGATGGATCCACCTTGAATTGTGCTCCACAGTGGTGCAGCGGATTGCCCACTAACGTGAGGAGATGATTAGCCTTCAGCCGAAGATACGGTAACTAGATTAAAAGGTATGGTCTCGACAAGTCGACGGCGGGTTAATCGGTGCGGTTTGGGGTTCCATCTCCACCAAGCTCATCCATTTGCTAGGGTTGTTCACAAAACCACCGGTAATACTTGCGATATGGAGCAGAATTGAATTACACGAGTATAGAAATTTCAATCTATTGTAACGAACCACACGGTGACGGGAGAAACCCGTGGGTTAGGCAAGGAAAGTGGCTTGATGGATTCAAAACTAATTCTTGCCCTCCTAATTCAAATCCTAGCTAGGCTACATTGTACAGGGTAGAAGCTATAGGGGTCGTTGGCCTCAGAGATCAATTTGTGACTGAACATCATATGGGGGTCGAATACCCGGTGGGTTTCAACCCGGGCCCTGCAGTAGGCTGAGTATACTGTAACATTTAAGTATACGCTCTTGAGATAATACACTAAAGAATAAGTTCAATAAGAAAGATACTGTAGTAAGAAGACAGCCGGGTCTTTGTACTATGCACTTATACTAGTAGACTAATCTTTAGATTTACTTAAGATTCTCCTTGGCGAAAATTAAGACTTCTCATGAATGAGTAGCGACCTAATGTATACTTTTAGTATTCTCGGTCTCCTTTCCACGCCTAAGATAAATACTTACATACTTCTGCTCTGGCACCTTGTTGCAGTTCCGAACTCTTCACGTCATTTCAAAAATGCCCACAGATTGTTCAAGCATTCTGCAAGTGTAGGATGCGCAAATATGCCGTTTTGCAGTTGCCGAAACGTTAATCCTCCCATCATTGCCATTTGCACAACACTCATCAATTCTCCTCCCTCGACGCCCAAGCACGAGTAGCCCAGGATGAGTCCGCTCTCGCCGTCGACGACTGCTTTCATTGCTCCTCTGGTCTCGTCAATCTCCAGAGCCCTTGCTACATAACTCATTGGCATCAGTGCAGTCAGGATTTTCTTGTCGGGATGCCTATCCCGTGCTTCTTGCTCATGTAACCCGACGTGCGCAAACTGAGGGTCTGTGAATGCTACATATGGAATTAGCCGATCTCTCGTTGACAATTCGGCAGCCGTAGAACAGGATGTCAAAAGATTGGATTTGAGGATCCGGAAGTCGTCGTAAGAGACGTGTGTGAACGCAGGAGGACCTTTGACATCGCCCAACGCATAGACTGAAGGTGTAGAGGTCCTCAGTGACCCATCGGTGATGATATAACCCTTCTCGTCCGTCTTCACGCCCGCAGCTTCCGTTCTCAGACTCTCAGTGTTCGGGATACGTCCAGCTGCGAAGAGAATATGTGTGGCGCCCTGCAAGACCCGGTCGCCTTCTTTGCCTTTCGTCCAAACGTCGAATGTCCCTTCGCTTGCGGGGGCTAGACGAACCGGGGCAGTACCCAAGAAGACATTAATTCCCGATTCTTGGAATATATCGAGTAAAATGCCTGCCAGCTCCTTGTCTTCACGAGGCAACAGCTGGGTTCCTCGATGAAGAATCGTCACTTTCGCCCCAAGTCTACGAAACAGCTGTCCGAATTCGACCCCAATATATCCGCCACCAACAACCACCAGGTGTTTGGGAACGCTCCCCAACTCCATCACCGATGTCGAATCCAGGATCCTCTCCTTAGGAATCGCATGAATGCCCTCAATATCTGGCACGGCCGGTCGGCAACCCGAATTAATGACGATCTTCTCTCCAGTAACCGTCCTGTTACCGCCATCATGCATCGCAACCGTCAGAGTCTTCCCATCAATGAAACTCGCCTCACCCATCAAGATGTCAACTCCAGCCGCTTCCAACCGGCTTTGACCACCCTTGCGGAAGGACTCCACGATCTCGCGCTTGCGCTGTCGAACTTTTTTCATATCGATGGCCACTGAATTCTGATCCTTATCGCCCCGAGCCGGCATATACACCCCGTAGTCGGGCCCTCGCCGCGTCAGATACGCCACTCGTCCGGAGGCAATCATGGTCTTGGTAGGCGTACATCCTTCGTTGACGCAGCAGCCCCCAATGTGCTCTCGTTCGATCAAAGCGGTCTTATACTTTGCCTCAGCGAAGGCTTTGGCAAGTGGCGTGCCGCCTTGCCCGGAGCCGATAATAATCGCATCATAGTGGGTGGTTGCGGCGACTGTTGCCATCTTTCTGTAGATTATGTGCGCTTTGAGGGTGTAACGGGCAACGAGGCGTAGAGGCATGTTTGATTTATCGGACATTCTTTAGTGCGGGGTAAGCATTGGGGAGATAAAGGTATGGAGTATGGAGTATGGAGTGGGGTAGCGAGAGCTCGTATTTCGATCTTGGTGGGGAGGAGTATAGAATCTCCACGACACATGGAGGGATTCCGTGGATTGGGATTCCGCATTTGGTAATCCTGCTCATTGTCCAGCGGTTCAAGGTTCGATACTCGAGATGGACGGTCCGTGAAACCGCAGGCCTGGAAGATGCGAACGTCCGAAGATAACAGTCTCGAACCAATGATGTTTGAGGCCGATTCTCCATGGCCAGTGTCAAATCTTAACTTCTTCCAAGGGAGCCTGGGCAGCCTCTCCAGTTACGTCTTGGTTAATAGGTCAACTACTGCGTGCGTGCGAACGCAAAGCAGGAAAGATTTTGAAGGAGTATCACATTGTCTGAGATATGATTCAGGACAATCCTCAATCCACAATATCCATCAGGTCTGCCTCGAGCTGAATCTCTGCAGTGCCCATCATCAGAGCCAACTGATAGATGAACCGTCATCGGTCGATGCCCGGTCCCCCTCGATCTCACCCCGTTGCTCCAAGTATCTCTCAGGTCTATGATTTATTTTTCTCAGGGCATCGACTCTTCTGACTGAGATCTCAAAAGTTTTCTGGTTTCTCACCGTGATCATGGCACCGCGAGTGGGTCAAAATGCTACGTCTTTCGATCACGATCCTCCCCCAGCTACACCTGTGGCTCATATTACCCGTTATTCATCTAGACATTTCCACTGCGACCGGTCTGATGAGCTGTCAAGTATATGGTCCTGCAGAAAACGCTTCTACTCGTCAGCGCTACCCAGTCCCAAGTTGCCGAGTACATCAACTAGCTCGAATTACAATATTGGTGGTTCTAATAATAGTCAGCCTCGGCTGGGCCCAAATGTCCCGGTTATGCACGGTGCAGATATCGGTACCGGCCGTTGGCTGTCTCTCAAAGTCAACCATGCTGCAGGCCTGGTCAAGGGCTGACAGCTGGGTTGGAAAGAGCTGAGCATGTGCGGCAGGGGTTGGAATTCGGTCGGCTGGTTACACTATTCCTGCCATGGTTTGCCGATAGGGACGCGTCGTCCTCTCTAATGGAAGTTGGTGATTACTTGATTGGCGGTGCATTGAGAGGCAAGAACCACGTAATTTGTACTTCCGTTATTGTCAAGGCAATGTATCGTCTACAAGGAAGTCACTCGCGGCCTTGATTTGTAGTCATACGAGAGAGATACCCACAAACACCTGAGACGAGTAAAATCAAATTACATTTCACCGGCGATTTACTTGAGATATGCTCACAAGGGAAAGCCCGTAGGAGTCGCCCGTGGGCCTATGCGCACGCTGTTCATATATTAAGGTAGTTTGTCTGTTACTTCTTTCCTGGTTCGCCGAACGGGGTTCGTAGATACCTCTCATTGTTGCTGTCGTACTTGTCTCTAGTATCATGAAGACTCCTTTGATCTGTCTCTTTATATCAGCGGCAGTCGCTGCCGTACTACCATCACTGACTGATCTCTCTCCAGCAGCGGCTACCCTGACAGCTCACACTGTGGGCGCACCACCACTTTTCACCGGGGAGACCATTCAACTGACCGAAGGAGTTCTGCATAAGCTCAGAGAAGCTTCCAAAGGTGAGAGTCTCTCGAATCAGTTCGGATTCGGCAACGAGCAGTCCCGAACCAACATCACCCGTCAATGTAAGATCCTGCCAGGTGATCCAGCCTGGCCATCACAGTCCACATGGGATCTATTCGACCAGCTCCTCGGCGGTCGTCTGCTACGACCCTCACTGCTGGCATCGCCGTGCTATGCAGAATGGCCAGAGTTTAACAATGCAACGTGTTACAATTTGAGCATGAACTGGCTCAACTCGTCCCTCCAGTAAGCCACCCCCGCTTGTCTGTGTTGAGATCAGCTCGTTTGATCCATCAACCCCAGCATCGGGCATCCAACTTCCATCATGAACCCTCTCTATGCAGGGCGCAGTTGCATGCCATTTGGCTTCAACTATACCAACACGTGCACTGAAGGTGGTTATCCGGCTTACGTGGTCAACGCATCGACTGCTGCGCAGGTTCAGCTCGCTGTCAACTTCGCGCGGAACTCGAACCTTCGCCTCGTAGTCAAGAACACTGGACATGACTTCAACGGCAAGTCGTCCGGTAAAGGGGCATTGTCTATCTGGACACACTGGCTCAAGGACAAGGTATTTTATCCTTCGTTCGCAGCAGACGACGGGTATGTCGGGCCCGCGATGAAGCTTGGGTCGGGGGTTCAAGCCTTCGAGGCATACGAATACGCCAAACAACACAATGTGACGGTAGTAGGGGGCGAAGGTGTGACCGTTGGCTTGGCCGGTGGGTATACCTTGGGTGGGGGGCATTCACCGTTGAGTAGTCTGTATGGTATGGCGGCGGACCAGGTATTAGCACTACAAGGTGCCATCCAATTCATCTCTTTTCGAAGCTTTCGAGATTGACTCCCGGTAGTGGTTCTCGCTGATGGCCGGTTCATTACTGCCACCAGTAAACAGCACGCCGATATCTACTGGATGCTGTGTGGCGGCGGCGGAAGCACGATCGGCGTGGTGACCTCCATCACTATCAAAACATACCCTCAAATACCGACGACAACAGTCACCTTCAACTTCACGGCCAACGACACTCCCGGTCCGACTGCTTTCTGGGCAGGGGTCGAGTCATATCTGGACAACATCGAGAGGCTGGTTGACGCCGGGACCTATGCCTACTATGACCTGGGCGCATCAGTCGCGGAACGAGGCACGACTTACCCCGGCGACACCGACTACTATCTGCGAATCCAGTCTCTTGTTGCCCCAAATATGACCATCGCTGAGACGCGAAGCCTGCTGCAGCCATGGTTTGACAGGCTGGACCGCCTGGGAATTCGCTACACTCCCCAATACTACTATGCGAATAACTTGTGAGTTGAGGCATGGCGGCGAGCATTATCCACCCTCCCCACTGACTGGCTGGTCGCAGCCACGATGCCTGGAAATTCGCCTTTCCCCAGGAGTACATGGGCGCGGCCACCACGAAGATCGCCTCGCGTCTCCTTCCCCGCCAGGCATACCATGACGACGCAGTCCGTCAGCGGAACTTCCTCGCGCACAAGGACGCTGTCGCAAATGTAACGTTCGGACCTCCATACCTATCCAGCAATTCCAACCACACAAACCACAATACTGACAAGAAGCAAACCCTTCCAAAGGGCTTCTCAATCGCAGGCTTCCACCTCACCGGCAAGGGCAGAGCCGTTGCCCCACCCACGAACAACGCCGTGTTGCCCGCATGGCGCGAGACCCTCACGCACGCAATCGTCATCGGACAATGGAACTCCACCGCCGACTGGAAGACTGTGGAACGCACCTCCAGCGCGCTCACGAAGTGGATGCAGGCCCTGCGCGACCTGGGAAGCTCGGGAGCCTATATGAGCGAGGCAGATCTTCTTGAACCCGACCTGACCGATGCCTTCTACGGTGTCAATTATCCGCGGTTGCACGCGTTGAAGCAGAGGTATGATCCGACTGGGGTGTTTTTCGCACTTACGGCTGTTGGGGCGGAGGACTGGACGGTTCTGGTCGAGGATCCTCTACCGGAGTCATGGAATAATAATGGCAGGCTGTGTCCCCGGGGGGTGAAATAGATGTTATCAGTGATTCCAAGCGAGTTGTCTCAGCACCGCCGTGTTAATTAGCTAGGCTTAATTATCATACACCACAGCAAGAAATCCAGAAGATCGTTCCAAGCAACCAGTTCTTGAGCGATCAGAGATCAGCAGATGACGAGCTTGGGGCCTCGCAGGCTCTGAGATAGGCATTTACCTTTCCCTCCTAGTCTTCTATAGAGCTATCCGTATGTGCCAAGATGCCTGATATCGCCGAGCTAACATACAACCGATATCCTCCTGTTAGAATCGGTTACAGTTGGGCTCCCCGGCTGGGGTATCAGTCTATATACAAATAGAATCCGCCAGTTGGTAGACCAGTTATTAGACTGTTCTCTATACTCCCCGACCCTCACGTAGCACTTCGCCTTCCTCACGTAGATATATGTCCCACATAGTTCCACGTAGATAGCTTGCAAATTAAATTAAGTCAGCTTAATTTCATCCCTTCTCTGCTTCGTTGGTTGGCTGCTTCAGCGCCTGCGGGCGGCGGCAGGTAGGCTTCTCCTCCCACTGGCAGACGCCTTCACAGCTTACACCTACACAGTTCAGTGTCCAAGTCTGTTTGTCGTATTCCTTCACCAGTTGGCCCGAAGGCTTCCGGTTCTCGCGGTCGCGATATGATGAAAGAGAGCAGGCTGTCCAAAGGAAGCCATCAGTCAGCGCCCGCGATTCGACTGGCAGTCCCCGGGGAATTATAGATGTTGTGGACTACCGATACCTGCGGCCTCTCGCCCTCAGCGACTGGCTGACTGGGGCGGATATGTATCGACATAATATGCTGGTTGTAGTATCGGAAGGCCAAACGGAGTTTCTTTTGGACAAATGTGTATATGCGCGGGCGCAGCGGCTGCAGGAGGGTTGGCCAGATCAATGTATAGTTCTCCCTCATCTGCGGAGGATAGTGGGTGGTGTCAGTGTATGTCGACGCCCACGGCTCCGGCAGGGCCACCACGTTGCAGTCCTACACCCGAATGTCCCGCAGCAGGGCTGCCATGGCGTGGTCGATTGATCAATGCATTTGTATATCGATTGACTCCTTCTAGAAGTTCTATGAGTGTGTGATTCACTAGGGGAGAGGGGAAGTTAGGAATTTTGGTTCTATGGCGGCACATAGGCAGCATTTTCGATGGAAAGGGGGCTATGATCCCAAAGACAGACTGGATCCATACATCCAAATCCACTGCAACCGCTCTCTTCGAACTTTGCGTCAACCTCTATGCTAGAACAACATCACGCAACAACAAAAGCAGCCTCATCTCTTCACAATTAACCGCATAAGCTACCTCCGACATACGACCTCCGCGCTCGGTATAGAGATCCACGCATCCACATCCTCACCCCATTCGCGCCAAACCGTAGCAATTCCTTCCAGCTCCTCTGGCGTGGCAAACCCATTCTCAGTTGCCCCCTTGGCAAAAGCTGACTTGACTGCTCGTTCCTGCCACGTCTCACTCCACCACTTGACCTCATCCGGTTTTGCAAAACACCAGGAGCTAACGCTGCATTCCACCTCCTTGAAGCCGGCCTTCCTGGCCCAGACATGCAAAAAGCGGCCCGCATTCGGCTCGCCCCCATTCGTTCTCGCGACTTGATCATACACCTCCTGCCAGCGTCTGAGTCCAGGAAGCTCGGGGTACCACATGAAGACCGCGTAGTCTGCTTCACGAGCGGCAACGATCCCGCCGACCTTGCACACACGGCGCATCTCCGACAGCACAGCTACAGGATCGCCGACGTGTTGGAGCACCTGATGGCAGAAGACGACATCAAACGTTTCGTCCGCGTAAGCAAGGGCGTTGGCGTCACCGGTCGTAAAGTCGATGTTGGTGATCTCGCGAGCAGTGGCACGTTCGCGCGCGCCAGGCAGGATGTCGCCGACCATGTCAAGACCCGTGACGTGACCCTCGGGCACGTAGGTAGCCAGGTCAATCGTGATGGTGCCCGGACCACAGCCGATATCGAGGATCTTCATGTGCGGCTTCAAGTAGGGGAGCAGAAACCGTGCGGAATTTAGGGCTGTGCGTTGGCCGTGACTGCGGAGGACAGACGCGTGGTGCCCGTGGGTGTAGGTCGCCTTCTCGCTCATTGCGATGGTTGGATAGCTAACGATTAATCACTGAATTGAGATAGGGAGAAGAAAGATGAGATGCTTGATTGAATACCGTGAGGTACGTGGATGATGGAGGTTTTATAGTGCTTTGTTTTGCTGTCCTGCGGGGGCCGATATCGGCGGGCTCGGCTGGATGATGGCAATGCTGGTAGTTACTGATACTGCACAGCTCGAAGTCTGCACTGTATGCAATTTAATTGCACCCCTTGTGTATGCTTACTAACTGTGAAAGGACTACTAGACCTCGTCTCATTGGCTGAGCAAGGAAGCGGGCGTGACCAGACAGCTGGCTTGGGTACTCGCTCGGTACTAAGTACCGCGGCGTCGTAACTAACAACTACGTTAAGATCTTCTGTATTCTCACCAAAAGAATTATTGAGAAGTACTCCGCTGGACTTCATATGCCCATATAGCACCAGCACTTCCCATTCGCCCAGAATGATGGATAACGTGCTACTAATCCTAGTTCTAACCTTTTGAGACTCAACTATGGTATCGCATTGGCGCTCAATTCGAAGCCCAAATAAGTAGTAGGGCATCATCGCCATGCTAGACGACTTTGGAGCAAAGCCTCGAAGTGAAAGATGTGCATGAGAGATTTTGATCATTTTGAGAAGACGTGTGGGGCGATGACTTTGCGAAACAGGATATCACTAAGCCCAAACCGTGGAGTCAAGGGCGTGGATGATTCGGGACGAACAAGATGGATTGGTTTCAAACAAAGACGATCGGCAGACATTGTAAACTAAGGTAACTTATTTGCCTCTCAATCCAGTCTTTGGTGCCTTACCAACTACTAGGTCGTCTGTAAGCCAGGCAAGCGGTGTTTGCGCTGATTGGGTGTATGAGGATGCGTGATTGCATAGACGAGGCCAGCAGAATGTTTTTTCCTTGGTTGCTTTCCAGGGGCGCGTTTCTAGAATGATCAAAAACCGAGTCGACGGGCTTTTTGGACAATGATATGAAGTCTAGGGTGGGTCAGCATACACGGAAGGTCGGAAATATTCATGGCTAAGGTTGTTCTTCACCATCCGCTCAGGAGGTCTCGTTTATCGCCAGGCTGAGGTACGTCATCCACTGCAGCAAGTCTTGCATTGACCATATCGTCGCCAAAGCAAAGTATTTTTAACAAATCTTCAAAAGTGACACAGCATTTACGCTGGTATGGCTGGGTTCGAGTTCTCTTCGGGGCTTCTGGTAATCTTGTCAAAGACTAGTTTTAGAGCATAGGGTTGAGAAGGGATACCCTGATACGAAAGCAGGTCATGCCGACCTTCTGTGATGTACTTGCTTCCTGGCCCTCGAATTTCGTCGTCTTGCCTTCATGACGCATCGGTTGAGTTTGCATGAGCTGAATATCCATCACGAAGTTCATGCACGTTGTTGTAGGACAGAGATCCGTTATGGGGAGCCTCTTACATAGCCGGCCACGAGGCCGGAGCAATGAGACCAAAAATAGGTTGGAAATCAGATTCCCTCACCTGAGGCCCATCGAGATAATATTATCCTATACGAATGCTCGGATGCAAACATAGTCAGCGAAACATTGATTCGAACTCCGGCATTCCAGTGACGCGATCTCGTATTCCACCCGTATACTTCATTTTGAGCAAGGTTTTAGGAAGAGAGAACCGCAACCATCGGCATTTCCTGCTTGCAAATTGGGTACCCTTGCTAAGTATTCGTATCTGATACTGGGTCGAAATATCATATCATGAGGAATGCACAAAAAGAGCGAGCGCTCGCCCAGTCTGAACGTATCTACTCATGAAGACACAATACTGCGGCTCCAGCATTAGATTCTAGGAGCCCAGCACAATGGCAATCCCCGCACGTATCATGATGCTCATATTCTGTCTTTGTTTGTTGCAGATGCCAAGAGATGTCGTTTCAATTACCACTCGTCAACACTCGCAAGACTGTCGTTGTTTACCAGATGACAACTGCTGGCCAACACTCCACGATTGGAATACGTTCAACCGTAGCGTCAATGGCCGTTTGATCCGCATTCGACCTGTTGGTGCAGTTTGCCACGGAAGGGAGTATAATGCAGCGCTCTGTGCTATCGCCCAGAACTCAACCCATGATTCCCTTTGGCGCATTGAGAAACCAGGTTGGTGTTTATTCCCAGTCACACAAAGCATGGCCCTGCATTCCTCAGTCAACTGCCCCACCAGGTCTCATAGATCTACTACAGAGCCAGGCAGCTAAGAATGACCTGTCTGTCTGTTAGGGGCATTACAATCGGTGACTTGGGAAACCCGGCCATATCGCAACAGAAGCTGCTTCATCGACACTCCTCGTGCGATACCATGTGACCAGGGCCGGATTCCTGTATACGGGGTCCTGGCGCAAACAGCTCAAGACATACAAGAGGCCGTTCGCTTTGCGAGCTTCCATAACCTGCACGTCGCAATCCGAAATACCGGCCACGATGGGATCGGCAGATCCAGTGGAGTAGGATCCTTCCAAATCAATGTAAATCTCTTGAAGGAGATACAGTTCATGCAGGAATTTGTCCCGCAAGGCGGAGACAAATCTGAGGGATCGGCAGTGACCATTGGCGCCGGGGTTTTAGGGCTCGAAGCCTTAGCGGCGGGCCGGGAGCATGGCGTGAACATGGTAACGGGGACTTGTAGTACTGTGGCTGCGAGCGGAGGGTTCTTACAAGGTGGTGGACTGGGGTTCTTGGGGCCTGCTTATGGAATCGCCTCAGATAATGCGCTGGAATTTCACGTGGTTACTGCCAAGGTCGGTGACGCCCAATCCTGCTTGTTATCATCATGGGATAAGAGCTGACGGAGGTTCATCGCCCCCAAAAAAAGGGAGATCTGGTGATCGCCAATGAGTACCAGAACAAAGACCTCTTTTGGGCCCTGAGAGGGGGAGGCGGTGGGACGTTTGGGGTGGTGGTCAATACCACGATTCGCACATTCCCAGACGTACCAGCGATCCACTTCCTCTTGACGGCAGATCTTCCCAGGCATCCAACCAGGACCAGCGATGCCGACCAAGCTATTTGGGATATCACCACCGAGCTAACCAACCTGCTCCCTGTGCTGAAACACAAGGACAATAAGACCAGTGCCATTATCGTGCCGCGATTTCTAGAGGACCGCGCAGTGCTTGAGGCACATGTCTTGTTCGTCAACACCAGCGACAAAGATCCCGTGGAAAAGCACCTCAACATGCTGCACAGTGCACTGGAAGCCAAGGGACTCTCCCCAGCATACAAATCCGAGTTGACCAGGTACCCAAATTTGTCGGCTTGGCTCAATATCCCTAGACAAATGACAGGTGCAGCCTACGGGCTGATCGAAGGCTCAGTCCTGATCTCCGAGGACTTGTTCTTCTCGCACAATGGAACCTCGCATATCATGGACGTGCTTTCCAACTTGGAATATATAGTGGGAGACTCAGTGGAGATTCTAATGTCAGTTGGAGGACAAGTCAAAGCAAACAAATACACTGTCGACAGTGCATTGCTCCCATCGTGGCGTGAGGCCGGTTTGCTGCTGACAATCCGACGAACTTTGCCAACTACGTCTCTGACTCAGATCATGGTCAATAGTCAGATGCCAATGGTTCGAGCTCTCCAAGTCCCGCCTTTGGGTTCATACTACAATGTTGCCGATATTGAATTGCCAGACTCACGCCGTGCTTTTTGGGGCGAGAACTATGCCCGACTGTATTCGATAAAACAGGTCTGGGACCCAGACGGACTGTTCATTGTGAGGATGGCTGTTGGGAGCGAGGATTGGGATGATGAGGGAATCTGTCGGGTGTAGTAAACATTGTGTACCTTGTTCTTATCTGTAACCGAAGGTAGTGTCGTCTGTGTTAAAGTAGAAAAGGAAGCTTACAGCTGGCAAATCGATCCTTTTGCCTTCGTACTTACTCTGGCACACATGTCATCATGTATGTGAACTTAGGCCACATGAAACCGAGTCATCGCCAGACGGATTTATGAGACATCACAACCATTTATGCGGTTAAGGAGATTACATCTTGACCCGTGCGGACATTCCAGAAAGATGCGCGCCTCCAAGGTTCTTACAGAAAGACTCGCTCAATGTGTTTAGATAAGAGTCAAATGCAGACACTAGATCATGAGCGCGAAAGCTGTGTGAAAAGCACTAACATTAAAGCTATCAACCATGAATATGCAGGCAGATCGTCAGCGCAAAAATCGCAGCTCATATCAGCAAACATTATTTCCAGCCAGGTCCGATTAAATCCACAACCTGATCAATTTTATTTTGACCTCCCGAAACAACCATAGGCGGCAATTGAGCATTCAGAGACCTCGGTAATACACAGTGGTATATGGCCCAGTCTTTGCCGAGTAAGAGAACGAGAGCCAGAATTGCACATCGGTAGCCTGATCCAGGTCGAGTGCAGGACTAAGTAAGGAATCCATGTCAGCCGATATCTGAGCTTTCGAGGAGAAGAAGGATTAAATGCGAGGAGATTCAGAAACTCACTAGCACAAGGTCATATTCTCCCTATAGACACTTGCATGGTCGGTCCATCCGATCCGCTCAAAAAAGGCCACCATCGCATCAATGACTGTATTCTCCGTCATTCCAAACAACGGGAAATAAACCTTCGGGACTGGGCAGGGGTCACTCGGATGGATTTCATAATTCAGAATGAGGAACTTCTGGTCATAGTTGATTTGCCGTTGAGAGGTAGACCCCTCAAGGACAGGTTGTCCTGCAGCGGTGGGTATGTTGCCATTTTGCTCAGTAATACTGGAATCGGCCGCGTTTGTCGCATAGGCGATGGGGAAATGATAGCCCTCGTGGATTTGGAGGATGTCCCAGAGCTGGCGCAGAACCTCTAGCCCCCTCTCGATGCCAGGACACTCGCGCTCACGAAGGCGGCCGCCCAGCGTCCACAGCTCAGCCAATCGATCTACATTCAGCATGCACTCGTGGAGGTAGAGCTTGAAGCGTGTGCGAGAAATATCCACCAGATCTGTTCCGACTTGAATCATTCCGCGGGGATTGAGTGAGGTGGGGCACGCGAACGCCATTTGATCTGGGGTGCCCTCGCTCGCATCCAGAAAAGCCTCGATGGGCTGCAAGCCGGCCTGGAAGAGGTTGGTGCCCCGGTCTATCTTTTTGATCGCATCCAAAGCCAGCGTCGAAACTGGGGTAGCGGTCGCCATGGATTTCCCCATAAGGAAGGTGTAGAGTTTGACGGTCATTTTACCCTCCTTACGCAAATCCAGGGCGATGCCGGTTTGAGTGTTGAAAATCGGAGGGAGCGGGCTCTTTCTGGACAATCTGCCCTCTTCCTGTTTGGTCAAGGCCAGATCGCCAGCCAGCTGTTGGTAGAGACGAAGATCCATCTCGATACCATCCACCTTGGCGAATTTGGCGAGCAGTTCTGGTGCTGAAAGCCGATTGAAGGGGTCCTTACCCGGCACGCTGGCGAGATAGCTGGCTGGTATGAAGGCGAGTCGGATTATGCATCCCGATTGCTGAAAGTTCTGGCTGAATTCAAGGTCAAATACGCCACGGTAGAGATTGTATCTGGGGCTTTCCGGGGAAGGGCCCAGAGCAGGGATGACATGATGAGCGAGAAACGTCAGGTATTGGTACTGTTTGTCGACATTGTAGTCGGCATTCGATAGCATCTGCGCCAGAACGGGTGCAGCACGGTGCCACCAATCATATTCATCTGGATTCTGAAACAGGAGAGATTGACTGAGGAATATGTAAGGGGATTTGGCTCCCGGACATGTACCCGGAGAGAGATGGCTTTGCAATTTGGTCGTCATGGTGTGAATAATATACGATAGGCGATGTAGTACTTAGCACTATAATAATTGATAAGGTTTGTGTAGCTTGAGAATGGCAGGATTGGTGGCCGATGGGCTCCCTTTTAAATCATGTCACCAGAGCCAAAACTTGTTGCTAGCTACGAATTCTACCAGACCTCAAACGGTTTTCTTAGTCTGGAAGTGCCGGTATACCCTGACAGAAGGTGGTTTAGCCTAGGCTAACTTCCATTACTCGTAATATGCGAGCCAAGGGTGTTACCAGGTAAACGAGTTGGAATCTTGGAATAGCTGAATGCTCTCAGCCCTTAGCATCCTTCAGGCATTTTGGTATGTTTAAAATTATCAAGAACATCTTCGTCTGTAGTAAGACCATCGTTTACCGTGCCTATTCTAAATACACCAAGAGGAAAAGTAACTTTCATGAGTTCAACATGCGAAGAGATGAACAGAGAGATCAGTCAAAGGTGGACTGCAGGATCTGAGGGGATTTCAGGTGCAGATACAGAGCAAGAAACGCAAAGCACAAAGACATGATTCCAGAACGGCTTCCGTATGACGACCATGGTGAAACCGAGAGACGGTCCACGTTGTCGGATCATATGCCCTCGTGATTGTCATTTTCGCCGACTGCATCCTCACTCGGACCACGTTTCCACATTACTTTTGCATGCAGTCAATGTAAGTCGTGCCTTCTCTAGGCTCGTATAGATCCACCTCTCCGCCAACACGCTTCGTAGGCCCATGATCCTTCTCGCCCCTGCATTTCGTGTTGCTGTTGTACGATCTCGATCTTCAACCCGCTCGTGGTGCCCAGTGTAACAGAACCTCGTGTAGGTATGATGAATTCTTGCGAAGGTGCGACTTGTGAAGCAAGTATCTGCGCTGTCTGAACAAGGTGACGTGTAAATATAGACTTTCTCTACAGACCGCACTACGGTGTATGTACAACGCTTTTGCAATCTAGGCTACATTTGGGATAGCTGCTGGTTCTGATACCCGATGCGAGAAGTGATTGCGGTGGTATCTTGGCTTCAAGTATCAATCTGAGCTGGGATCAAACCGGCAGGTCGAAGCATTGCTTCCTCTAATCCAACAGAAGTCAGTCCAGCTCTGTGTTACCAAAGTCATCATGAGCGTATTCGACCGGTTTGATAAGACATCTCCGCGAATCTGATCGATAGGGCCGTACAGAGCTCATAACACAAGGGTCTGAGCAGTCAGACGCTGACACATGGTCCTCAGCTTGCTTCTCCATTCGGTGCTAAGACTTAGATGCGGAACCATGCTGTGACCACAGTACTGCCCTATGTTGGGGCCACGGAGTACTAGTTGTGGATGAAGTGGTAATGATCATCGATGACAGCCTCAGCTGAGCTCCTTGTGCCATTCCCAAGAACATAACTAAAATGCACCAACTCGTTATCCATACGGGCCGATGTTCGCCGATGTTCTGCGTGACACTGAACTCTAGGCCTGTTTTCCTACTCCAAAAGAGCTGACGAGACCAGATATCCTTCTGGGCTGACTCGAAATAATGCTGACTTCACCAGGTTGGCTAGAGCTTTCGATTGTTCTCTGCTAAATTCCAACTGTCAGTGTATGACCGCAAGTTTGAAGAAGGATGACACCATGTGCTTGCCCTTTAGATCACGAAAAGGCCAACGAACGGGTGGTGTACAGTACAAGTAAGGAGGACAACCTTCACAAGGTACGTCGAGTTATACCCATATTTCCCGATGACCATCCCGCGTTGAGTTCGAGGCCCAGATGGTCGCGGGTATTGTACGTCTCGCAGGGAATTAATGCTCCGAGGTGATTTACACCTTTCTCTGCGGCAGTCTAAGCAAAAATCATACGCGCTTTGATCCTATTATGCTCTAGTCTGAAAAAGAATTGCTGGTGGATCCAAGAAGCAAGCCCTTGGTGAGTTCTAGGAAGGTGATATCCCCTTCAATGGAAGTAAGATTTTCGACGAGCGTCAGCTTGTGCCAAGAGCTGCTTTTCAGCTTGAGGTACCACGGGCAAGCTTCAGGGCTGGTCATCATTTGCACGATAATCCCCTCATTCTGGATTGACCTTCGGTGAAATGTCATCCTCAGCGTAGGCGCAGTTTAGCTCCAAACGTTCATTCGGCAAGGGCCCAAGGGTCTCCGTAATGTTAGTAGTTTTTTCTGCCTGGCGCTGTGACGTATTGTTTGCATGCTCGGTCTGAATGTCTAACACAAAAGGTTTGGGAGGATGATATAGAAATCCAGTTGCAAATGACTGGTTGTGGTTGGTTTATATAGGTGAACTAGAGCCCATAAACAAGCGGGAACAATTTAACCGATGCAGGATATATGCTATGCTTACAGTGCTGAGAAGGACGAGTTCATAATTGAAGCACAATTTTCTCCTTATGCTGTGCTTGTCATGGTATCTGCCAGAGCGACATACTATCCCAACTGAATCATATAGAAGTACATTCACTCGACCTGCCTGTATAATCCACACAAGCGAGCACGCCCGCCGCTTGTAGTCGCATGCTGGGTGCCTGGTTTAATAGCCCAACCGATGCTGCATTGCAAGACAAGACTCTATGAATTGGCTTTGGACCCCTAAATCTTTCGCGACGCATGTGCAATTCAAGTACTTGAAATCCATATTATGCCATAGACTTTTTTTCCAAAATATTCATCGAGCTTATAACCACGCCGTGTCCTATTCATGTATCCTACCACTACACAAAAGTCAGTTGCCACAGAAGACGACAGGGAATTGGCGACTGAACACCTTGTTTTCTTGTCGGTCGCAGGGTTGGAATCTGCGGTCTGTAGCGATCGATAGAAAGCTCTTCAGATTTTCCTTAGCCGAGGACACTGTAGGGCCGTGCATTCTTCATGCACAGTGGTACAAAAGCTGCAAGGTTGATCGATCGGAGGGTAAATGCCGAGTTTACTAACCTTGTAGCTGACCCTGTAGCTGACGGCAGACAAGCACCAATTCATATAAGCTTGTCCGTCTTTTCGCTGTCATTGCTTATGAATCATACGAGGATTTCACAGCTGTACAACATCCGCGAGTGTTTAGGTGCCATGCTGACCGCGATTCCTCCCAAGCATTGTTCCATATAGCTTGTTGATTGCAGACGACCAGTGAGCAAGTCTACAAAGACGGACATTCTTTTTCATGGATTAGTGAACACTGTGTCAAATTTGCACGCCACATAGCTTTTGGAAGCTATATTCTGTACTGCAGGTTAAATCCCAAGTGTATCATAAGCCGGGATCTTCCTTGCATATCCCTCTGTTTTGCTACACAGTGAAGACATAACATCCATCCTCGTTACATGAGAGGCATAATCCCAGGAGGCCAATGCGAGGTGCAGCATGACTGTGGCTGCACTCCACGGCATCGGAATCGCCGTAGACAAATCAACACCTATTCCCTCATTGCGTGCTGCACCTCTGGCAATCTCTCTCCTCCATTAGATGGCATCTGTTCGTAGGTGTGAATGACTTTTCGCTCCGCAATCCGCCATCCATCCGACCGCTTGACTAGACTATCGTCGAAGAATCCGTAGATCCTTCTCAGTTCTCGCCTCGGCTCTCCGGGGTAGAAGTGGATGCCGATGCAGTAGGTTCGGGCTGTTGCCGTGATAGGACTTTGCAGCTGGATGACCTGGGTTCCCAGGCAGTGGTACGTTGTGACGCCATGGAGTCGCGTTTTCAGCAGCGCTTCCAGGCCTCCAATTCCATGGAGTGTCCCCACCGGCGCTGGATAATGAATCACCGCGTCCGGCATGAACGCTTCAACCAACAGGTTGGTGTCAGCTCGATCGACGGCGATGGGCCAGTGAGCGATGGCATTCCGAATGAGATCGTGGTCGGAAACAGACATCTCTCGTAGTGGCGCTGGTTCATGCAAGAGGAAGAGGCTGGGAGAAAGTAATAGGAAAAATGTTGCAAACGCCACTTTCAGGCGGGCTATATGGTTTTCTCTGACGCTCTTTACTCTAGCTGCTGCTCTTATATCACTTATCACCACGTCATTTCTTTGCGGCACGCATGAGACTGTCCATCCTCAATCGTATTCAGCATCCGGCCATCCCGGAATCGCAGTGTGCTCACTTTCAACGGTTACACATGCGGCTGAAAAGTCATAACGTCGGGGTTTGCTGCTTGAGCATGATGTAGGTTTGTAATCGAATACGATTTGAGGGTGCTTGAATGATGTGCTGGGGGTCGTTTGCAGCAAGTGCCTAGGTAGTAATATCATCCCGTCACGTCGACTCTGCGGACACTTCTCGTGTAGAGTGTGTATATCTGAATCCTAAATAAGATTCCGAAGATTGCCGTGCTGGGCGTACGACGAAGATATTTGAGCAACCTCGACCCCTGGTTTAAATATCTGGTATCAATCTTTTGAATCACGACTTTATGCACTGGTCAAAAACTCGGTTGCAAATATCTCTTGCTAATTCAATACCTATTGCTTCGTTAGAGTCCAAGATACCGAAAGCATCGAGCATCATGGTATGTAGCTCATTCGCTTCCAGTTCCAGGTCATCAATTGACATCTATGACAGCCTCTCTTGCCTACCTCCACCATGATACCCCAGACTCTGCAGCAGGCGATGGTAGCCACGGTTGGCAGCTCAGATAGCGGAGCTCTTTTTATCTACTCGCCTGGAAATCTGAGCAAGCCAGTCGAGATATCGTATGCAAGACTGCTGCACCAAGCGCGGCAGGCAGGCTCGGCTCTCCAGTTCAAACCGGGGTCTATTGTTCTTCTCCATTTCGACAACCACGGAGACCGGGTGCTGTGGCTCTGGGCGTCCCTCTTTGCTGGCTACCTTCCTGTGATGTCTACTCCATTCCCCGACAATTCCAATCGTCGACTGGCCCATTTGGAGCATTTGGCTCAACTTTTCAATAAGCCAGCGTGTCTCACCACTGCCCACCTTCTCCCGGCATTCGCTGGTCAAGATGGGATTGTGCCGACATGTGTGGACAAAACCCTTCTGGAGGACGAGCAGGTAAACTCTGTGGAGGATAGGATTCGGCCTGCAGCCCTCATGTCGGACGCGGATGAGCCCGCCGTGCTGATGCTCACATCTGGCAGTTCAGGAAGCTGCAAAGCGGTTGCCTTGACCCATCGTCAGATCACCGCGGCCGTCACTGGTAAACATAGCGTCATGCCTATTCCTCCTGCCACGACATTCATGAGCTGGGTTGGGCTGGACCACGTGGCTGGTCTGGTTGAGATCCACCTTCAAGCGATCTTCACCGGCCGCAGTCAAGTACTCGTTGAGGCACCCGATGTGCTAATGGATCCCGGACTCCTGCTTACCCTGGTGGAACGACATCGCGTTGCTTGGACGTTTGCTCCTAACTTCTTCCTTGCGCGCATGCATGCTACGCTTCAGCAGCAAGAGCAGAAGGAGGAAGAAGGTGCCGGTCGCAACTGGGATCTTAGCTGCCTAACGTACCTCACCTCGGGAGGGGAGGCCAACACCGCACACATGTGTGAGGAAGTCTCAATCTTGCTCGCTGGTTATGGAGCTTCCAAGAACGTCATTGTGCCTGGCTTCGGGATGACGGAGACTTGTGCAGGAGCCATATTCAACACGCGATTTCCAGAGTACGACAAGCTCCATGGCTATGCCATTGCGTCGCTCGGGCAATGCATGCCCGGGATTGAGGTCAGAGTGACTGATGGCACAGGGTCCAACATCCCCTTGCCAGCAGGAACATTGGGCCATCTGGAAGTGAGTGGGCCGGTTGTGTTCCGGAGCTACTTCAACAACAAGGATGCCACCCAGGCATCTTTCACAGCTGACGGATGGTTTATTACCGGTGACTTGGCGATGATTGATGACACCGAACACGGCCATCTCCTCCTCAAGGGTCGAGTCAAAGACGTCCTCAATATCAACGCAGTCAAGTACAACCCCACAGATATCGAGGCGGGGCTCTACGAGGCGGTACCACAACTGACGTACGGTTCTGCTTGTTGCTTCTCCTCTCTCCCTCCCAATGAGCACACGGAGGAAATCGTCATTGTATACCTACCCTCGTACGAGCGCCACGAACTGCATGCCCATGTTCGCACCGTGCTGGCGATCCGCCAAGCATGTCTCGAACGGACCGGTTCTCGACCACAGGTCCTCCCCTTGACTGGGGCCAGCGTCACAAAGTCCTCCCTTGGTAAACTGCCGCGCGCACAGATCAAGACTGCCTATGAGAGAGGCGAGTACCGCAGCGCAGCCGAAGAAAGCGCAGAGCGGTTCGCGTTATTCCGAAAAGTGTCTAATCAAGAACCGCGGGACGTACTTGAGCGTCAATTGCTCACCATCTACGTTCAGTCGATTGACCATGCGACCGAAGTGGAGTTCGGGGTTCAGACCTCGATTCTCGATCTGGGAATCACCTCCATTGAGCTGATCAAGCTGAAGCGGCACCTGGAACGGGACCTCACTTGCATTCGGCCCGGTAGTATTCCATTGAGCATCTTGATGCGCAATACCACCGTCCGAGAGGTGGCGGATGTGCTGCGTGGCTCGTCAGCAGTGAGCGGTACATATGACCCCGTCGTGCCTCTTCAGCGACGCGGCGAGAAGACTCCTCTGTGGCTTGCGCACCCTGGCATCGGAGAGGTGATGGCTTTTATGAACCTCGCCAAGTACTTCACTGACCGACCGATCTACGCGCTACGCGCCGCCGGATTCAACGACGGCGAGGCCATGGCTACTTCACTCGCGGGAATGGTGCAGCGGTACCACGCCGCCATCAAACTCCATCAACCCCAGGGCCCCTATGCCCTAGCCGGATATTCCTACGGCGGGATGGTGGCCTTTGAGCTAGCCAAGCAGCTGGAACGTGAGGGCGATGAAGTCAAGTTCCTGGGCTCGTTCAACTTGCCCCCTCACATCAAAAACCGCATGAGACAGGTGGACTGGAAGACCGCTTTGCTGGATCTCTGCAATTTCCTCGACCTGCTCCGAGACGATCAACGGGCCGATCTGGCCAGTCAGCTCCGTGAGGTCTTCGATAAGGATACAATCCTCACCCAGGTGCTTGCACAGATCAATCGCGACCGATTTGCCGAACTGGCTCTGTCCCCGCCAGCCCTGGCGAACTGGGCGCAAGTCGGACAGAATCTTCACCACCTCGCGGTGGATTATGAGCCTACCCCCTCTGTTGCCCGTATGGATATCTTCTATTGCAACCCCATCAAAGAAGTGGCATCGGGGAAGCAGCAGTGGTTCGATGAGTTTATTAGTCTGTGGAGGGATTTTACCCGGTCGGAGCCGCAGTTCCATGAGGTGGAGGGCTCTCATTATACTATGATATCTCCGGAGAATGTGTTTGGGTTCCAGAAGACGATGAAGGCCGCGCTGAGTGCTCGAGGTCTGTAAGAGAGAGTGTTTTGTTTTGCTGTCTGTCCTGTGATGGCGGTTCTGTCCCTTGTCTTGATGATCTGCTCAACTCAGCATTCAGCATGCAGTTGCGACAATAGTTTGTGACCCGGGTGTGCCCAAATTAGAGTCCCCTGATGTAGTAGTGAAAGTATGGTTATGTGTTCGTTGGAGTACATGGCCAACTAGTAGGAATGATTTTAATGAGTAGTTCAGGGACCAGTTGTGTACTGTACAGTAACTTGACTTACAATTTGATGGAAACAGTAATGACATCATGAGCAGGAGATGATAAGATAAGCGCATAAGTCATGAAAGTGAGTGAACTTTTATCTCCGAAGCGGGGAAAGCCGCCAACGTCATCTCTCTCTCTCGCTCTCTCTCCACACGCGTCATCGAATCCGGATTCTACCACTAACCAATGCACATTAACATGCCATTCCATTAGTCATGGATGCTGTGACCTTTTTTGTCCCCCCTCGGAAACTTCTTCCTGCTTTTGCAATTGCATTCTCACTTACTGTGCCCCCTCACCCCACGAAATGGGTCTCCAAGGCAAATCCCAGACTTGCGCAGCCAAGCTCCTGCGCGGAGTCGGCGTCGCGGTCATGGGCTCCGTCAAACGCTCGCATCCGGACGAAGTTGCACGGTGGCCGTCGCGGGATGAAGGGCGCACGATCAAAGTCCACATCTACCGGCCTCCAGCCGAGTCAGCCCAAACCCCAACCCCGGTTCTCGTCAACATGTGCGGCAGCGGGTTCATCCTCGACGGTCACGGCACCGACGACGAGTACTGCCGGTTCATCGCCTCCCACACGTCTTACACGGTCGTGGACTTACAGTACCGCCTGGCGCCCGAGCATCCGTTTCCCGCAGCCTTCCACGACGTCGAGGACGCAGTCCGGTATATCCAACAACATCCGCAACAGTTCGACCGGGCGCGCCTCGCGCTCTCCGGGTTCAGCGCGGGCGCCAACCTCGCCCTGGCCGTCTCGGCCGTCAGCGACATCCCGCGCGAAGCCATCCACGCCACCGTCGTCTTCTACCCGTCGTGTGACCTGGCCGAGGATTTCGCCGACAAGGCCGCCCCCGACAACAGCAGCCGGCTCAAGATGCCGGCCGGCCTCTCGCGCTTCTTCCATCGCTGCTACTTCCCTGCCAGCGACGAGGATGCCGATGACCCGCGGATCTCGCCCGCGTTTGCCGCGCCGGAACGATTTCCCGACAATCTCGCTGCCATCACGGCAGCCCAGGACCCCTATGCCCCGGAGATGGAGAGGCTTGCGGAGGCCGTCGACGCATTACCGGGACGGAGGGTCGTGCTCAAGCGCATGGAGCACTGTCCACATGGGTGGGACAAGCGGGCCAAGGAAGGGACGGTGGGAGCGGAGGCCAAGCAAGAGGCATATGAGCTGGTGGCGCAGTTTTTGGGCTCAATATAGACCCCGGGATGAAGCTTTGCTGTGAGTTTTGTCGGATTGTAATATGCTTTGAATTCAGTCCGCCTTGTAGACCTCAGTAATGTATATAATGGTTATACTGACCTCTCATGAGCTGAGCGCTTTTTGCTATTGAATGGTGAGGGTATTACCGCAAGGGGTTACATTTGGGTATGGGAACCGGATGTGCGCTTGACACTGCTGCTGCAAGGTACCTGGCCATTCCACCGCGACCTCCCCGTGGCGGCAGGGCAAGCCACGAGCGAATGCAGCGGGACTTGCGTTTGTCTCGGAGCAATTCGCTTACCAACCAGCCTTGTATTGTAGGGATACTCGGGCTCAGACATTGCGAGAAATAGGATCGAATCAGGATCCTAACCAGGGATCATGTTGGGAGCAGGAACCATTCGTTCAACACGGAGTTTCGCAATTAATGGGGTCGGGGTGCCGCTGCGGCCCGCCCTTCTCCAATGGCTGGTTCCATTAATGGCGGGAAAGGGCCAAGCATTTCCGAGTGGCTCTCAGGAATAGCCCCGAAAGTCCTCCGGACGGCGGGACACGATTTGGGACGGACAGTGAATCTACATCAGCAAGCACAAGACTCATATTATTATTCTCAGTAGCAGATATTTATCATCAATATTATGAGTTGTGAATCGTGGTTCTCGGCGCCGGACCCCTAGGCAGCCGCATCGCCTCGGCCCTCCTTGCGGGCGGCCATCGCGTGCACATCCGTGACCCCTCGTCCGCCGTCCAAGAAGCCTAGCTAGTCTCGAGGCAATTCCGGAGAAGTTCGAATTGAAGCTACATTCGGCGAAATCGATGCCCACACCCTAGCATACAGTGTTCTCGCCTCCAACAGCAGCAGCTCTTAGTCTCGCCTATAGTTGAGCAGTAAGGGGAGGAAGAGATTGCTTTGGAGGAATGAGGGCTGTTTACTGGGGTTGCGCGGGGTTAGAGGGGTGGAATGTAGTATTGCATTGTAAGATAGATTGTTTGTGATTTAATCTCTGTCTGCTACAGCTCATATAGAGCGTTCTGAAGTCGACCAGGGTATTCATTCAATCTCCGAGAGCGCAAGGCCATGCGTCGACTGACCAACGATGAATGCACAGCGAAGAGAACACATCCGCACGGCCAAGGGACAATACCGTAACCAAAACTCGATTACGAGGGAGATGCTGAAAGCTGTTCGAAACAACATCCTTCCGACCAATTGAACGTACACGCCTTGAGTCTATTCCGGCACGGACTTGCGACACGGTGGCGGATCCGAGACGGGATCTCTGGGTCGAAGCTTGTTCCGGAATCTGGGCCGGTCTTCCCCACACTTTCTACTAGATTCCCTTCCATTAACCTCGTATACGAGGACTTTGTAGCAACTGAGCTCGGAAACTCATCAGTCATTATTGATGATCAGTTGACCTGATCAGAGGACCCCCTCTTGCGGCGAGAGAGGGCGAAATCACCCATATTTCAAGCATTGCAACCCGTCCAAGACCTCCTACTATGGTCTAGTGAATCATCCATATCTCACTCACTACACTGAGCACAATTACTACCTGCCTTCAAAGATTGAAAATGACTTACCCAAAGACCCCTGCCTTCATCACCCAAACCCACGGCTGGACCCAAGCCCGCGCCCACCCAGCCATGGCCTGGATGGAGAAATGCACCCAGGCCTGGGACTCGCGCGAGAGCTGGGAGACCCCCTTTACCGACTGGGTGACCGAGGACTTTGTGTTTGTCAAGCCCAACGGCGAGCGGTGCACGGGCGGCGAGCCCGCGTGGGAGGCGATGAAGCTCGACTACGCCGCGTTCAAGCTCTCCCACCACGAACCGAGCTGGGTGTGCGTCGTGGACCTGGTCGACGGGTGGGAGTTCATCGGGGAGGGGAAGCTGTACATCGATCTGCCCAAGGAGGGCAAGGAGGACAAGACGGTGCGGGATCTGGACGGCCGCGTGTGGGATTTGGGGATAGAGAGCATGTTTCGATTTCGGTTTGTGCGGGCCGACACCGAGAAGAATGGCGGGGTGCGGATCAGCCGGTTCCAGTTCTATAGTGACAGTGGGCCGGTGTTGGCGGAGATGATGCGCAGGGAGATTGTGCGACCGCAGGATCTGATGGGGTAATTGCGTGTTTCTGTCTTGTACGTTATTGTGGACTTACTGGGCCGAATTGAGCTGCATATTGAAGACCATCACGGAGTATTTGCTGCGAATCATGACGGCTTGGCGCCGGATAAAGATTGCAAAGGTGGAACCCCTGGTGTATTGTGGGGAGTTCAGGACACAGTGGAGGCGCAGCCAGGCAGATGCACTGACTAAGCAGCTGGTGATGATACTAACTATGCATTTGCTCAAGCACCTACTTCCAGACGAACAGAAAACACTGATAGATTGAAATAGCGTCATACTTCCTTGGACTATATGTTAGTGAAAGCGAAGCTGACGACACGTGATACCCAAGGCTGTCTGTCTCTTTCATCCCCTCACCTCCCCACATTCACATACTCCGTGTTCATATCAGACATCACCGGAACTTGCCTTCCAACCCAATCCAATGAACAGATCCAACCCCGCTCAGCACGTCCTCAACACCCCCGAGCTCCTCGAACTCATCCTCACCCAGCTCGACCTCCGCACCCTCCTCACCTCCGCCCAGCGGACCTGCCGCACCTGGCACACCCTCATCCGCACCTCCCTTCCCCTCCAAGAAGCCCTCTTCTTCCACCCGATTAAATCTGGCCACAATGCCCCATCCCACGACTCAACAACCACCCCTACCATAAACCCTCTCTTACAATGGGCCTTCCCGCAGTTCCTCTCTCAGCCCCCCTCTGACTACTACCCCTCTAGCCTGAACCCCTTCGACGACCTCACTTCCCTCGCCCACCGCGCCAAGCATCCCGCCTACCTCCGCCCGGAAGCCAGCTGGCGCCGCATGCTCGTGCAGCAACCCCCGGCCCGCTCCGTGGGGGTGCTGACCGCCTCGCATGGTCCGTTTGGAAGCGAACTCGGCCTGGAAAGCTGGGTAGGTATCCCCCTCTATCCCCTACACCAACAGCACCCAATCTATAAGGTTGACATGCGCATGAACCTGGTCTATTCGCGGGGATGAAGAACCATAATCCCTCTACACCGCCGAAAGTCCCGGACGGCTTAACAATGGAACTGTTGTTCGAACTTCTCTTCTTCGATGAGACAGTCCCCTACAGCTACCTCGTGACGGTGGTGTGGTGGGGGTGTGTGAATGTCCGACGGCAGGAGATCGAGGGGTATCTCGAGCATCTGCACCGCCCTGCGTTGCCGGAGGTGTTGATTTGTGCATTGGTGTCGGATTCGTGTGAGGATTCGGAGGAGGAGGAGGGGGAGGAGGAGACTGTGAGGTCGGTGCAGCGGATGGTGAAGGAGGGATATGAGGGGTTGGGGTTGCGGCCGAAAGGGCTGGGGGCGAAGTGGGTGAGGAGGGAGAGGGTTTGTGTTTTGGGGATGTTTGATTAGTGCAAATCGGATCTGCCCGCCGGTTTTGTTTGCAGTGGTGGTTGAGAGGAGAGGTTAGGTTGGATGGGATGCTGTGCTTGCATACTCTGATAACTGTGATATCTACTGTACAATACATCTGTTTATACATCGTCGGGAGGGGTGGCTTGGATGGTATGACGGAGGTTCACCATCGAGTTCAGTGCCAATGGTTCAGTTCCCATTGCTCCTCCACCCCCCTAAGCAAACGCACACCCCTCACCAGCAACACTCACAGTCGTCGTCACCGATGTGACAACCACAGCATCCTCCCCACCAGCGCTCGGAGCAGCAGTCACCGCCACCGTCGTCACTCCCGACGAAACCTCCACGATCGCCGCGGTCGGCGTGGGCACAATCTTCAAGGTCACAGGGTGGGAATAGTCTGAACACCAACCAATAGTCTTAGGCACGATTCCAGGTTTCACGGTTTTGGAAGTGACGACGGGAACAACAACGGCAGGGATAGCAGGGGTAGCAGCGGGGAGTACATGCGAGGCAGAAGAAGGATCATGATGGTGGAAGTGGTGACTGTGGTGGTGGTGCTGGTGGTGGGAGACAGAGCTGGAACCGGTGGGGCTCACCGTGACATATACGGTTTGCGTGGCTGGCGCCGCGCAGGTGGGAGCCGCAGGGGTGCGCGAGGGAGGAGGCAGAACGGTCGCAGACGAGGAAGCTGCATCAGAGCAGTTCTGGACAGGCGGTGTGACGGTGAATTTCTCGCTCTGCGCGTAGATAATGTACACGTTGGTGCCGTTGATGCCACTGATCTGGTATCCCCATTCCGCGTCGGTGTCGCAGGGAATCTGCACGCGGTGGGTGAGGTCGGCGGTGGGGATGTCCAGGGCCAGAGGGACATAGGTTGGCGGCCACGAGACGAAGTTCCACAAGTACAGGCTGAAGGAGCTGGGGTCGGTGTCGACGCTGGTCCAGTCCACGGTCACGGTGGAACCGGCGGCGTAGGTCGCGTTGAGCCCCGGCTGGGTGATACTGATCGCCGAGGCGAGCGAGGTCAGCGACACGAGCAGTGCGGGGGTGGATAGACGCATGGTGATGGGGCTCGGGGTTGCTGTGTGGTGTTGTGTGGTGTGGTGTGCTGAACGGGGTCAGGGGGTTTGTTTATTGAAAGGGGGTATATGCAAAGAATGCTCAGGACAACAAGGGCCGTAGTCCAAGAGAAAAAAAAAACACAACCGATTTTGAACGAGTGACTGGAGTGCTAAAAGAACGACTGGAATTGGAAGGGTTGTGGGTGAATTGCAAGCAAGGGGTGGAAGCGGGATTATAAGGTCAAGTTTGTTGGATCTCCTCACCCCCGGAGATTAACGGTCAGCCTCGTGAACCCAAGGATACTGGTTCACTAGTGGGGAACTACCGGGAGTACGTAGTGCGTCCCGTAAACTATTTTGGGGAGTTTCACCGTGGGGCGCGGCCGTGATTTGTGCGGTTTGAGGCACTTTAGGGCCGTGCACAAAGACTGTCTTGGCCAGAAAAGAGACAGCCAATGTATTGGTTCAGAATTCGAACTGTTCCTGGAAGCCAATTAAACTAGCAATTAGTGTAAGAGATCAGGCAGAAGTCATGATTTTCCGGTCTTAGATCTGTGACGGAGTTAACAATTGACATCTGACCTGCATCGTAACTAATTGTTCTTTGCTGCTGTCACCCCTTTTTGGCTTACCCGGGCCTCGGCCGATCAGACATTCCACAAAACAAATCACATTCCTGATACTCCGTACCCTTCCACATGCTGCTTCTTCAATGGAAGCACCTCCGCTCCGTTGCTTCTGCACGTGACTACTCTAAGCACTCGCAGAACATAACATATCACAGCATCGAATGAGCTTTATTTCATTTCCGGTCAATCGGGGACCTATTACGTTAATCACTCGCTTGGAAAGATCTACTCGCTACGATTCTTTCAAATATCGAGATATATATTGATTTTTATCCTCTCGAGAGTATGTATAGATTTTAGTATACAAGGATAAGTTCTTAGACTTTATAAAGTACCTTTATAATAAGCGGGCTCAGGGAGACCTCAGGGGTCCCAAGGTCAATAGAACTTGAATTCAATCTGGCGAATTGAACTCACAGAGTACCAAAAGGATCTGAGGGTGCAGACGCTGGACCTTCTACGACGAACTACATCGCTATGTGCCTCATTGTGTGCCCGTCACTGGCCGCATAAATCAACTCTCCCCGCACAAGAGACTCCTGTGCTGTACCCTAACCCAAAGACCTTCCTTCATAGTACTTGACACTCATTCGTCCCAATTCACGTCTTTTACTCTCGCCTCCAGCTTTTTCCCACGAAATTGGACTTTATTCCCAATAACTCCTAATCTCCCTCAGGTCGCCCAACAAGGCCACCGGATTATCCGGTCCCGGGAAATGGCCTCCGGACTCATGATCTACACGCACCACCACCATTAGCATGATTCCACCAGCATCGAGTACGTCTCATGTCCAGACACAAGGCCGACAAAGACTTGGAATACATACTGCGATAGAACACCAAGTTCCCCGTCTGCGCGACCAGCGCCGGCGGCCAGAACCCTAGATTGTACTTGAAGGCGCTGAACAGCACCCGCGCCGCCGATGGCAATGCGGACAGTGGCGCAGGCAGTTGCTGTCCTGATTGAACCCTACTTAGTCCTTTCACTACCTCTGTATGCCTGATAGGTAGATTCGGTAAGCCCGAAGGATGCAGTACCTGCGGCTGGTCACCGGGAGTCCACAGCCAGCCAATACCACTCGGCGGTGCTGCAAGGCTGCTATTCTACGCATCTGCATGGCGTTTCTTAGCGCGTGTGGCTTAGCAGATAAATACCGGAATTACAATAGGGTCAGCAAAGAATGGGCTGGGTTTGTGTTGTGCGTCTGTGACTAGGGCGATTGGGCTGCGCGACAAGGTGTTGTTCACACTGAAGTGAATTGTAGCCCCAGGTAGGACCTCAATATGTAACATTCACCACTCACGAGGTTATGTATATTGATGGCAGTCGCTTTTCTCTGCGCAAGTGAAGAGAAAGAAAGCGGAAAGAGGATAGAAAAAGATAAGAAAAAAAAATTTAATCTTCAAAGCCATTATTCTCCCCGGCCAAAAGACCTCCCCCCTCATCATTGTCCTGGTACCCCTCTTCCTCCTCTGGGTTGTCAAAATCCATCCTTTCTGCGCAATCGACGCCAAATTGCACCATCCCATTGTCAGTCGGAGACCGGAATGAGCCGAATACGAATAGTTTCCCCAGGAGGCTATCTCGCGGTGCAGCGCGTCCAGGCCCAACTCTGGCCACGGCGCGGAAGCGAGGCGTTTGACGATGCTACTGCAATATAGGAAGAACAAGCAGTTGGTGATGGGCTCCGGGGCGATGGGAAAGAGATATCCTGGCGCACCCGCGTGAGATAGACGAGTGAGGCTGTGAGAATCCCGACGACGACGAGCGCAAGGCGTGCGACTCCCCACCGAAGGCGGATGGTCTCCTTCCATGCATGGTTCGGAGGTCGACAGTGTGGTTGGACAGGTCTGTGTACTGCGGCCACGGGATGGTAGGCTCGTGACCACAGCAGCGAAGAGTACGGAAAACATCCAGCGCACTGCTGCCTGAAGGGTCTCAGGTGGGAGAGAGTGCAGGCCTGACGATGCTAGATCCGGCGCCGTGCGCTAGAGCAGATATCCCAGCATGTCCCCGACAAAACCGGGCGATTTGATTGCTCCCGAGGGAATGTTCACATGGGGGAACTCGCGAGACCAAGCAAGTCAAGCAAGTTCATTAGTTTTGAACTCGAAAGATTCAGGCTGCTTATTACAGTATAGATCATAGAGGTCGTCTGGCTTTATATCTCTTGGAAACTAGAATCGTCACATACACTCTTTGATTGTTTGGAGTGGCGCCAAGAAAGAACTACACTAGACTTATCCTGGAATCTAACGAAATAATAATCCATAACAAGGCAGTGTACTGTGATAACATGCACTATATAACACTGTTATGAACAGGATAACATCAGATGGGGAAAAGGATAAGGGGGATGAATATTAGACGAGAGAAAGAAGTTGATTGATCTTTAAGTAGATTCCCCAACTATTATCGTAAGTGGTCATACCATTACTGGGTCTAGTACTCTTTCCAAGCGCGTTCCTTTGTTCTTTGAGAAGTTCTACCCTGCGCTAGTCCATGCTGCCAGTGAGATACCAAATTCGGCTAATCTAACCAAGGCTAGAAACTGGCAAAGAAGCTGAAAACGAGCTTGGGCAGGAGTCTCTTGGCTATGTGGTGTGAAGCAGTTCTGTGTGTCTCAGTGTCGCGAGCCTCATGAGAGATTTTCTACCAGATTGGTCCCAAAAAATCACATGAATTTGGGTGGAATTTCGCGGTATAAATAATGTATCTTTGTCCGAATATCGCTACCTAGTTAGATAATAAGAGAAAGTTAAGTCTGTGGTAATCACGTAATAACAGAGTTAAATATAAATAGATATATAAGACCTATATCAAGAAGCAAGAAATTATTAGAAAAAGAATATCAGATTTAGTAGCGAGTGAGATGGCCTAGTTGTTCTTGGTCGAACTATCACATGGCTGTAGAGACAAGAACATGTTTAGTTCTTAGATTGTGCCTGCTGTGGAAAATTTGGACAATTAGACGAATTCTCGGGCAGAGGATCTGCTAAGAATATTCCAAAATACCTACTGGACTCTTTCTGCTTTTTCGCGTCTTGTGCTTCACGTTCTTTCTTCTGAAGATGTTCGTTATTCTCTTTGGTCCAGGAAGAGGCTCCCCCAGTCAGTTCGCCAATAGTCTCAATAACATTCTCTCTGGTTGTACGCCAGTTGCCTGTGTTCTTATTGGACTGGTCTGTTCCAAGCTCAATGTAAGCACTGATGATATAATATCAAGAGAAAATTGCTTCGATTTTGAAATTCTTACCAGAAGGCATGATTGCTTAGATAGAGGAGATTGCGGTAGAGTCGATTATACAAGTTCGTTCATATACAAAAACGTATGGTAGATGAATAGTACGAATAATTATTGAAGAAGGTAATTCTACATCTTATTGCTTTTCTTACTTATATACTTGGCTGTAGCTTTTTGTAGAAGCGTGACGTGACTGATGGTTTCCCTGTCTATTACTATATATTTACATCATCAAAAAGCAAAATCATATCTTGCTTTTATTATAAGCAATGACTATTACCGCAACCGGCGGACTGTGAAATCTAAAGAATACTTAAATCAAATCTCTCACATAATGATACTACTATAAACGCAAGCAGAAGTCTTATCTGTAATGAAATGCAGCGATCACTCGTTATTATATAAGGTACTTAAGAAGACGGCGAATCTTAAACCCACAAAACCTTTTTTTGAATTTCTCATATTATGATGCTACCCTGAATGCAAGCTTAACTCATACTTGGGACAGATTCAGTGAACATACATCATAATATATGTTTGCAACAATAATGAGTTCACCTCAGATACACTGCACCCTTTTGGGAGCAAACAGTTTCTTCCTAATCACACTGCTATTGATGATCTTCCAATAAGGATTCTAAAATTCATATGAACCGTAATATACTAAGATGTCTTCTGTGCGGGATTAGTTTCCTAGCACTCCCAGAAAACAAAATGACATCATGATATCAGCCGTATCCCCCCACTGCAGGTGACATACAGCTGCATTAAATCATGCAAGATTGTCAATTTCCGTGGAAAGCTCTCCACCTATTTTTTGAATACACCCAGGCGATATTTATCTAATCATCACCCGTGTAACTTTTTTCCAGGAAGAAGGGAGAGGGGAAAATAAAATTCTAACTTAAATTAATAAGAACACAATCTTGTAGATCTTCTTCTAGACTAGTTAGAATTTGAATACGGCAACGGCCCGCCTCGGCAAGTAAAGCTAGACTTGTTGCTGTCATGAGAATCGGGTTGAAACAATACTAGAGCGTCAATGCATGAACAGTTCGCCAAATATTATTCTTACCGGAACATACATAGCTCAGTGTCTCACATCAGAAGATTCATTAACAACTGAACTAGTTTACTGCACACAGCAACTTCCTTAGCTGGCATGGACAGAATGGACCGGATGGATTGAAATGTCACCCTTGGGGAATGAGAGGTGCAGGGAGGCAATGCGCCATGAGAATTAGCTTATGACCGACCCTCTCATTTCCATACCAAGGGATTCCCCAGTCCGCCCGGCAGGCTGGTTGGCCTAAGATTAGACTAGTGTCAACTTTGACCTAAGTCATAAGTGACCTATGAGCTCTTCTTCGCATTGCGGCCGCGAAAGAGGTGACAAGCCTTAGAGGTTGTCTCGGCCCAAATAGTGTTTAGAACTGCTGACTCTCTTGATGGTTGATTATACCTAGTTCTGTCTTTCCGTTTTTTTATAAATTAAGGCAGGGAATGCTCACTACTTATATACTGTCTGGGAGGGAAAGTATTTAATATTTATTCGCTTAATAGGTCTAAAGATAAAAGTTTGTAAAATATCTCATAGTATACTAGTACTAGTGGAATTTTTATATTGTAAAGATACTATACTACTTTACCAGAAGATATTTTAGATTTTCATCAGGAGAAGAGCATCTAGATTAAATAATTATAAGAACTAATAACCTTTTTATCATTATAATAGATTATTATAAAGAAATAATCAATTCGGATTATTACTAAGCTTGATTTTCTACAGCTATACAATAGTATACACGCCAAGGCCTTCTCTGATATTAATGTACTTAATGGATTTCGTGCCACCGGCCTCGTTTCTTTTAATTCTCAGTAGGTGCTTTTAATGCTACAGACTCAACTGGAAATCTAATTCTACCGACATTCTCATATTATCATTAGTCTTTTCATCTCGGGAAAACACCTAAATATTTGTATGAACTGGGGAGGCAGAGAAAAGAACTACAAGAACTCGCCGAGCAAGGCCAGGCGTTAATCATTTCGTACGAAGTTATTGAAAAAGTAATCAAGGCTGCAGAATAGTCTATACAGAGTGCAATCCTGCTTCAACCACATGTTAAGCATTTCCAGTCTATAACAACAAGTAAACAAGAAAAGGAAAAGGCCTTACGTCGCAATATACAGAATAGAGACACTTTGACAGGCCAAGAGGGCTTTGATAAAGCTCAGGCGCGAGAAACTGAAGTAATTCAGACAAAGCGCCAAGTCCGGCCAGAGCGCGCCGGCCAGTCCGTTACAGTACATGGGAGTGTAGAACACGACCGTTCGAACTGCCCTCCTACAAACAAGGAGAATTAGATTTATATAGCTTTTTCTTGGTGGATGAATAGCCTCAGAAATCGGCCAGCAAGACAATCAGCGAGGCGGTGGCAGATTCACCGCCGGCTTGGTGTCTGATTACGTTACTACAAACAGCTGATACTATACTGTTGGAAAAGACAAAGAAACCATTATCCTATAACAAGAAAATAGTTGATATTTCCCCAACACCATACGGGCCAAGCTATCCTCTAACTACACCCCTATAGCTCTAGCGCGTTACAACGCCTCTGGAGTAGATAATATACTCACCTATCCTGACTCAACCTAACACTACTCTCAAGCCTGACTCACGAAGAATGAGAAAAGGTAATCAGAGTCTATAGGACTGTCCTATCCTATCTGAATTATAATAGCGCCAAATTGCGGCGCAGCCATGACCGTTATTCCTTGTTCAAAGACCCTGGGTATTTCTGAATCAAGAATCCAGAGGCGGCTCAGCTCCTTGTATCCGTGGGTCATGGACCTGCCCTGTATACAGATGTATTTCTTGTCTACTAATCTTTTACCAAACCGGATCACGGTAGTACCAGATATACTGCTAAAATCATAGGCCTTGATCCTTACAACCTCTGTGGCCTCATTATATATGGTATAGTCAAGAACTACAAAATGAATTAGTAGTGATTTGAGAACAATATCGAATGTGTATACTATATACAGTAAGAACTGTAATTATTCTTCAGCCGAATTTTATACGCAATATATTCTATGGTCTTAAGGGTTGCCTACCACCGCGGTGACATGATCAGTATCATGTATAAGGTAGAACTTTATTTGGGCTACTAAGCACCAACTTACATAGGCCTTTTGGCGGAATTGATCCGGTGATTGGGGGGGCGGGTTCACCGCATTGAGGCGATTGTCACTGACAGCCTAGATTTATAGAAACTTATGAATAAGAGATGATGTGTGTACTAATAAAACAATATGACTAATCCATAACCAGTAGATGCTAAGACTATTACTTGCTTCGTTGTCAAGCTTGTTTTCGCACCATCCCAGTTCGTTAGTAATAATCATTGACCGGCACCAGCTTGGCCTTGGAGTCCAGGCTACCATGCAGGCTTGCCATCGCACAGCAAAACTGGCCAGAGGGGCACCGTGGGCTATCAGAGTGAACCCAATCTAGATACTATTTATGTCACGATGGTAGTGATGCAAGCATCGCCACCATGAACCTTATGATCTACAACCCTAATTATGAAGATCGTGTTAGCTCCGGATGGGGATAAGCCTGTCAGGCCCCACATCGGTCGATCTACCGTTCGCAACTGTTTTTCAACAGTTTTCCACCATTCAGTCACGGTTCTGGATGGTCAGGAAAGCCTATCCCAGAGGCGCAAAGGATCAAGAAACATGGTGGATCAACGCGGGAATGTGGTTGATTGGATGCGGTCCCGGTTTGTCGAAAACGAGGAAGCCACAAGTTGCAGATCCGATTGCGTTGGATAATACGTCTTCCCTTCGTTTCCGAACCTTAATAACGAAGCACGTAAGTGTGGAACCTTAATACGTTTTTCTTTGTTTCCGAACCTCGCCTTCGAGCGACACAAATCTGAGCGGAAGACGTAAGTTACGATTGGTTACGCATATAGCCTTCCCGAAGAGAGATCTTTTCATTTATCTTTTTTTTTTTACTATAATTAGTCTCATCACTATCTGAGCTATTGCCTTCTAGGCAGCTACAGGGTTTACGAGGTCTTCTACACAGCTACTAAGGGTTGTCAGGCCTTCCAGGCAGCTCTATGTAGTTGTACACTTCCTTAGGGCTTAGAAGACCTTCTAAGCAGCTATCCAAGCAGCCACGAGTGATCCCCCCGGCTCCGAGACTTGCAACTTTTGAGGGGATAAGATCTGTCGAAAAAATAAACAGAGCATGATAATTCAATACGTGCTAGGACCGTCGGAGGAAGTCCGGGGAGTGTGCGGGACCCCCGTCCCCCAGCTGTAGATCCAGGCCATCGGTCTAAATCAATACAAGCGTCTCGATATAGACTGCGTGATCCGAAGGATAGGTCCTCGTATAATATTCTTGTGATGCAAATGAACCCCGTAGCACTGCCCATGATTTTCGTATCCGTATAACAGAATTGGGAGATAGAAACTTTAAGCGTGGCCTACCTCACGGCAGAAGAGGCCTTCCTGACACCAAGTCGCAAGGGTTTTCGATATTGAATGTCGTGTCGTATGCCAAGCATGTTCTAGAGAATGTGAGACGTTCTCTGTTAGACTCTTCGATTATATACCCGTGAGAAGTATATCATTTGACCCGAGTGACATATTCTAGCTCGCTGCTTGTCCATATAAAAGCTGTGCAGGAAACCATCGAGTAACTTATTGCCATCCTGTTCGGCACAAACTGACAAGAAAGCACTGAATAATCATCAATATGAAGTTCTCACTCTATATCCTCAGTCTGCTGCTGCAGATTGCTCTGCAGCTAGCGGCAGCAAATCCCGTTGCGCACCCGGAACCCGACTCCCCTTCTCTGGAAAAAAGACAGGGGACCCTTTCCCTTGATACCAGCTTGACTGGACTGACTAGCATCGCGGGTCCGACTATCACTTCCCCGTCTACCGGACAGGGCGCGAGTAGCACTGCTTCGCCTACTTCCAGCTCGCCTACTTCCAGCTCGCCTGGCCTGACTAGCACCGCGAGCATGACTGGCTCGTCCTCTACCGTGCGAAGCACGAGTGGTACTTCTACTCCTCCTCCCAGCTCGTCTGGCACGAAGAGCAGTTCTTCTTCTGTTTCACGCACCTCTGGCACGGTTAGCATCCCTAGTGTGAGCCCCACTCCTCTCCCGCATGTCCCCTCCGGCCCTCCTACCATCATTGTCAATATCGCTATTGCCATCGCCATCTCCGGTGGCAGTGGACAGGATGCAGCCACTGCTATCGCCGAAGCCACTGCCAATTCGGGGGGAGGCACCGCTGCTGCCACTGCCGCTGCTGCCGCGGCCGCCGGGGGAGGGAATGCCAAGGATGTCGCCGTCGTGGCCGCCGCCGTCGCTGCGGCTGTCTCAGGTGCTAATGGAAGGGATGTCGCTGCGGCTGCTGCGGCGGCCAACTCCGCCGCCGGCGGAGGGAGTGCTGCTGCTGCTTCCGCCCAGGCCGTTGCCTCCGCTGGAGCGAGCGGATGGAATGTCGCCGCGGTTGCCGCCGCCGCCGCCTCCGCCTCCTCCGGCGCCAGTGGAGCGGACACCGCCTCCGCCGCTGCTGCTGCCGCCGTCGGCACCTGTGGCGGGGGTGTTTCCGCCGCCGCCGCCGCCGCTGTCGCATCCGCGGGGGGTAACGGAACGGAAGTCGTCGCCGTTGCCGCCGCCGCCGCTGTCGCTGCCGCTGGTGCGAGTGGAAACGCTACCGCCGCCGCCGTGGCTGCTGTCTCCTCCGCCTCTGGTGGACAGGGTGCCGCCGCCGCTGCCGCTGCCGCCGCCGCCGCCAAAGGGGCGAATGGAGCGAACACCGCCGCCGCCGCTGCCGCCGCGGTCGCCGCCGCCTCTGGTGCCAGTGCCGCGAATACCGCCGCGGTCGCCGTCAGTGTCGCCGCCAGTAGTGGTGGTGCATGGAACGACGCCGCTGTTGCTGCGAATGATACTGCCGCTCATAATGCTACGGCACAAAATGTCGCCGCCGCTGCTGCGTCTTCTACCGGGAAAGGAGGTATCGGCGCGGTGGGCACCAATAGCACTGGGAGTGGCACCAACAGCACCACCAGCTCTCGGCTCTTGAAACGATACTTTCATCCGAGTCGGGCCAGCGAGTTCATTGACAGGGCCAAACTTGGCTTGTCTGTGTAGCTTTTCGCCAGGCTACACTTGGCTTGTCCTCTACTATACCTGTAATACAGTGAGTTCTTAGTATATACTCTCGAATTAATATGAACTGACGCTAACTCAGCAGCCAAGGCTGGGGATAGTTAATCGTGATGTCGCTGATATGGGGGTGTGCCAAGAAAGAGTACAGTCCGCTTCAAAGCTACAAAAGATTATAATCAGTGAGGTTTCTTTGAAAGGAAAAAGCCATGGAATATGAGTTGGTCAGTACAAGGATTATATGATGGCTCTAGGCTTGTATTATACTATTTTATCCTGTCAAGTTGGAATCACTAGCGATTATCAATTTACTACACGGCTTTCCAGCGTAAGCATAACCAGGAGGTTGTTGGGGGGAAGAGGGTTTTCGTCTACGATGCTGATGATTTGTTATTTGTTTGCTGCTCGTGCTTCAGTTGGGCTACTAGAGTAAGTTCACTGACTCGTAAGTATCGGTACGGCAGTAACCAAGGTAAATCCAACCGGTACAGAGATGCACTGCCCGAGACAACGCACAGTCGATCCGGGGTTGACGACAGTGGCTGAAACTCGCAGGATTCACTGGGCTGCCGTGGATTGGACCAATCATTGGCTGTTGTGGTGGATAAATATAGGGTCAGGGCGGACCCCAGTGGGGTAGGGCAAGTCTGTTTCCAAGATTATGGGGTGATTGGGGGCCCTGACCTCGGAGGGTACTATTTATTCCCCAGCTGTCCCTGGTCTGCAGCTCAGCTGGTTTGGAATTTGTTTTTCACTTCTGCCTTCCCTCGTTACCGCGTGACACACTGACACTCTATCACACTGTCGTTGACCTACAAACAAACACTCGTTAGTCAATCTAGACAGTACCAACAGTCGCTTCCCCAACGCTCAAACAAACCAAAACGATCGCCTACAACACAAGCACAATGTCTACAACCGCAACCACCACCGCCACCGCCACCTCGGCATCCTCCGCATCCTGCACCGGCAATCTCTACGTCCTCCCCGTCCAGGACGCCGCCTGCGCCCTCCCCAACACCGGCAACTTCTCCTCCGTCATGGCGCAATGCTGCTCCCCGGCGACCGTCACCAAATACGACGATGACTGCGGCCTCTACTGCCTGGCGCAGGGCCAGACCGTCAAGTCCCTGCTGGCGTGTCTGCAGGACCAGGGCGCCGTGACCGAGGCCTTCTGCAGCGGGAATTTGACGGCGAGCGCGACCGCCAGTGTTTCCTCCACGAGTGCGACGGGCAAAGCGGGGAAGACGGGGACCAGCACGGCGAGCGCGGCGAGTGGGTCGAGTACTTCGGAGAAGAGTGGTGCGGTCATCCACAAGAAGGTGTCGGTTGGGGGGTGGGTGGTTTTGGGGATGATGGTTTCGTGGATGGTCATGGCGTAAGACTGGCCTGGGATGAATACTATGAATACCTACCTACGTATGGAGGGGAGGGGAGAGAATTCGAGGGGAGGAGATACTTTTAAGCCAATGGGTCCTGCTGGATGGTGACGCTGGGTCATAATGCAGGCTGTAATTCTAATCAATTCTGAATGGACAAACACTCAAACTTCCCACCTTCGAATGAGTAGTTCACCTGAGTACAGTAGACTAAGCTAAACCCTCCATCGTCCATTCCTCATCTCCCACCGCACCCAGAAACACGCCCCCGCCGCGGCCAGCAACAACCCTCCAACCACCCCCGCCGCCCGCCGATACGTCTGCGGCAACACCAAGGCGGTGCGCTCCGGAATCAACATCCCCACCAACGGGGTGCCGATCAACGCCCCCATGCCGCGGATCAGATACAACACCCCATTCACGCTCGTGAACCGCTCCACCCCGAACACCTCCACCAGGGAGGCCGGGAACAACGAGATATACGCGCTCGCGAACGAGCCGTACAGCACGGTGAAGACGATGAAACATCCCCGCGCGGCCGGAGTGGACACCCCCTTGTCCGCGGCGAACGTGGCCGGGAACCAGAACGCGAACACGGACAGGGCGCTCAGCAGGGTGGTCACGGCGAGCGCGTTGATCCGCCCGAGTTTGTCGGCCAGGTAGCCCAGGACGATGCGCGAGAGGAAGTTGGAGGCGTTGCTGATTGTCAGGAAGGTCGCGGCGGTGGATGCGCTGTAGCCCAGGGTCTGGGCGAAGGAGACGTAGAAGAAGAGCGGGGTGCTGTACGCGGCGGATTGCAGGAAGCACCCGGCCGCTTGCGCGAGGAAACGCGCGGAGAGGGCGGTGCGGCGGTCGATGAGTGGGATGAAGAGGAGGCGGAGGTATTTCTTGCCGGTCGGAGGCGATTGTTGTTGTTGTTGCTTGAGTTTCTCATGGAAGCGCGGTTCCCAGCGCAGGAGGGCCCCCGCCGCGCTGACAATCGTGGTCGCTACACACCCCGAAACGCGCAGGGCGTTCCGGAATCCGATGTGCGAGATCATCGCCCGCAGGACCGGCGGCCACATCATCCCCCCGATGCCCGTGCCGGAGATGATCACCCCCATGGCAAGGCCGCGACGGGCGCTGAACCAGGTCGGGGCGACGGACATGGTCGGGACGTAGGCGAGACAGCAGCCCACGCCGAGCAGCAGGCCCTGCGTCAAAGCGAACTGCCACAGCGTCTTGCTGAAGCTGGCCAGGATGTACGCCACGCCGAACACCCAGCCGCCGGCGATGATGACGGCCTGGGGGGAGAAGTGCTTCGACCACGAGGTGGCGTACGGCCCGGCCATGGACATCAGCGCGATGGCCAGCGTGCCGATCAGGTCGATTAGCGCCGTCGAGGTGCCCGTGAACGGGGTGTTGGGCTGTGCGGCCATCTCCTCGTACAACGACTGGTACACCCCGAAGGCGAAGACGAATGAGCAGGTCGTCATCATGATGAGGCAGGCGGCGGCGACGATGGCGATGTAGTGCCTGGCTCGTCAGTGAGGCCCTAGCGCGGGGGAGTGAGGATAAGGGTTCAGGTCCACCTACCATTTGGGATGGGTGGGCTCAGGGGTCCCTTCATTCTTGGGCGTTTGCGGGGGTGGTTCCTTCGGTGCTGAGTCCGAGATGTGGTCTGCCACCGTCCCAGTAGACAGCGTGACTTCACCCTTTGAGTCCGCCATCCGATCTAGATGACCCTGAAGACACATTCACGGGGTGGACCAGGGCAGGGCCAAAACAAGCGTTTTAGGGCGATCTGATAAGGCATTTGCCCGCATTCCCACTGCCGAGGCTGCATGCCGCGGCTAAACCTTTCCCCGCTCTGTTCGCTGCTCAACCCTCAGGGTCTCTCTCTGCTCACGTGCCCAGGCAATTCGGCTAATCGTGTGAATCCGCAGCCGATTCGGGCGGAGTGAATGCCGAGCTCTGGCAGATTCTTGCTGACTTGGTTTCCACACCATGACTCGCATGCTTTGGGAGGAGCATCAGATGGTCTCATTTTTGATCCTGACTGATTCAGTCACACCAATCAACATGAGGTCAAAACCGAAGGCCGTACCTTGCTGGGGGAAAGCTTGGTTGGGCTTCGCTGATCAACTATATACTTTTTATCCCGCACATCTACCGACGGAAATGTCGCCTGCTCCCATGTGGACCATGCACGACAGGATCTTTGAGCGGACTGACTGAGTAAAAATAGAACAGATGAGTCCGAGTCGTTCATTACGATGCTCGAAAACTGGAGGTAACAGTTTTATCCTTCCGCACCTCATCCGACCGACAGATGAGGTTTCGCCGAGTCGCCAAAATTTCGTCTCTTACCAACCCCTTTCTGACTTGGAAACCAACCGTAGAAACGTACCTAAACAACATTAGGCTCACAGTAATAACGATAGCTACCGCATCATTTATCGAGACACTGTGAATCGGAGCGTATAAAGGAAGACACACGCATGTATACACCCTTAAACTTACAACACGCAACGTAGTCGGTGAGATGTCTCCATATGCCACTCTTTAACCAAGGTCATTACGTGAACGTCGCCCCGACGCCACAACAAAGCCTCCAGACACATCGCCACCGAGATTTTACCACACGTGCGTGCACCACATAGAGATAGCATTCAACGCGGTACTCTAGCTGCAACATAGCCCATGAGCGAAATCTCTATGCAGATATGGTAGAAAGAGCCATTAGTTTATAAGATGGCACCATTCTCATAGATACGTCGATTAAGGCTCCAGTTCAGCATGTGAGGCGGTTTGAAAGCACAACGGGTACAACAAGGAAAGAATGCTTCAAAGCCCCTCTTACTTAAGAGTGCGCATGCGTCATGACGCATACTTAATGACTTATTCACTGGCTGGGGTACCCCGGTTATTCAATCGAAGCAGAGAGGTTGCTCTCGAGGTTGGCAGGCCGAGTCCGCGATGCGCGTGACGGTGCTGGGATGAGCAGCCAGGGGGCCCTGGGCCTGATCACCTGGACTCCGTTCATGACCTCAGTATATAGTCAGGTTTGTCCTATCTCTTCTGGTTGCTTTGCATCGACTGTGTCGTCAACAACACCTAGGAATCTACGTCCTGGAGGGCAGTCTTAGGCACTATTCTCGTGTGGGAATGCTCCTTCTGAGAGGGTTTGGCCCTGCTTAGACTATTTCTCAATCTCACCGGTCTCTGATTCCTATTTAGCGTCTCACTGTAGCTGAATCATGATTTCCAAGGAACGCGTCGCACAACCTGCACTCGCCTGACCCTGTGCGACTTGATCTCGGCGCGCAACCTGCATGGCTGCTCTCGTACTGCTGCTGGGTTAGAATCACCGTGAACAGGAGACACCTTTTTTCTCTTGTTGGTTTCTCTCCAACAATGTGATGAATTTGCTCTCGGTTCAGGGTTCGTCTCGTGGTTGCGACCGTGCACGTCGACCAGTCTCTTTAGCCAGGTTGGCATGAGTATCGTCTGTTTCGCTTGCCGATCGATTGCAATATTGACTGCGGTTATCGTGATTCAGTCGCTGAGCTGGGTATACGGATGTGTAGAGTGTGCCGAGGTCGGTTGGTTGGCCAACAATGTCAGCAGCGGTTCTCGCCCATGCAGCTGTAGTCACCTGGCATTGCTTTTTCGGCGATATGATGGCTCGCGGGTCTTCTGCAGATTCTGCCCGGCAGATTTGTGATCTCTTCAGGGCAAGCCGCACGTTGCATACATATATGAGCCCTGTCTCAGATGTCCCAGGGCAATGGGTCAGATCTTTCCCACCATCCCGCTCGGACCGGTCACAGTGGTTCCATGATTTGAGAGGTTGACTCGGCGAGACTTGTACTTCAGAGTTGTGTGTTAAGGTCGTTCTGATCACACCTCGTCAACATGCGTACTCAAGATGCTCTCGACCTGGAGAGGAAGCCATTACTCGACCGACGCTCGCGCAAGCTCTTTCAGATTCTGAACTACAATTGGGCTATCTTCCCTTGTACCGCGTTTCTGTCATTCCTCGGTAGGAAGCACAGCTCTCTGCTTGCTAAATATAGACTGATACTCACCAGCTGTATACGCTATCATGGTCTGGGCGGGAGTTCCAGAGGCGATCGTGCAGCCAGGAGTGCCGTGGACGCGCGACTGCACCATCATCACCCTCATCATCACCCCGTTTCTCCTCGCGCAATTCCCACCCTACTATATCCTCTGGGGCATGTGTCTTCCTATCCGACCCTTCTCCTATGCCAGATCCCCAAAGCAAAGATCATTTCGTAGTCTGCGAGTCTGTCTCGTCACCAAAGCGACCAACATCCAGGGAGGTATCCGTCCGCCTTCCATCTCCATTCCACTGACCGCGTCCAACAGACTGTCCTCCACACCGTCGGACTGTGGAAACCTCTTAGCCAAACCTTCCGCATCAGCTTCGTCGTGGTCGTCGATTCCGCCCACAACCCATTCACCACGCTTCTCCCCAGCTGGGTCGAGCAGCTGCAGGTTCCACCTTCCTTCCAAGCCGAGCGCGCCGCCCACAAAGCCCGTGTGCTCGAATGGTACCGCCGACACAGCAACCTCACTGAGTGCGACTGGGTCCTGCACTTGGACGAGGAGACTGAGATCGACGAGTACCTCGTGCAAGCATGTTTCGACTTCATCGAACGCGGGAATGAAGATATTGGAATGGTACTTCCCACCCCTTCCCCTTCCTTGTTTGCATGCTCACCTGGAAGACCTCACTAACGAGCCAAAGGGAACAATCTATTACAACGCCGCCTCGCACTGGAAGAACCCTCTCACCACCATCGCCGAGATCCTCCGCATCGCCGAGAACTTCGGACGGTACCAGCTCCCCGTGCGGTTCTTTCGGCAGCCGTTGCTGGGGTTCATGCGCGGCAGCTTTCTGCTGCTCAACGGGACGGTCGAGAATGCGGTGACGTGGGATACGGATTGCCTGACGGAGGATCATTGGTTTGCATTTTACGTGAGTCTTTTCCGCATCCTATCCCAGATCCTCAGTGTGTCCAACGCTGGTCAGTCGGGGAAATCAGGATGACGTCGCCATGAGCCAGACTAACCACCAGAGCGTCGGCGAAGGCCGCCAAACAAGGCTTCAAATTCGGCTGGCTCAACGCGATCGCCCGCGAACAGGCCCCGTCCACCCTCGTCGACCTCCTTCGCCAACGCCGCAGATGGTACAGCGGAGAGCTGATGATCCCCAGCTGGCCGCTGCGGGTGATAGTGGCGTTCAATATGCTGGAGTTTGTCGCGCATTTCTGCTTGTACGGTTTCAGTCCCCCCCCTTGTCCTCTTTCCATCTCCTTTCCAATCTCATTCTTAACCACCACCCGCCGCCCTGACTGAATGGGACAGATTGATGACAATTATCTACGGCGGGTGGCAAATCCGCGTCCCCTACGGATTCTTCGTCTGGACGACGTTCAACCTGGCGGTGCTGCTGCATGGGCGCGTGGTCGCGTGTCTGATGGAGGATCTGGATTGTCATGCAACCGCCCTGCTGGATATCCCCGTGCATGTGGTCTTGACGGTGGTGTTGGCGCCGGTGGTGGATTTGATCCAGGCGACGACGTTTCTGTGGACGGTTCTGCGGCCGACGCGGGAGTTCACGGTGATCCGGAAGGACTAGGGCTGGTGGTTCTGAGTGGTGTGTGGCGGTTTAGGCCGGTTGTGCGGGGTGTAGTTTGGGGGGCGGGAGTAGAAGAGGCTGGTGGACTGGCCTTGAGTCACTCCTGGGGTTGGGGAAGCCAGCTAGAGGATTTTATGTCAAACTAAAGAGTGGTGAGAGATTATGCCGGGCCTGCGATTTCGACCGGGAATTCATATCCAGCCGCATCGGGGTCCACCACGTCCACAATTCGGGGATCATGTGGCGAGTGCTCAAGGGTGTGTTTCTATTCAGCTCGTGTTACTGAGTAAATAATGTGTTTTAGGGCTGGCTGGCTGGCTGCGTGGTGCTACTACTTGAAAACTGGACCGAAGGCTGGAAGGCCTCTAAATCGTGTTTGGTGGTACATTACTGTCAATCGAAGACTATACGTCAGAACAACTAGGGTTGAGTCACGAACTATCTTACAGCAGGCCATCAGTACCGATAGTTGTGAGCCGGGCTTGGGATCAGTCCTATTTATGCACCCATTAGCCCTGAAAGAAGCATTGCATACGCCCTGAGACTGTATGTGGGCTGTCGTGGACTAGCTAATAAGTATGTGGCCCTCAACAATTTTAACTGCAGTTCTTAGGCATACTGTCCATCTTCAAACCGCCGTTAGTGCTGCTGGGGCCCTACAATTCATCTGCTTACCACTACGCCCATTGAAAATGCTCGCAATGCAGATAAACTCCCCCCGACTGGCCCCCCTTCAAGAGTTTCACGTTCTCGTCGGCAACCGCCTTGCGGACATCACTCTGCATCGAGAGGGGCCCACAAACATAAACCCCGAGCGACTCGCCGGGCTGGACCGCTTCGCGGATGATCCCAGGGAGGCGTGGGCGGCCCTTGTAGCAGTCCACCATGGTGCGCATCGCTTGATCACGTAGACCATCCCGGCTTGCGGGCCGGGGACCCTGCTCTTTCCACTCAACGGGCGCCTGTTGGCTCTGAGTCGGTTGCTGGTCGGCCTCGTCGCGGGTGCGGTGGAGTTGGATGTGAAGATTGAGCACCGTGCCGGGCACGGCGAGTTCCTCCCGCAGCCGCCTGACGGCTTGATCGAACCACATGCGGCTGTCGGGGTCTCTGGTTGCCAGGATGACCCGTAGGGAGCGGGGGCTGTTGTGCCTTGCTGCTTTCGCATCGTCGTCGCTCACGACGTCTACTTCGTGGCCGCATTCTACGTCCCTGGGCGTGCACCGCGACGAGAGGAATTGCTGGATAAACGGCAAGGTCCAGCCAAGACCCGACCCTCCTGCAATCAACAGGAGATTGTCGCTGCGGCTGTAGGACGGCATGTTGATCCCGCCATACGGGCCGTCAACGAGCACCGAGACAGTGGCGTCCGGGTGCGCCAGGACGTAGTCGTATAGACGCGCCGTGAATCCGCCTTGATGGTGGATGTAGAAGATAAGGCGGGACTCTTCTCCGGGCTTTTCCGCGGGCAGGGAGCAGATGGTGAACGGGTGCGCTGAAAGTGCATGGAGCAGTCCGAAGTTCGTGAAGCGGAGGAAGCAGTGCTGGCCGGGCCGCCACCGGAAGGCCGCGGGGATTGTGATCCGGATGAAGCCGTTGCTCTCCAGGTGGAGGTGGGCCTTTTGTCGCGTTCCGTACTCGAAAAGCGTCCGCAGCCACGGGTGGAGGAAGCATGGGACGTATACCGCGGCTGTCGCGATAAAGTAGTGCCTAAATCGATGTTGGGTTGGCGTCCAAGGGGGCTGCATCAGGTGCTTGTGCTTACCAGGAGGTCAGAGTATAGTCGCAGTGCCAGAAGAAGATTAGCATGAATACGGCGGCAGCAGAGAAGTGTGTCGCCTTGAAGAATTCGTAGCCCAGTCTTCTGCGGCACGTTGATGTCAGGAAGGATGTTGCATCTGTGCTCATTGCTGTGCTGTCACATACCTAATCACACTGTGCGACGCAAAGGTAAGCCATGCCTGGAAGATGATAGCCACAATTCCGGTCCAGTAGAACAAAAGGCTCGTTTCAAAATGCATGACCATGTCATGAAATCGGATATGGAAGACAATGAAGGGGAAGGTATGCAAGAGCGCGAGAACGAAGAAGCCGTAGGATATCCATCGGTGAAACACTTGCAGCTTCTCATGGGAGACGCCGGTGAGAAGGGTGATCCAACTCGTCTTGGTGGCCGTTGCGCTGTCCACAATCACTATTTGAGACAAGGGCGTCATCACCGGGAGACTTACAAGACAAATGGCATGCACGCCAGCGCCATCCAGCCCGATCTGGTCGCGAGGGGAGGTGAACTACCATATTCCAGACTGGACCAGTAGTAAGGCTGGGGAATGAGTACCATGCCTATCATCCAGTGTTTATCAGCTTCGACATCTTCGCTCGGCGGCGATGGCGACTTACAACAGAAATAGACAGCCCCTGCTGCGCCCAGTAACAAAACTCCCAAGGGAGCTGAATTCCATCCCAGTGCCCGGATATGAAAGCCACGGTAGGACAAGTATCGGATGAAGGCGATCAACTGACATATTTGAGGGCCACGAAATTTCCTCCGGTAACCCAGTATCGAGGAAAGAAAGTACCCGATGATGAAGATCCCAATTGAACACATAAAGAACGCGATGGTTGGTAGAGCGTAGACATAGTCGGCGACGTACCTAATTGCATTGTATGGATGTCAGCGAGAAGTCTAAGAACTATCGACGTCTGTCGGGACACACGCAGAGAAAGCTCTGACCAAAAATGCCATCGCTGCATATAATAGTCGCATTCTTCCGTCGTGAAGCCATCACAGGTGAAATCACGACTCCCTGTCAGCTGGACCGGTGATGTGAGCCAGGCTGCGGACATTCTGGAAGACTTGCTGTCAGTTGTCGCAAGCTGTTTCGAGGCAGCGAAGAGAATCTCCAGCCAAATGTTGCAGGACAGAGCACCTGGGGTTATCTACTGTACTACTACTAAGGGCTACTATCAGATTATCAATCAGTGCTGTCTGAAAGAGTACGCCGTGATTAAGTGGAGCCCGGACGGCAATAGCGCTCTGACCCGCTTGGCTTGACCCGAACTGCGTGTTGGCAATGAGCAGATTTGAGCTTGTTTACCTGCCCTCCATTGGTTGCTCACCCTTAGCTTCCTCTGTCTGACGACGGTGTGGCTGAACAGTGGAGTTGCTATATGGCCTGTGCATATTCCCCCGGCGAAACGTGCGCTGTTCCGTTCAGTTCCTGTACGCCACGAATGGGAGCACTTCGATATTTTATCAATACATTTGATCGTCAGCACCAAAACCTCAGACGACACAACCACCCACCTATTCGTATCGACCATGGATATCCTGTTCAGCCGCCTAGGCAAGTTCCCTGGTCTTGTCACACTCCCTGCGAGTCATCCACCCTCAGCTTCTGCCTGCGGGTCTTTGATATTGTAGATGCTAGTGCAAGTAGAAAGTATTTTCTCGGAAAGATCGAACAGGCATCCAGGTCATAGTATGCTTTCTAGCGTGAGAAGAAATCGCTTGACTCCTTTACCAAATGACTATACCTTGTTCGTTCGATGCCATGAATTAGGGCTAAAACACGCACCAAATCGACCCGTTCCCTCCACCCGTACAGTGAGGAGGACCTTTGCCCTAATATGCTGTAAGTCACGTCAAATGTAAAGTACTGGGTAGTATACTCGACCAACCATGAGTTCCTCATCCAGACAACCCCTCGGTCCTCCGATCTCACCAAGAAAGCGAATGTTCTACAATCCACAGTCGAGATTTGAGCACATTTGAGAAGATATTGGGCAGCTCAGGGCGCGGCCTGGTGCATTAGCGTAGAATTGGCGTATAATTAGCGTCCGAGTGTGGCGGGACTACGGTGAGAGAGAGGATTCAAGATATCAGTCGGAGTTGTTGGTCGATATGTCAGGGCGCAGTCTTCTACTTCAATTCGCTTCGGTCTTGCCCTTTCTCACCTGCTCTCTTCCTTGTATCACTTATCCTCCTTTTCAACCTTTTCAACTTCATTCCTACGCGTCCACAGCCTTTCTCTCGAACACAATGATGGACATGGACACGGGCTCCACCACAACCATGGCGATGGGAATGGAAACCAGCACAGCCACGAGCTCCAGCACAATGAACCTGTCGACCGACTCCTCTATGTCCATGTCCATGACGATGGTGTTTTTCACCTCGACCACCACCCCCCTATACTCCAACGCCTGGACCCCCTCCACCACCGGGCAGTACGCGGGAACCTGCATCTTTCTCATCGCCCTGGCCGTCATGCTCCGCCTCCTCCTCGCCCTCAAACCGATGTTCGAGACACGTCTGTGGAAGGACGGGATATCGAGATCCTGCCCCGAGCACGGGCATCGGAGGACCCGGTGGGCGATCAACCCCGCCGTCGGCCGCGCCACACTGGAATTGGTGGTCGCCGGCGTGGGTTATCTGCTGATGCTGGCAGTCATGACCATGAACGTAGGATACTTTCTGTCGGTGCTTGCCGGACTGTGGCTAGGGACATTCGTTCTGGGGGGGTGGGCCAGCGATACACTGTATGCACATCATTGAGACGACACAAACATGCAGGATGAGGGACAAATAGAAGAGAAGACAAGAATGATTCATTTTGCCTTTCGTGCCACTGCTGTGACACGGTTGAGTATCGATCAGGGACCATATTGTAAAGGACACACTACAGCCGGAAGAATCACTTTATCACCGCGGTAGACCGATGTAACGCTTATCTTATGAATTCTGAAGAACCTTCTTCCAAGTAATCTACCTGTTTACTAATAATCAGTTACAATGGATAATTGATCAACTTTATCGATAGTAGAATTGTTATTCTTCAAAAAACAGAATATGAAGAGAAAGAATTCAGAGAGAAGCTTAAGAAGATAGTATATAATCATACCACTGCAATGCTTCTGCACTCAGAATGGACCATAAAGAGCCTAACCCTGAAATGAGGGCATCCTCTAGATCAAGGCACCTATGTCCAATGACACTGCAGCAAAGCCAAAGCCGGGCTAGACTGGAGTAATCGCAATGACTTGCTCTGAAAAGTTCTTGGGTAAAGGATATGTACCCTCGTAGTCAAACCTGAAACAAGCGCGAGTCCACTTCGTCCAAAAGTTAATGCCTCGACACCACGGAAGATCGTTGCATGATGCGATGCAGTCCTCATAACCGAGAATCACATTATCACGAGGAAAGCCGTTTGGGCTATAAAGCCTCTGGTTGCAAAACTGCCTGTAGGTCACACCTTGCACTGTAATCTCCTTCCCATCGGCACCGGGACATCTGGCCCACTCCCGCCAATTCGAGGTCATTCCAATTTCACCGTCCAGCAGCTTTTTATAGAACAAATTGGTTCCATTCAGCTCTTGGCTCGTTTGATTTAACACTTCTGTTTGTCGCTGCAGCTGGCTGAGTGCTGTACTGAGATTCCTGTTGGCCTCGTTCAGCCCGTCCCTTTCCTTCTGGATATGACGGAGACTCGTATTGTAGGCTTGATTCTCCCGTTCGAGCACATCTCTGGCGTCTTGGATGGGTTTCAATCGGTTTGCGCACTCGGTGGTTTCATTGGCGACAGCCGCATTGATCCACGGCGCACAGGCGCTTTCTGGTGGACTAAGACCGATCCGCTGGCGAAGAGCCATGTATCCCTCACTGTACGGCGGGTAGGACTTCTTTTGCAAGTCCTCGGAGGATGTAGTCAAGTAGCAATGGCCATTTCGACTGACCCAGGTGCTGCCGGTGCATGCGCCATCCCAGTAACAGAGCTGTGCGCACTCGCGTGCACTCGCCGTGTTCACAGGCGCGGGGGCTTGAGGATCCCACCAGGAGTCGCAGAAGTATTCAAATTGGATGCCATCAATTTCGCTGATGCCCTCCACTTGGCCGGAGCAACAAGCGTTGTATTCTCCTAGGCTGTTGGAAGCCAATAGGCAATTGGTAGGGCTGTCTGCTGCAGAAAGTGTCACCAAGGACAGGGAAGCAATCGTGTGTAATAGGTTTGACTTCATCCTGGGTGGGCTAAAGCCTGATCGTGCTTCACGTGGAAGAACTTTTCAGCTGGGTTTGTTGGATTAGCATCAAAAGGATCGATTGAGCATGTTATGTATAAGTACTGGCTGGAAGTTAATTTTCTCTACGCTGGATGTTGAAAGGTCATGACGTGTACCAGTTTCTTCATGAACTTCAATTGTTGCAAGTATCAATGTAACCGAGACCATACTCACCCTTGGCTTAACTAGTAGTTTGACGTTAGGTGGGTTACAGTGGTGCCACAGATCCAGAATTTCATGAGCTTTGAACTTTGGTTCGCTGAAACTAGCATCAAAACACAGACTGACTGGGACCGATGCAACAGTATGAGTCGAGGTGTCATTCTGTAAGCGCCCCGTTCCTCCCGGGTGGGTCTGAAGAGATTCCGCTTGCGGGATGTCACTCTGTCAACAACTTGAGGATGCCGGATGAGTGTATTAGTCACGACATTCCATACCTTATTTTTCTATTGGCGAGACCCAAGGACCGCTTAGAATACTATCATCCGCCGAGTCCGAGGGACCACTGCTGTTGGCAGGCGGCCCGACCATGCTTGGTCAATCATTCACAATTATGTAGAGTCCCTTGGATAACAGACGTTGCACTGACTGTGGGACTGTAATTGTGGAGACTGGGAGAACGACAGCAGTAAGCAGGTTGATTATAGCTGGAAATCTGTATAGTGTATCATCTTCCCTGCATGTCAGACCTTTTAGCACCGTCGTGTGAATTATCAAGCGTGCCTAAAAGGGTAACAAAGAAGCTGTATTTACTTTCATGCAACTGGTACACGAGAGACGCACAAGGATAGGATGATGGCAGCCGGAACCAAAGGCCATTCCGTGAATCTAGCATTGACTACAAACGAGCGCTCATCTTCTTCCCACCACCCGACACCCCATCCAGCTCCCCCATCAACTTCCTCCCCTCGGGATCATACACCGGCTCACAGACGACCGTCGCGCGGACCCTCTCGCCAAAATACTCAATCTCCACCGCCGCCCCCTCCGCCACCTCCCCGGGGAGCCAAGCATACGCCACCGGCCTGCCCACGCTATACCCCAACGCCGCAGTCGTGACATACCCCACCGGCTCGCTCCCCCCGGCCACATAAACCGGCTCCTTGCCCATCACCATCGACCGTTCCTCATCCATCATCAAACACCGCAGACGTCTCTCCACCCGTTGTCCCTGCCTCCGGTTCCGCCTCCGGCTTTCCCGCCGCCTCATCAACGCCGCCCGCCCCACGAAATCCCCCTGCTTCTCCCCATCCACCGCAAACCCCATCCCGGCTTCATCCGGGTCATGCTCGCTCGTCATGTCCACCCCGCACACCCGCATCCCCTTCTCCAGGCGCAGCGCGTTGAACGCCGCCCGGCCGGCGGGGATCAGCCCGTGCGGTGCGCCCGCGGCGAGGAGTGCGTCCCAGAGTCTGGCCCCGTGCGCGGCGCTGCTTTGGATCTTCCACCCCGACTCCCCGACGGGGGACTTGGCCGTGACGAGCACGGGAATGCTGGCGAGGGTGGCGGGTGTGGCGTGCATGTGCGGCAGGGTGAGCGGGTGGAAGGCGGCGGCGGCCGTGGGGTTGAGGGAGCGGATTACGTCTAGCGCGCGCGGGCCCCAGAGGCCGAGGGCGCAGGTGGCGTCAGTGATATCTTGGACGTGGACGTGTAATTGAATTGAGGGGGTCTGCGGGGAACTGGAGGTGTAGTGGCGGGCGGCGCGGGTCAGGTAGGCGAGGTCGGTGGCGGTGTTGGCGCCGATCTGGTAGGTGGTTCGATCGAGTCGCGTCACGAAGAGGTCGGTGCGGATCCCCGCGTCGGGGGTCAGACAAAGGGTGTGCAGCACGGTGCCGGGTGGCACGTCCATGTCGGAGGTGGTGAGTTGTTGGAGGAGACCGAGGGCCCCGGGCCCAAAGACGAGGAAGCGGTGGAAGGAAGTCAGGTCGTACAGGGCGACGGCGGTGCGGGTCTTCCAGGCCTCCACGGCGGAGATGGGCGAGGTGAAGCGCTGCGACCAGGGGTCGCCGGGGCGGGGCGGTTGCCATGCGGCGGGGAGGGCGTGGTGGAGCAGCGCGGCATTGGATTCGTACCAGAAGGGTCGTTCCCAGCCGCCCGTCTCCAGGAAGAAGGCGCCGAGTGATTTCTGTCGGGCGTAAAAGGGGCCGGTGCGGAGGTTGCGCGGTGACGTCCGCGGCTGCAGCGGGTGGAGGATGTCGTAGATCTCGACAAAGTTCTGCTGCGCTGTCTCGGAGACGTAGTCTCGCGTGAGCTGGACCGGTTCGAACCGCGCCAGCTCGCAGTCCAGCGCGTCGATGTCGGACCAGCCCTGCGTGATGAGCTGCGCGACTGCCCGCGCCACCCCCGCCGAGTGCGTCACCCAGACGGCCTCGGCCGCGTAGAATCCGTCGAGATGGGGGGCCTGTCCGATCAGAGGCCCCCCGTCGGGGGTGAAGGAGAAGATCCCGTTGAAGCCGTCCTCGATCTCCGCCCCCCGCAGCGCAGGCAGCAGACGCTGCGTCTCCGTCCACGCGGGCGCAAAGTCGTTGGCCGTGAACTCCAGCCGCGAGGGCATGTTCTTCTCGTCGATCGGCTGCGCGGACCTCCCCGCCGCCGCCGCCGCCGCCACCACCGCCGGCATGGGCTTGTGGCCGTAAAATCCGATCCCATACCGATCGCCGTGTTCCCGGTAGTAGAGGTCGTGGTCCTGGTGGCGCAGGATGGGCAGACGGGCGTTCCACCCGTTGATGCGGGTGTTGACCGTGCGATGGGCATGCTCCGCTACCGGGGTGGTGGTCGCATACTGATGCGCCAGCGGGAGCAGCGGGATCTCCACCCCGGCCAAGGCGCCCACCTCCACCCCCCAGAATCCCGCACACGCCACCACCACATCCGCCGCAATGAGCGCCGTCTCGTGGTTCTTGATGCGCACCCCCGTCACCTTCCGATTCTCCGCGTCCTTCTCGATGCCCGTGACCGTCGTGTGGGCCAAGTACCGCACCCCGCGCGCCCTCGTCCGCTCGATGAGTAACTCGGTCGCCCGCGCGGCCAACGCCAGCCCATCACTGGCCACAAACAAGCCCCCCAGCACCACCCCGTCGTCTTGATTGAGTAGGGGATACATCTCCCGACACTGCTGGGCATCCAGCAGCCGCGCCCCTTCCACCCCCCACGACCGTGCAAACCCATACCGTCGCTTGATCTCCTGCACCCGTTCCGGGGTGGTCGCGATCTCCAAGCCCCCGACTGGATTAAAGCAGCCCTGGCCATCGCGGCGGAGGGCCTGCAGCTTCTGGACTGTGTACTGCGCAAACCGCGTCATGGTCTTGGAGGGACTGGTTTGGAAGACCAGGCCGGGGGCGTGCGAGGTGGAGCCCCCGGCGCCGGGGAAGGTGAGGGGCCCTTGCTCGATGACCGTGATGGCGGAGGCCGGATGGCCCAGGGAGAGGAGTTCATCTGCGAGATTGGCACCCACGATGCCGGCGCCGATGATGATGATGGTTTGCGCTGTTGACGAGGGCATGGCTTGTGTGTGTGTGTGTGTGAGAGAGAGAGAGAAATTGTGACTGAATGTGACGAGGGGGTTGCATGGGAATAGAATAAAGGGTAAGGGGTCTTATTGGTGAGGCATAGTGAGTAAGTAGTAGTGCTACAGCTGTAGTGGGGGATGTTGCTGGGGATGAACAGAGTCGGATCCGTGGACCGTCTCCGAGCCGATGTTGCTCGTTATCGCTATCTTATCTACGACTCTTCTATCTACATAGAATACTATACTATACTGTAGTAGACACGGCAGCCAGCCGGAACCGAACCCCGCACCGCGCTTTGACCGTCAGCCGTGGCTCTGCATTCATCATCCATCGATGCTCGATTACATACAATATACTATACCCCTTTTGGGCATCCGTTCCAGATTTCCTCTTTGGGGGGTTTGAATAGGGCTGCACGAATATCAGGTCCTTGCATCTGCAATGGCTATTTTTAGCTACAGCTACAGCTACAATCCAAAAGACATCTGCTTTTTGCTTGATCGTCTCGGTACCTGTCAAGGCTGCATACAACCCGCCCGCAGATTCAGGGGATCTAAGGTCTTATTATCTAGTAACTTATACAGGCACGCTGCCGGCATTCCACTCCATATTGAAACAACCACTGAAAGGGGTCAGACACTACATTGACCTACATCCCGTGAGGTACCGTACGTCGCGATGCAGCCATCGCCAGGTCGCAAGGACCGTTCTTCAATGACCGGCGCTTAGTAAAGAAGCTTTACCTGGGAAACCTCCAGGTATAGTCGACTAAGCTCTGGTCTTACGGCTGTCGACGAATACAATACGAAAAACCTCACGCTCGTTGGTGAAGCCCCCCCCATCACGATGTCATACACAGTACAGGTCAATGAACCGAGTGTCATGGGCTTGCGTCCTTCGGTCGGAGTTACGTGATTCGGGAAAGAGGCTGGCAGTCCGGTCACCGATGGAAGCCTAAATATAGTCAATACATCTCTGGCATGGTTTGGTGCATTGGGATATGTGGGGAGGGGAGGTCGCATGGGAAACCGGAGTTCTGGTGTTTGTAATCAAGGCATTGCGTCGGGCTGCCAGATGGTGGGTGCGGTGGTGCGGTGGTGCGTTTGGTTCGGATCACATTCATTGTTGCTGTGGAGGGCAAAGCAGAATGTCGGGAAGGAGTGCTCGTGGTTGCGATGGGATGAATCTGGCCGAGATGACCACTACCACAAGAAGTGGAAAGAATTTCCATCAACGGAGATCAAGCATTCCAGTCGTATATCGTATGCGCGTGGATGATACCTTCAAGTGAGTTCTCATCGTACTATAAACCGGTTATAGATCCCCCGTGTTCCACCACGCAGACCCCTCGACCTCACCGACCGCGAGCGCATTCGGATACTCTATCTCCTCCTCCAGATTCGCACTCCCACCGCCGCCCAATTGCCCCCCGGCAGGCGCCAGGTCCGTCCACAGCCACGGGGTATTCAGCATCAGGCTGTCAACGGGCGCCACCACCGCATCGCGCAACGAGGTATTCCGCAGCGACTCCGCGGTCGCCGCCGTGGGGCTCGGACTCGGACTCGCATTCGGCGGGCGGCAGCAGAGCGACATCGCGGGCGCCGCCTGGCCCCCGTCGGTCGTGTTCACGGTGACCTCCGGGGAGGCGGTGACGATGATCTCCAGGTTGGAGACGGGGCAGGCGGCGGTGGCGGTGGAGGGTGGGCAGAGGGAGGAGTGGAGGAGGCTCCCGCCTGCAGGCTGGTGGTGGTGGTGGTTGTCGCTGCCGGTGACGTTGAATTGCAGGATGTCCCACATGAGGGGGATGTTGAGGTGGATTTGCGACGGCACCCAGTCGTCCAGGTCGACATTCTCGGTGCCTCCGGAGGCGATGCGGGTGAGGTCGTCGACTTTTTGTGTCTGCAGCCACTCCCTCTGAGGTTAGCACGGCTGGGGCAGGATGCGGGGGACAATGAAAAGAGGAATGTACTGTACCAAGATATCGCACGCGCGGGAGAACGAGGCAAAGGATTGCAGAAAGTCTCTGCATTTCGACAGGTCGGCGCGGGACTTGTGCTTGAGACGCGGATCGTCCGCACAGCAGTAGTAGAGCTGCACGCTGGCTGCGATGGCCGCAACATGGCCGAAGAACGGGTCGGTGAGACGGACCTGTTTCTCCGAGACCATGTCGATGAGTCGCACGATCCACGTGGCGTGCAGCAGGGCCAGCTCCGACGATCGCCGCCAGAAGCTGTTGGGGATGGCGAGATTGGGGTTATGCTGCGAGGCGATGATGTACAGAAACGGATGGTTGAGCACGGTGAGCATGGCATGGTACATGAATTGCAACTTCACCCAGGGGGCCCAGTACGCCCGGTTCGCGGCGATCTCGGCGGCGGTGCGTCGGTAGAACTGGACTCGCTCGTAGCGGTGGCAGAGCGGGGTGCTATTCTCGATTTCCGTCAGATTGGACAGCACGACCGAGTACATGGACTCGTGGCGCCACGGTTCGATCAGGCGGCTGTTGGCGCAGTCGGAGACGTAGGCACGGACCTGGCTCCAGACCCAGCCGAAGTGGATGGACATGCTCCAGATGCCCGTGTCATCGGGCGAGGAACAGCCGACTGTGTCTCTGGGGATGGGCGGGGGCGTGGAGGAGGGGTCTCGGTCCGATTCTCTGCGTCCGCTGCTGGACAGGTAGCGCGGTCGCCAGGTGGTGGTGGGGATGCTGAGGAGGCCGGACTGTCGGCCGTAAGCCTGCTCCAGTAACTGCAGGCTCCAGAAGAGTCGCTTCTTCCGCTCCGACTGTCGGTCCTCGGGCGTATATGCGGCCTCGGTGTCCAACATGGCTGCTCGACAGAGCTGGAGGCCGAGACCCAGGTAGAACCGTCCCTGCTGCCAGTGTCCATCTAGGGCTTGTCAGCCTTCCGCCCTAAAGACGCAAAACCCACCAACTGGGGAGTAGGGAGCCTGCCTATAAACGACGAGTATGCCAGCAAACACAAACTCTCAATCGTCGCCAGCTCGACCGACCCATTCGCAATGCGCAGCATGACCAGGCTTTTCGCATTATCCGCATACCGCTGCCCGTGCTCCGGATCCCGTGCGAACCGTAGTGTCAAGGCCAGAATGCTGCAGATCAGCTCTTCCGGGTGCGACTCGATATTCCCAAGCTCTGTGACATTCAAGCACCACACCGGCTGTCGATGGCAGCATTCCAGGTACAGATCGATGGCGTGGGCGACAAGCAGGGAAGAAGCCGGCGGGCTGCCGTCCTCCAGCCCAAGAACAGAGGGGAAAGCAGGATCCGAGCGATAGGCGCCGTCGCCGTGCGAGAGGGCGGTCGGCATCTCCGGCCCGTCTTCTCCTTGTCGCGGTCGCTCGGGCTGGGATGCCGTGGTCGGTGCTGACCGGGAGGATTCTTCAGCGCTGGTCGGCCGATAGGCGGCGGAGGCGTCGTGCGTAGCCCCCCGTAATATCTGGTTGACTTTCGCCTCAAGCTCCGCCAGGCGGTCTTTCTACAGAATTCTCAGTATGGGTCTATGGTGACGGGTGAGAGGGTAGATAGGTACATTAGGGCTACTCGTAGAGCCCCCAGCAGCGGCGTATGAGCACTGCTGCTTGAGCCGGAGGCAGCACGAGCAGACCGGTTTCTCGCCTGGACACCGTGTCTTTTTCCTCCTGCCGGCTGTTAGTTCTGCGGATACAGATTCATTGGCCCAACGCACAGCGTACTGACCGGCAGTTAGTGCAGGCGTGGTTGGAACGAAGCCGTCGACGGGTGCCCTCCTGCAGTGCCATGATCTGATCCGTATAGCTCGAGTATTGCTGAGCTGCGGTGAGAATCGAGGCAGTCCCTTCGAGGGGGTGATTTCATTAGATTCAAAGAAAGCTAAAAGTAGGTAAGAGTAATCTAATCAGGATGACGGTGATTGCGCATGGAGGGATTGGCCACCCGTCAAGTGGTGTTGAGTAGGGCTCCATGCGGGGTCGGGGTCAGATGACCTCTTTGGGAATAGTGTCAAGAACTAACCGTACTTTCGGACTACTTTCAGAATGCATCCTCTGGCGTAAAAATGCTATTGGAACAGTCTGGCCTAATCAAACAAAAGAATAAAAATAGCAAAACTTAGCTAGCTAATCATGCACAAAATGACGTAAGAAAGAACAATGAAATCTACCAAGCAACCGCCGCCGGTCGAGTCTTTCCCAGCGACGAGCAGCACTCGCCACCACTCGTATTACAGCTTAGACTCGAGCAAAAGTCCATATCCTTCGCGCTCACCGAGGCCTCCTTGGGCAAACTCTGTCGGGCGGGCCAGATCTCCTGTCCGGCTTTTTCTTCGCGTTCGGCGTGCTGCAGCACCAGCTCCCGCACCGTCTTCTGGAAGTACAGGGGGCCCTTTTCCTTCTCGGGGTGCAGCTCGCCGTTGACGAAGACCCCTGCGTTGAGGTTTTTCTGGGCCAGCGTGCACAGATACTTGTCCTCGGACATGACGCGTTTGTACATGGCGTTGACAGTGTTGAAGTCCTCGTCGGTCGCGTGCTTGTTGCGGTAGACCTCATACTTCATGATGGATCTGCCCGGAGCGAGGGGGACGAAACGTTGCATGAAGAAGAAGTTGGGTCTATCGTTCTGTGAGTTAGTGGCGGGCGGGCTTGCAGGAAAAGGGAATCGACTTGAGTAGACTTACGAGACATTCATCGACGCGTTGGGAAAGTAGTAGGTGCTGGCAATCTTCAGCCCCTTCTCAATCTGCTCCGGGGTGTTCTTCGCGTCGTGAATAATGCTGCCATCCTTGGTGTCGACCGAGTAGCTGTGGAGATCCGCAATGGAGGGGAGATCTGGGTGCGTCGTCAGACAGTGGTAGCACTCGTTGTAGTTGTCCGCCAGAATCTTCCAGTTGTACTCGCCCTCCATCTCCCAGGCATGGTCGAAGGAGTAGTCGTCCCAGTTGATGTCCTTCATGCGCGGCTGGCGGTCGATATCCTGGAAGTCGTCATTCCAGGCCACCTCCGGCTGCTCCTTGGCATCCATATTCACCCAGATAAAGCCATTGTGGTCCACATGCACGTGGATCGGCAGCAGCCCGTTCTTGCTCTTCTCAAACCCATCCAGGTCCTGGTACCCAGGGGCTTTGGCGAGCTTGCCGTTGAGTCCGTAGGACCAGCCGTGGTACTTGCAGGCGAAGATGCGGGCGGAGCCACCGTCCTCGGTAACCACGGGGAAGGCCCGGTGACGGCAAATGTTGTGAAAGGCATTAATCTGGCCCTGGCGGTCCTTGACGAGGATGAACTCGAATCCGCCGATTTCATATTTCAACCAGTCGCCGGGGTTGAGGAGACGGAGCCGGTGGGTGGTCAAGAGCCACTTGCGGGAGAAGATGGCGCGGCGCTCGAGCTCGAACATCTCCTGGGATGTGTACCAAGAGGCAGGGAGGGCTCTTGTCGCGTTTTTGGTCTCTTGGGGGGCCTTGGAGCTGCCCACCCCGAAGTAGTTCAGTAGTGAAGTCATTGTGTGGATGAAGTAAAGGAGACGATCCGAGCGACCGTAAAGCAGGTAATGGGTATCAAGGAAGTAGATTGCTCGGTGTTGAATTCACTCAGGTCTGTCTGCGGATACGAGCCCCTTCATATATCAGGGGCTATCTATCATTGGACTTACACTGGGGCATCTCGACCTCAACTCCGACCGTGACACACCACGGAGCCGTCGACGCCGCCAACGAGGGTGGTTGAGTTCACTGCACGGATCACGAGCCCTATCGTCTCCCACATCCCCGAGATAGACGATCGAGATAGACAAACAACTAGCGCTGTGTTTGGCTCCTTGAACTGGCTGAGGTCGGTATCGGAGTGCGCGAGCCGGGACACGGTTCCGCTCCCGATCCCTGCAGGCTGCTTGAAACCCCCCGCCCCAGTCTCAGGGAAAAGATAAGACGATACGATCAATGTGGAGACTGAGCTATGAACAAATGGGGAAAAGACAAACCGGAGCCAATGACGCTCTGTGAATGACATAGTTATTCCCATTTTAGAGGCGGTCTGGGGAGTCTCTCTCTCTCTGCACGAGCCATCCGCGCATCCATTCTAGGGCACAGCTTCCCAAAGCCCCCATTGCCCACGTGGGTCGTGGGTCTGAGTATGATGTATGAATCCTCCACACTCCGATGTTTTAGTTGTCTCTTATCTGTTTCATGCAGCCTTCTACCCAAATCAGTCCAATACATCCCCTGCACACAGACCCACGCTCTGTTCAACCAACGCCCCCCAAGCGACCAACCCTATTATTGTGCCTAGATCGGGTCAAGCCCGGGGATGTGACGCTCTTCTGCACGCATTATGCCAGGGTGTTTATCTCGGTGACTAGTACTGGATCACCAACCCCAACTCGGAAAAGATGCACCAGCTATAGTATTCGGTATTACTCGAGGTACGGCAGCCGGTGACGGCCACAGACCGGTTGGCCCGGAGCCGACCCCGCTTGCGATGCCCAGACGGAAGACGGTTCGCGAGCCGGGCGGGTGCGAGGATCCGCTCCCAGGAGTATATTATCTACACTCCATTCAGGAACCATAGCAACAAACAGCAATCAACAGCATCACAACACGCAATGGATAAATCCCAGCGCATTGTCATCGTCGGCGCCGGCGTCTTCGGCCTCTCAACCGCCCTCTCCCTCGCCCAGGACGGCTACCACTCCATCACTGTTCTCGACCGCTCTATGCCCCCGGTCCCCGACGGCAGCAGCAACGACATCTCGCGCGTCATCCGCTTCGACTACGGCGACAAGGTCTACGCCCAGCTCGGCAAGGAGGCTTTCGATCTCTGGAATACGGAGGAGTACGCGGCATCATTCCATCCAACGCCCTGTGTCTGGACGGCGGAGACAACATCCCGCCCTGGTGGTCACGGGACAGCCATAGTAGCCAAGGATAAGCTCAAGGGCGGATCGGACTTTATTCGCAAGAGCCAGGCAATTCTCGACGAGCTCCAGCTCAAGTGGCATCCCCTGCGCGATGTGGATGCATTGAAGGAAAGGTTCCCGGCGGTGCAGGGACGCCCGATCGGGGCCGGGTTTGAGGGCTTCTACAATGAGGCTGCGGGCTGGGCCGATGCGGGGGTTGCAATTGCAGGGCTGAGGGATCGGTGTATCGCTGCTGGGGTGGCCTTCGTGACGGGGCCGCACGGGCAGGTATCAGGCCTGGAGCATGGCGAGACCTCCACCTCCACCTCCACGACCCAGAAGAAGATCACCGCTCTTCGCACCGCAGACGGGGGCCGCATCACCGGCGACCGCTTCATCCTCGCCACCGGCGCCTGGACCGCGAGCCTCATCCCCTCCTGGAACCACATGGTCGCCACCGCCCAGATCGTCGGCTTCGTGCGACTCACTCCGGCCGAACTCGAGGCGCTGAAGGACCTCCCCATCATCTTCAACCTGTCCACCGGCTTCTTCAGCTTCCCGCCGCACCCCGACGCCGGGTATCTGAAAGTCGCGTGCCACAGCTTCGGGTACACGCTATCTTCTTCCTCGCCGAGCAGCAGCAGCAGCGGCGGTGGTGTCTCCTCGCCTCCTGCGCGGCCGATCCCGGCGCGCGCCAACTTCATTCCCCAGGAGGGCGAGCAGCGGCTACTGGCGGGGTTGAGGGAGATCCTGCCCGATCTTGCGGCCAGGGGGTTCGAGAAGACGTGTTTATGTTGGTACAACGAGACGCCCACGGGGGATTTCGTCTTTGATTATCATCCGGATTATGAGAATCTGTTTGTTGCGACGGGGGGCACGGGACAGTATGATTCCCCCGGGTCTATGTTTTTGGGCTAGATATACTAACACCACTGGGGATGTGTGTAGTGCATTCAAGTTCCTGCCTGTGATAGGCAAGTACATCGCCGGCGCATTCCAGCGCAAACTCTCCCCGGAGTTGACGGCGAAATGGAAGTTCCACACCGAGTATCGCGAGCAAGCGCGCGAGGACATCTTCACGGGCGACTCCAGTCGGAAGGGAGGAGACGGGAGTCGTGGCGGGCCAGCGCGGAGGGAGTTGACCGCGCAGGAACGCGATACACTGCTGTCGCTTACGGATGCCTTGGCCACGAGACAGGCTCGCATTTAGAAACTGTGTTTGGCTATTTGACTCCCTGCCTCCGAGTACCTCTTCCGTTCACTCTGAACGCAAGAGTTGGTCCTTCAGTCACGAAGACCCCCTCCTTCTTTCGACCGGGTCATCTTCTGTAGCATTTCGGCCAGAGATACTGGCAGTCCGCTGCAGGGTATTGGATGCTTGGGGAAGTATGGCATCAACGACTTCGGTTTGAGCCTTGGTCTTTCTATGTGTGGTCCATTTTTAAAGTCGATCGCGGTGTTTAGTGCTCGTAGACGGATGGTTGGTTGAATGATCAAGATTCCAGTAATTCGGTAGGTAGATGCATGCCGTTGGTTTATATATCTGGTCACGAGCATAGCCGGTAGCAGCACATCATCTGCGCAACAGAGCTGCCATCACAAAATAATTCTCAAGGCTTTACAGACATTATTCCGAACTTATCAACAGAACATAGACCATAAATCTAGCACCGAATATCGACACGGGTATCAACCATTGCTCCCAACCACTGTACAAAGCAATCAAAAATTTGATCATAAGCATTTTGAAACAGCGGTTTTTCAACAACTTGTCTCGATGGTGTAGTTGGTTATCACGTGGGTCTCATACCTCAGTATGACTCGGAAGATCACTTCTGGGCGATCCCAAGGCCGGGAGTTCGAACCTCCCTCGGGACATCCTTTTTTTGCATCCTGCATGTTAGTGCATGCAGATCAAGGGCCCTGTTTTTGTCTCTCTATCCCGTGCTTGCTAGTCTGGTCTCATTTTCACTAAATACGACAACCTCACTAACATTCTACACAATTGCATCTACACCTGCATCCTAGTCTCACCCCATCAACCACCCATACCGTCCTACCCTGTACTCAATACTCCCGGATGAATCCTTATCTCACCATGACGCATGAACCAGACCTAGTCTTTTTTTTACCTAAGTGTTCTAGTATATCCCATTACCAAAATATCCCAATCTATGAATCCATACACAAGGTATACTCCTTCCCACCACTAACCTACCATTCAACCACAACTGCTCGCTCAAGCCCACCCCCTCTTCTGCTTCCACTGCATAAACTTCGCCGCCACCGGAAACAACAGAATCGACACGGCGATCCACACAAACAAGACCCCAAAGTCGAGTCCGATGCGCGAGTGCGTGTCGAAGAGGATGGTGCGGAGGGCCTCGACAACTACCCGTAGTTCTCCCAGTTAGCAATGGTTCTCTTCCTCTTCCTACTAGGAATGCCTTCAAGACGAAGGACATCATCCGAAGGGGTTCGACTCTAGGAGCATTCAAGGGGGGGGGGACTTCGGGGGGGAAACTCACTCCGATGCAACGGCCACACATACCCCCACCGGAAAAACCGCGGGGCGAGATCAATCGCATAAAACCCCGTGGCGACGTTGGTGATCACCCAGAAGATCAGAAACAGGGCGCTCCACGGCAGCCCGATGATCATCGCCATGTTCTCGCACGGGAAGCCCAGGGCGCACATCCCCACCCAGTTCAGCATCCAGTAGACGACGAACGAGCCGTGGCCGTAGGCGTTGGGGTTGGTGGCGGGTTCGACGGGGGAGGCGGGCGGGTTGGCGAAGGGGATCTGGAAGGCGAGGGAGACGAGGCTGTAGAACAAGGAGAGGAAGAAGTAGGTCCCGATGTTCGAGAGGATGCGCCAGAGGAGCCAGTGCGGGATCTTCAGGGAGGGGCTGTTCGGGGTTTTGAGGAACCGCAGGTGCACCGGCATCATGAACGGGGTGTTGAAGAAGGCCAGGATGATCAGGTAAATCAGTCCGATGCTGGTGGCCGGGGAGATCACGGCTGGGCCGAAGAAGCGCAGGTCGATCTGCGTGATGCCGATGGCGGGGTTGAGGGCCTGCGGAGGGATTTGCGTGAAGTTGGTGGTGGTGGTGGTGGTGGTGAGGTTCTGGATCCAGCGCGGCCCAAAGTAGCTGCGCACGGATTGTTCGAGCGTCCAGAACTCCGGGAGGATGTAGTTGTAGTACGTGGCTTCGTCGCGGGCGCTGATGATGACGAACTCGGCGGCCCCGTACGGGTCGTAGGAGGTGTTGCCGCTGGTGACGGCGTTCTGGAGCAGGGCCGTCGCATTGGCGTTGATGATGATGGCGGCGTAGGCGTGTTCGTCGTAGATGCCCTGGCGCACCGCCCATGGGTCATAATTGAAGTCCGCGGGCGATTTGATCGTGTATCCCAATGCCTCGGGGTTGGTTTGGAGGGTCTCCTCGACGACCTGGGTGATGGCCGGGCCCACGACGGGGGTGGTGTTGCGATAGGGCTCGACCTGGCCGTCGAAATCCACCACCCAGACAGTCAGGTTATGGAATCGCGTCTCGAGCTTGTACTGCACGGCCCAGAACAACGACAGAATTGCCAGAATGAAGGTGCAGAGGATCAAAACTGGGAATTGGTCAGTCGTGCTCTCCTTTTGTGTACAACGGAGGAATGGGACTCACCTGTCTTGGCCCAGTGGAGGAAGACATGACGTCGGACCTGTGATAGGGCAGGACTGAAGAATGAGACGCCGGCGGGTGGCGCTGCAGGCGTGACCCCTGCCTCGGCCTTGTCAATGGATGGCTCCGTGCTGCCCATGTTGGAGAGTTGAAGGAGAAGAGAGATAGTGGGACAGAGGTAGGTGAGAGAGGCACACGAGTGACTAAGGGGCAGATCTTCACTACTCCCCAGGTAAGTATGTAGCTTTTAAGGCAGGCGAACAGGCGGGTTTAACCTACTATGCCCGGATGGCAGACACCGCGGCGTGATTCGGCAAATTAGCCTGAAACAGTAAGCAAATTCTTATCTCCGATCCAGATCTCACTCGGGGCTTCTGAATGGCTGGTATTTCGGGCTCACTCGGGGCCCGAGAGGCGCGAAGCACGGCTTACACTACACAGTCACTCTGTGCAATTAATAATTAACTGTAGCTGACTACCCTAGTAGTAGTGAGTTAACTTAGAGCAAAGATCCCAGGCTTACGCGATACAGAATGTGCCGTGTTTCCGGCTTGCAGAAAAGTTGCTTACTATATATCCCACTGAGCCCCTTGCACATCGCTCGGTATCTTATCTGATGCTGCCCCTATCGATACTAAAAACACCATGCCTGGCACGGAGACCACGGAGATCGAGGCTACTCCTCATGATGTGGGTCTTGGCCTGACCGGCTTGCCCTACAAATAAACCAGCAACGCTTCAGACGCTTGCACGGTCAAGGTCGCTTGTTCGTTCTCAATCTCCGTGGTCTCCGTCTCCTGCGGGCCCTGCAAAGCACACGTCCCATTGGCAAATGTCTGTCCCCCAATCGTGATGGTTCCCGCCCCCACTGTTGTTGTAGCCGCATCGCCGGTCAGACGCGTGGCGGAGACAGTGCCAGTCGAGGCTAGACCAGTGAGGGTGATGTTGACGCTGCTCCGCGTGCCTGAGGTATAATACTCCGAGTTGTACAGCAGCACGCGCGTGGCCGCACCGCTGCTGTTGTAGAGGGCATACGCAGCCACGCGGGTGTCGCCACTGTCCAGCTGCGCCACCTGTGACGCCCCCCCGAGCGCCAGCGCCGCCGCATAAGCGCCATAAAAGGGGGCGTTCACCGTTGCATCCCACCAGCAATACGGACCTGAAGTGTCAGTCTGATCCACAACTCAATTGCGCGGGGAACTCACAGTTGCCAATTGTTCCCTGGTGGAAGTACAATTGCTACATCGGTCAGTATGTGCCTACTAGTAGTGTTTCCAACGGCACCCACCTTGATCCCCAAGATGACGGCCTGCATCGCATAGTCGAGAATCCACAGCCCAGCACCAAAGGTAGGACTAATTCCACCGCCCCCGCCGGTCGCTATGCCAGTGAGCCTTGGAAACCCTCACGAATGGTTGTAAACGCACCCGAATTCGTCTCGCCCATCACAAACTCCTTGTCGAGATCATGCGCCGCCTCCACCTGCGCCTGGAACTCCGTCACCCCCGCGATAATGGCCTCGTGGCTCATCAGCCCGTCCAGGTCGGCGGTCGAGGCCGAATACGGGTAGTAGTGGTGGCAGAAGGAACGCACGTATTGCGTGGCGTTCGTGTCTTCTTCCGCCCCCACGAGGTTGGTCACTTCGTAAGACCCCAGCCCGAAGAAGACCCCGGCCTGGATGATGGAAGTGGTGTCCAGGGCTTGTCCCACGGCAGCCTGCCATTCGACCTGCGATGCGGCGTCGGTGGTGGCGGTCCAGGATTGGCCGTCGGCGATGGGGTCGCTGGAGGTGAAGACTGTCGCGTTTAGATTGTGGTTGGTGGAGTTGATGCAGGGGCTTACAGTTGGGCTCATTGCCAAGTTCGATGGCGTAGAGGTTCTCGATCGTGGAGGTGGCGACTTTGGCGGCGGCGATGGTGTTGGTGATGTTGTCGAGGCGTCGGTTGAAGCCTGTCTGGATGAGTATCATTCTGCTAGTGGGAGTAGTGGCATACCGATGGTGACCGATCCGCCGTAGCTGGCGGCGATCTCCATGAACGAGTCGCCGAAGGTGAGGGTCTCCGGGGCGTCGTCCGACGAGGCGACAGTGTAGGACACTGCGGTCGACAGGGAGGCATCGTACGTCGCGCGGTCCCTGCGGGTCAGTATGAGGAAGAAGAATCCGATGGAAGACTTACTGTGTAGTGCCTCCGATTCGAATGGGGGGACTGATTCCGTATGCATCGCCCAGTACACCCAGACAACCGTCCGTCAGAGGCAGCTGCTCGAAATACTCGGGGAAGGCAAAGAACTCGAATCTGCGCTGCGAGATTAGGGTCGTTCGGAGATAGAAAAAGAGCGACTTACGACAAGCCCACTGGAGCAGCATCAATCTGCGCACTCGCGTTGGCAGGCACCGCGGCAGGGATCTCGAAGCTCAAGCCAGTGACCACACCAGCCAGTACTGCACCCACCCCTAGTTTTGCGATCATCATGAAAATAGATGGTAAATGGAGTACTTGTCACTGAGCCCAAGATGTACCTCACTCGGTTATTTATCTGTGGGTGACCAGCCAGTGCTCTCGGGTAAATTGTATGCAGTGCATCGGAGAATTGCGAAGATCGACGTGCGGGGGTGCGGGGAATGGAAGAACTTGCCTGCAGAGCAGCACAAGACACCAGCCTCGAGTTGTTCCACCAAACATGCTTGTTTTATTTTTTGCTGGGACGGTGCAGATGAAAAGAACCTCTCAATCAGATCGCTGGCAAATACATTCTCAGGCGTGCGCTACCGAAGTCGTTCCTCCCCTCTACTACACGAGGACGGGTTAGGGCTCAACTCATCAACCCCCCCAAACACTACCTCACCATCACCACCTCACCCCCCTCAAGAGCATCAAAAACAATCACCATGAGCACTCTCACTCCTCACATCTCCATCCTCACCCTCGACCCCAACACCACCCACCGTCTCAACGCCTGCGCCTACCAACAATCCGCCCTCACCACCCTGGCCAACACCCAGTACGCCGCCTTCTACACCCCCACCGCCGACCCGTCCACACGCTGGGTGACGCTTGCCCGCCGGACCTTGCAGTCTTCGCAATGGCACCATCTCACCTTCACCGACTACCCCCAACGCACCGACGACGGCCACAACACCATCTCCATTGGGATCTGTGCCGGGGACGGCACCATCCACGTGGCCTTTGACCATCACTGCGACGAGCTGCACTACCGCATCTCGCGCGCGGGACTCGCCTACGACGCCCGCGCCGCAAGCTGGACGGCCGCCAGTTTTGGGGGAGTGCAATCCCATCTCCCGGGATGGGTCGCCTTAATAGACGTGACGTATCCGCGGTTCGTGTCCGCGGGGAGGAAATTGTTGTTCGAGTGTAGGATTGGCCGGTATGTCTACCCCCATCTGGCAATAAAGGGCATGGCACTGAACGGAAATAGAGCAGGCGCCGGGTCGGAGGCGCTGTATCTCTACACCCCCAGTGCTGCCACTGCCACCACCACCCCCCCAGACCACGAACCCCCCGAACAGCGAGGCCCCTCCCACGCGGACATAGGAACATACACCCCCCACACCACCCCCCAATCCCTCTACCTCCATGGCGACCACTGCAACCCCTACCCCAACGGTCTCTCATTCCACGCCCCCACCAACACCCTGCATCTCACCTGGACGAACCGCCACTTCGTCGCCTACGACGGCGCCACCGACGCAGCGTCCACCGCACATAAAGCGCAGGCAGGCCCCAACGGCCCGGAGAATAACGAGGGGTTGTACTATATCTCGGCTGTTCTAGCAGAGGAACCTGATGGACGAACGGTGGGGATAGAATGGAAGGACTTGCAGGGAGAAAGTCTCATGTCTGCCTCCTTCGCCCAAATCACCCCGATCGGGGAGGTAAACGGCGCAGGATTAGACTCGCAGGACCCCCGTCTCCGCGTCAGAGATATCCCTCGCGGCAGCGGCATCATGAACCAGGAAGGGCAGTTCGTGGATCCCCGCGGCGGGGTGCATGTTTTGAACCGCGAGAACACGCGCGGACGCGAGGCGTGGGTTTATTACTCGTTCGGTCCCACAGGCTGGGAGAGTTGGCCCGTCGAGGGGGTCAGTCCTACCGAGACGGGGCGGAGGGGGAAGGTTGTGTGGTGTGCCGGGGTGGTGTGGTTGGTGTTGCCGGAGAATGAGAGGGAGGAGATGGTGCTAGGGCGGTGGGTGGACCAGAAGTTTGTGGTCGTCTGGAGGGGGGCGGGCGTCACTGGGGAGCCCTTGGTCGATGAGGTTGCGTTACTGCAGGACGTTTTATCATTTCTGGCGCTTAGGGTTGTCGGGGATGGGAGGGAGGTTGTCGTGCTTGATTTTGATCTCACCCGGTGGTCAGCCCTACCTTGATACCAACTTATCGAAAACGCCCCGGGGGAGAACCCCCGGACCCCCCTTTTTTTCAGCTTCCTGGGCACCTGAGTCCTAAGCAAAGCATACTGTAAGAAGATTCCCGGGGGAGAACCCCCGGACCCCCCTTCTTTTTCAGCTTCCTGGTGCACCGCAACCCTAAGCAGAGGATAAGAGACTCCCCGGGAGAGCCAGCGAACGCTTCCTGCCCAGGGACATAGAATGACGTCTATCAGGGAGCTGAAAGAAAGGGGGGTCCGGGGGTTCTCCCCCGGGAATCCTCTTACAATATGCTTTGCTTAGGCCTGAGGTGCCCAGGAAGCTGAAAGAGAAGGGGGGTCCGGGGGTTCTCCCCCGGGACGCCTTTTGGTGCATCTCAACACTACCAAGACCATCCAATACAATCACACAATATCAATGGAATCATCTGTACATGCAGACGACCAAAGCCTGCAGCGCAGTACACGACTTTTTCCACCAACAGCAGCCGGTCAATTTATCCTCGGCCGCAATTCAGCCGACGGCCCATGCGACGACTCCTGCATGCCAACCCCGCATTCCCCAGCTTATATCCCCGGACCAAGCAAGCTTATTGCGGAGCAGCGTCTTGATTCACTTCCCAGACAACATGGCATCCACAAACAAAGACGTCCGGCGAGGGCTGGAAGACACCGCCGTCGCCGGCAACAAGGAGGGCCCGTGGTGGCGCGACACCGGGCTGCGCAAGCTGAACCTGCTGCTGTTCTTCCTGATGTTCAGCGAGTTCACCCAGGGCTACGATGCCTCGCTGATCAACAACGTGCAGCAGCTGGACGTCTGGCAGACGGGTGAGTCTCCCGCGCTGGGTGTGAATTACGCTGACCACGTACGTAGACTTCCACCATCCCCACGGCAGTCTCCTGGGCGCCATGAGCGCCATGTACTGGATGGGTGAGTCCCCCCCCCGGTGCTCTCACTCGACACAGCTAAGCAGTCAGGCAACATCGTCGGCGTCGTCTTCATCTCGTTCATCTCGGACCGTCTGGGCCGTCGCTACTGTCTCTTCTTCGGCGCGATCCTGTGTCTGGCCGGCACAGGCATGGCCACCGGCGCCTCCAGCAGCGGCCTCTTCCTCGCGGCGCGGCTGCTGCTGGGCATGGGCGGCGTCGTCGTGGCCGCCGTCGGGCCCGTGTGGATGGGCGAGTTGGCCTATCCCGACCACCGCGCCACCGCCACCGCCATGTCCAACACGACGTACAGCGCGGGCTCCATCATCGCCGCCTGGATCACCTTCGGTTCCTTCCGCATCGCCAATGCATGGTGCGCTCCCCGCTGCTGATGTTGGTGTTGCTGGTTGCTGACTGAACACCAGGGCATGGCGCATCCCGACGGTCTTCCAGGCCCTCCCCTCCGTCATCCAGCTCATCGGCGCCTTCATCCTCCCCGAGTAGGCCCAGCTCCACTATCCTGCACCAGCCTACAAGCACTAATTGTTGCAGATCCCCCCGCTGGCTCGTCAGCCGGGGTCATGACGCCGCCGCCCTGGCCATCCTCGCCAAGTACCACGGCAACGGCGACGCCAACGACGCCCTCGTGCAGCACGAGTTCCGCGAGATGAAGGAGACCATCGAGCTCGAGATCGCCGCCAACAAGACCTCTTGGAAAGAGCTCTTCAACACCCGCGGCAACCGTTGGCGTTCCTTCATCATGATCTGGTGTGGTCAGTGCCCCCCCCACCCCCGCGTGTACATTGTTTAAAAGCGTCCCGGGGGAGAACCCCCGGACCCCCCTTTCTTTCAGCTTCCTGGCGCACCGCAACCCTAAGCAAAGCATAAGAAGATTCCCGGGGGAGAACCCCCGGACCCCCCTTTTCTTTCAGCTTCCTGGTGCACCTCAGCCCTGTATACACTGTGTAAAGGCGTCCCGGGGGAGAACCCCCGGACCCCC